AATAACAATAATACTAAATTAATTAATTCTAAAATTAAATAAAATAACACTACAATATATAAAATAAAATAATATTTAAATAAAATAAATGTAATAAAATAACACTAAAATGAAATAATAATAATAACAATAATTCTAAAATAAGTTAAATATGAATAAAATTTATGTAAAATAAAATTAACACTGAAATAAAATAAAAATACAAAAATAAAATAAAATTAATACAAAAATAAAATAAAATAATATAAAATTAAATTGATTTAAATTAATTCCAATAAAATTAAACACAAACATAATAATAAAATCACATTAAATAATACTAAATTAAAATGCAATAAATACAATACTAAATAAACTAAAACAAAATAATTAATTAATTAATTAAACTAATACTTATTTGTGGCCAAGCAATTTAGAGACTAAACTAAACTAAAAATAAAATAAAATAATTTTTTTTAAATATTTGATGAAAAACAATAAAATCAATTAAATTAAAATAAATTAAACAACAATAATACAAAAATCAAATAATACTAAAATAAATTAAATTACATAAAAATGTAATAAAATTAACACTAAAATAAAATAATAACAATACTAAGTTAAATAAAAATAAAATAAACACTGAAATAAAATAAAAATAATACAAACATAAAAATAATGCTAAAATAATTTAAAATAATAACAAATAAAGAAAACCATTCATATTTAGGTATACACATGATAAAATATGAAGCCACAAACCTGCTTGAGTTTCTGGCTCTGTAACCTGAAGCAGATGATAGGACCAGCGTCAGAGGAACTGGAGCGGTTGTGAGACTGACTGGCCAGAGCGTTTATTTTGTTGAAGAGAGTCGGCATCTCGGTCTCCAGCTGATAGGTCAGGTTGTGCAAAATGCAAACGCAGTTCTCCAACGACTGGGTGCAAAAAGAGAACACAATATGAGGGTCATATCATGAATTAATATATAAATTCATTCATTCATTCATCTATTCATTCATTCATTTTCTTTTCGGCTTAGTCCCTTTGTTTACCAGGGGTCGCCACAGCAGAATGGACCGCCAACTTTACCAGAATATGTTTTACACAGCGGATGCTCTTCCAGGTGCAACCCAGCACTGGGAAACACCATACACACTCATTCACAAACATAAACTACGGCCAGTTTAGTATTTAGTTCATCTAATTCACCTATACCACGAATGTTTGGACTGTGAGGGAAACTGGAGAAAACCCACGCCACAGGGGGAGAACATGCAAACTCCACACAGAAATGCCAACTGGCCCAGCCGGGACTCGAACCAGCGACATTCTTGCTGTGAGGCGACAGAGCTAACCACTGAGCCACCGTGCCGCCCATCCATGAGGTATTCTGAGCTCAAATATTGTTCACACACACATTTTAAAGACACCTGAGAATACATCCAGTAAAACTTATGACCCATTAAAATGTTGACCTAAAATCTACAGTAAATCCTAGCTGCCGACTACACAAAACCACACTGCAGATGTTTTAAATAGAGCCAGATTTGACCTGGAAACAGTGTGAAGTGACCGTGACTGTGTGTGTTCAGCAAAAGCGACATGCAGTAAGTATTTATAAATCCTCAGAGACAGAAAATAGATGTTGAAACACGCTGGCGAGGTCTTGATTAAATCTGCTCGTCAATTAAGAGTGAGTAATGCACTGTTTCTCCTGCCACAACAATAGAGTTTGGCTGCAGGAGAAAACGCCTTGTGTTCATACACGCTCTCCTTCAGGGAGTTTCAACGTTTCGGCACCACTGCAGAATAACTTCATCATCCAAAAACAAAACACACTTATTAAATCATCTATGCCACACCAGCATTCTCCACCCAGACTTGACATCCATGCCATCCTAAAACTGCACGATTACAGAGAAAATAAATACTGATGCAAGAGTCACACACTTTAAGAGCCATTCCTTAAAGGGACAGTTCACCCAAAAATGAAAAGTACTCACTGTTTACCCTTCCTTAAGTGTCCCTCAAGCACATTAACTTTCCCTGAAGCACTCTTTGGTTTGATTTTGAACTTGAAGAAGATATTTTAAAGAAAACCTGTAACCATTGAGTTCTATAGTAGGAAAAGCAGATACTGTGAAAGTCAATGGTTACACGTTTCCAACATTTTTCAAACTATCTTCTTTTGTGTTCAATAGAAGAAAGTCAAACAGGTTTGAAACAACCCAAGGGTGAGTAAATGATGACAGAACATTCATTTTTTAGACAAACACAAAAATACTCATCATTTATTCCCCGTCAAGAGTTAAACATCTTTAGGAAAACACAACAGAAGATATTTTGAAGAATGTCAGAAATGTGTAACCACTGATTTCCATAGTGGGAAGTACAGATAATGTGGAAGTCAATGGTTACTGGTTTATAACATTTTTCAAACTATCTTCTTTTGTGTTCAATGGAAGAAAGTAGGTCAAACAGGTTTGAAACAACTCGAGGGTGAGTAAATGATGACAGAACATTCATATTTTAGACAAACAAAAATATGCTCATCATTTATTCAACCCTCAAAGGTTTAACACCTTTATGAGAACACAAAGGAGGATAATTTGAAGAATGTCAGAAACCTGTAACCATTGACTTCCATAGTAGGAAGTACAGATAATGTGGAAGTCAATGGTTACTGGTTTATAACATTTTTCAAACTATCTTCTGTTGTGTTCCATAGAAGAAAGAAACAGAAACAGGTTTGAAACAGCTCTAGGGTGAGTAAATGAAGACTGAATATTCCTTTTTTTTTAATGAATTTAAGTTTACTCTTCATTTATTCACCGTCAAGAGTTAAACATCTTTAGTAAAACACAACAGAAGATATTTTGAAGAATGTTGGAAATGTGTAACCATTGACTTCCATAGTAGGAAAAACAGATACTGTGGAGGTCAACAGTTACAGGTTTACAACATTTTTTAAACTATCTTCTTTTGTGTTCAACGGAAGAAAGTAGGTCAAACAGGTTTGAAACAACTCGAGGGTGAGTAAATGATGACAGAACATTCATATTTTAGACAAACAAAAACATGCTCATCATTTATTCAACCCTCAAGAGTTTAACACCTTTATGAGAACACAAATGAAGATAATTCGAAGAATGTCAGAAACCTGTAACCATTGACTTCCATAGTAAGAAATACAGATGATGTGGAAGTCAATGGTTACAGATTTATAACATTTTTCAAACTATCTTCTTTTGTTTTCATTGTTTTCAATTCAAACAGGTTTGAAACAACTCAAGGGTGAGTAAATGAAGACTGAATATTCCTTTTTTTTATCAACTAAAATATACTCTTCATTTATTCACCGTCAAGAGTTAAACATCTTTAGGCAAACACAACGGAAGATATTTTGAAGAATGTTGGAAATGTGTAACCATTGTAGGAAAACCAGATACTGTGGAGGGTCAACGGGTACAGGTTTACAACATTTTTCAAACTATCTTCTTTTTTGTTTAACAGAAGAAAGTAACTTTAAAAAAAAAAAAGTCACTTTTGGGTGAACTCTTTAAAGAGACATTTCATATTTTTAGGTGAACCGTCACTTTAACGTGTTTCAAAATATCTTCTTGCAATACGGTAATTCAAACCATTAGGATGAATCATTTTGGGCAATTCATTGAACGCTGATTTAATTTTCCTCTTTATTTTCAGCAGAATAAATCAGAATTCCTGAAAGAGTCCAGATTTTCAGTGATAGGCACATACAGTTCAAGACGAAATTATTAGTGAAATCCTGTGAATTTTGTATTATTTTCAAACATAACGGACAGATTTTGCACAGTGAACTGTATAAATGCACAAGTGTTTACCTGGTTATCAGGCATTCCTGCGGTGATGCAGTTCTCTGTGTATCGCATGAGCGAGTCGATCAGGCCTTTGCAGTTGCGCATGGACTGTCGGTTCGCCAGTTTGGATCCGCTCAGGTTGCTGTCGATAGACAGGAGAAACAGATGCACTTTTGATGTTTACTTTACTCCAGAATTCACAAAAGACACAATCAATCTGATGACAGAAATACATTAAAATGTACATTAATTTGATCAACCGAGCCCTGGTTGAAGTAACATTAGTCATAGTTCACGCGAAAATGAAAACTTCCCCTTTTATTAATTTCATTCCTCTGTTGAACATAAAAGAAGATATTCTGAAGAAAGTTGGAAAAAAATGTTATTTAAAATACAATAAATACAATACTAAAATAAACTAAAACAAATTAAAAAATAAAAATAAATCAATAAATCAATGAAAAAATAATATATAATAAATAAATAAAACTAATACTTATTTGTGGCCAAACAATTGAGTAACTAAACTAAACTAAAACTAAAATAAAATAAATAAATAAAAAATAATTCATGAAAAACAATAAAATCAATTAAATTAAAATCAATTAAACAACAATACTAAAATAAAACAAAACTAAAATAAATTAATTTAAATAAAAATGTAATAAAAATTAACACTAAAATTAAAAAATAACAATGCTAAAATAAGTTAAATATAAATAAAACTTCCCCTTTTATGAATTTCATTCCTCTGTTGAACACAAAAGAAGATATTCTGAAGAATGTTGGAAAAAATTTTATGTAAAATACAATAAATACAATACTAAAATAAACTAAAACAAATAAAAAAAATAACTAAATCAATAAATCAAAGAAAAATAAATAAATAAATAAATAAAACTAATACTTATTTGTGGCCAAACAATTGAGTAACTAAACTAAACTAAAACTAAATAAAATAAATAAATAAATAAAAAATAATTCATGAAAAACAATAAAATCAATTAAATTAAAATCAATTAAACAACAGTACTAAAATAAAATAAAATAAAAATAAATTAAGTAAAAATTTAATAAAAATGAACACTAAAATAAAATAATAACAATACTAAAATAAACTAAATATAAATAAAACTTCCCCTTTTATGAATTTCATTTCTCTGTTGAACACAAAAGAAGATATTCTGAAAAATGTTTGGGAAAAAATGTTCCTCCTAACATTCTTCAAAATATCTTCTTTTGTGTTCAACAGAAGAAAGAAAGGCAAATAGGTTTGGAACAAGTGAAGAATGACTAAGTGATAAGAGAAGTTTCAAGAGTTCACACTTTGATATTGTTTGACAACAACTGTTAGCAGGTTTGGCATGCTGTCCCGAGAGAGAACCCTGAGCTCAGAGATAGTTGAGCCCAGGGCTCCTGCTAGGTCCATAGAGCATGTGAGGGGAGTACGAGATCAGGTGGTTCTTGAAAGCTCTTGGATGGAAGGTTTCTTCGGAAAATGAAGATAAGGGAGTAGTTCTAGTTAGGCTACTTATAGTGAGTTTGGATTAATCTGATTGGCTATCTAATGAATGTAGATGGGTGGCCAGCTGCAGTCAATCATATCACAAGCTCCTCTCGAAATTAGTTTGTAAAACTTCACTTAATTTTTAAATGAACTATACATCTAAAACAAACTTACAAAAATAATGTAATATACACTGAAGGCATATATATAAAAGTTGAAGTGAGAATTATTAGCCCCCCTGAATCATGGTGGCGCAGTGGGTAGCACAATCGCCCCACAGCAATAAGGTCACTGGTTCGAGCCTTGGCTGGGTCAGTTTGCATTTGTGTGTGGAGTTTGCATGTTCTCCCCGTGTTCGCGTGAGTTTCCTATGGGTGCTCAGATTTTCCCCACAGTCCAAACACATGCGCTAAAGGTGAATTGAAAAGGCTAAATTGGCCATAGTGTATGTGTGTGAATGAGTGTGTACAGATTTCCCAGTTTCCCAGTGTTTGGTTGCAACTGGAAGGGCATCTGCTGCGTAAAACATATGCTGGATAAGTTGGCGGTTCATTCCGCTGTGGCGAACCCGCATTAATAAAAGGGACTAAGCCAAAAAGAAAATGAATGAATGCAATTCTATGCAAATTTTTCTGAGCCAGTTATTAAACTCTGTTTAAAAAAATCATCGTCATCATCATATTGATCATAATCAATATTGTTGACAATATCATACCATAGACACCATAATCAAAATTATGAGACTATCAGTACTTTTACTTTAGAAAAAAAGTTGTACAGGAAAAGAGTTTTTTAAGCATCAAAATCCCTAAAAACCCCTTACCCTCTTTGACCTGCACCTATATAATAATTGTTTTACATTTTCAAATGTACCATTTTGTCACATACTGCAAATTTACTGTATGTCAATTTGCATCTTACAGCTTAAGAACCGCCCACTTACACACAGACTATTGACATTTGAAGTGACCAATCACTGTCTGTATTGATTTTGACATTCCAAAGGTCATCAAAAACAAAACCTTGACAGAGAAATGAATGCTTAGGAATATCTAACTACATCACATAAAAAAATTACAAAGAAAACTTTAAATAAAATGAAGGCAAGAAATATATTACCAATAAATATATTACCATACTTAAATTACAAAATTTTTATTTGAATATGCAAAGTACTAATATAATAGTATAATACAATACAATACAATATAATATAATATAATATAATATAATATAATATAATATAATATAATATAATAATAAATAATATAATACAATACAATATAATATAATATAATATAATATAATATAATATAATATAATAAAATATAATATAATATAATATAATATAATATAATATTAAATAATATAATATAATATAATATAGTAATTAAATATAAATATAATAATTTGAATATAATAAATGAAATAATAATAATAATTATTATTATTATTATTAATATGTTATCTAATATAATAAATATAATATAATGAATATAATAATAATAATAATGATAATAATAATGTTATTAATAATAATATTAATAATACTTAATATTATTATCTAACATAATAAATAAAATGTAATAATACTACTAATAATTATTATTATTATAATTATTTATTAAACCTAATATAATAAAAATAATAATCATCATCATAATATTATATATATATATATATATATAATTAATATAAATCTTAGGTTCACTTAGTAAAGTGTTGCTATTGTTTTTTCATTCTGAAAACAATTCAGGTTTTGTTTATTTATTTAGCTTAATTTAAGATTTTATATGTAGGTTTATTTTTTTTATAATGAACACTGACTTTTTTTATCACTCTATAAATCTGAACAATACTGCCAAAGATCATAATCACATTGTTAGCATTAAAATGTCATATAAAAAAGGTGATATATGAATAAACCCATTGGTAATATAATAAAAAATAAATCTTAAGTTTATAGGAGAAGCTGAAATTAAGAATAACTCTCATTCTTTTAAACATATAAATATTGTATGCATTTCTAAGGCCGCAAAATCAAGGGAAAAATAGCGGAATTAAAAATAAATAATTGTAATATATATTTTTGATGTTTTTCATTCCAGAGATCTAATATAAGGCAAATAAAAATCCTAAATTGACCAGTACACAAAATCAGTGGTTTTGCTTGTCGTGTCATGCCCTTACAACATCGGCGATCTGGCAAACATCGCCCTAAAGGGTGTTTATAAGTTTGAACATGGCGAACAGACAAAAGAAAACACCAAAAGTTACATAAAGCCAGACAATCAGTTTCAGATCTGGCCAAATCCAGCAAGTGATTTACAGTTTTGTTTCCACTGAGCTCTAGGTGGTCTGTAGGTGCGCCAACATCAATACAAGACCCAGATAAAATATTTGAACAGCTTTACTGGTGAAAATATAACCTGAGCGTTTGATTCTGCAACAATGCCGCTATTATAAGAGCCGCTGGTGACGTTTGCCTTGTTTACAGCAGTCAGAACAGAGCCAATGTGTGTGTGAGTGATGTTAATGTTACCGTAGGCAAGCCGTGGCATTGCAGAAAACCTCTGGTGCCAGGCTTGTGTTGGCGTTGTCGACTGTATTGGCTGAAAACGGCTCTATAACTTTCTCTGTGAGAGCAGGCAGAGCCGTACGGAGCAGATCCGGCTTCAGACCATCTTCAGATGAAAGGTTCCACAGGAGACCTACAAACACACAAAAAAAAAACAATATGCATTAGGATTCAAGAGTGCACACAAAAACAAACCTATATAAAACAATTCAACAAAGCACAAACAAAACATTATAGAAAAACAACAAAATGCAAACAAAACTATATAGAAATAAATCAAAAGAGCAAAAACAAAACAATATAAAAAACAACAAAATGTCAACAAACCTATATAAAACAATTCAACAAACCGCAAACAAAATATTATCGAAAAACGAGAGTATGCAAACAAAGTCATATAAAAAACTAAAGAATGCAAACAAAATAAAAAAGAGCCCAAACAAAACAATAAGAAATTAAACAGAATGCAGATAAAAGAATATGAAAAACTATGGAATGCAGATAAAACAATATAGAAAACCAACAGAATGCAAACAAAATAAAATAAAAAATAAACAGAATGCCAACAAAATAATACAACAAAATAAACAGAATGCAAACAAAATAATATCAAACAATAAACATAATGCAAACAAAACAATATAAAAAATTCAGATGAAACAATATAAAACAACAACAGAATGAAAACAAAAATAATATAAAAAATTACCAGAATGAAAACAAAATAAAATAAAAAATACAGAATGCAAACAAAATAATATGACAAAATAAAACAGAAATGCAAACAAAACAATAAATAAAAAATAAAACAGAATGCAAATAAAACAATATAAAAGTAAAGCAGAATGCAAACAAAACAATAAATAAACTACAGAATAAAAACTAAATAATATAAAACACAACAGAATGCAAACAAAACAATAAATAAAAAATTCAACAGAATGCAAATAAAACAATATAAAAATAAAACAGAATGCAAACAAAACAATATTTAAAAAAACAACAGAATTCAAACAAAATAATATAAAAAACAGTGTGTGTATTATGTATATTTATTTTTATTTATAAAAACACACATGCATGCGTAAATTTGAGAAAAAGATTTGTTTATCTTTATATAAAATATATATGTATATGATACAAATTAGATATAAGTTATTATAGATATCAAATATTTATGTAACAAATTATTTTTTGTATAGTTTTGTATGCAAGTGTGTACATCATATACAGTTGAAGTCAGATTTATTAGCCCCCCTTTGAATTTTTTTCTTCTTTTTAAAATATTTCAAAAATAGTGTTTAACAAAGCAAGGACAATTTCACAATATGTCTGATAATATTTTTTACTTCTGGAGAAAGTCCTATTTGTTTTATTTCAGCAGGAATAAAAGCAGTTTTTAATTTTTTAAACACCATTTTAAGGTCAAAATTATTATCCCCTTTAAGCTAACTTTTTTTCTGACAATCTACAGAACAAACCATTGTTACACAATAACTTGCCTAATTACCCTAACCTGCTTAGTTAACCTAATTAACCTAGTTAAGCCTTTAAATATCACTTTAAGCTGTATAGAAGTGTCTTGAAAAATATCTAGTCAAATATTATTTACTGTCGTCATGGCAAAGACAAAGAAATCAGTTATTAGAGATGAGTTATTAAAACTATTAGAAATGTGTTGAGAAAATCTTCTCTCCATTAAACAGGAATTAAACATTTAATTATTAAATAATTCTGACTTCAACTGTATATATATGCAGTCTATATACACATAGGTATATTATTTCAAAACAAACTTTTATTTGGATGTAATTAATCCCGATGCATTCTTGACCAACAGCACTAACAATTTATAATAAACTTTTTTTTTACTCTTCTACGGTCCAGCCTCATGATCTGAGTGTCCTTGTTGACATGTCCCCTTATCTGTGTATGTAAGCATGCATGTATGTGTGTGTGTGTGTGTGTGTGTGTGTGTGTGTGTGTAAACAGAGCCGGTCTCCACCTGTCAGGTGTTTCTGTGTCTCAGTGTTAGCGTCGCCCAGCAGTTGTGCGGCCTGTTTGATTCCTCCACTTCGCTGCACCTCCTGTTTGTTGGGCAGGTTTTTGAAGATGGCGTTTCGCAGCGCCGCAGCCACCGTCTCCTGAACCTGAGGACTGGAGCTGCCCAGCAGGTCAACCAGCAGCGGCAGACCTTTCAGAGTCAAAACCTGAAACACAGGACAGACCAGAACACATCAGAGCACAACACACTAGCGTTTGCTAGACTGAAGCTTTAAATATAGCTGCTGCTAAACGTTTCTGCTCATAAAAGCTGGAATACCTCAGTAACTAACTGAAATGAAATCATTAATTGACTAATGATTAATTGACTAGCTGCGAACGGAAGTCAACTAGAACTATTTATATTAATCAATAATATTATTCATTAAATTGCCCATTAAATTGTTATTTATTAGCACCAACCACTACCCCAAACCTAAACCCAATCATCACAGTAAAGTAAAAACAGTGACTACACAGAGTATTATTCATATTATTTAATAAATTACTTATTAAAGTGTATTTTATTAAAGTCTACCCCTACACTAAAACCCAGCCATCACACTAAAGTAAAAACAGTCATTATGCAGAGTATTATTCATATCATTCATTAAATGATTCATTAAATTGTTTTTAATAATGCCACCCCTAAAGCAACCCTCACAGTAATGTATAAATATGAATTATTGTTGCAAATGATGCTATATTGATGTGAGTATCTGCAGCTGTATCCCTTCTAGACTTTGCCCCATGGCAGCGCCTGCTCTTCTGTGAATAATGTCAAAAGAATAAACTCAATTCAACGCAAGTTTACTTGTATAGCACTTTTCACAATAGTTATTGTTGCACATTATTGCATTACAATTAAATTCAGAACAGTTAAGGTTATTAATTATCATAACGGCCACTTTATTAGGTACACCTTACTAGTACCGGGTTGGACCCCCCTTTGCCTTTAGAACTGCCTTAATCCTTCGTGGCATAGATTCAACAAAGTACTGGAAATATTCCTCAGAGATTTTGCTCCATATTGACTTGACAGTATCACGCAGTTGCTGCAGATTTTTCAGCTGCACATCCATGATGCAAATCTCCCGTTCCACCACATCCCAAAGGTGCTCTATTGGATTGAGTCCTGGTGACTGTGGAGGCCATTTGAGTACAGTGAACTCATTGTCATGTTAAAGAAACCAGTCTGAGATGATTCACGTTTTATGACATGGTGTGTTATCCTGCTGGAAGTAGCCATAAGAAGATGGGTACACTGTGGTCATAAAGGGATGGACATGGTCAGCAACAATACTTAGGTAGGCTGTAGCATTGACACGATGCTCAGTTGGTACTAATGAGCCCAAAGTGTGCCAAGAAAATCTCCCCCACACCATTACACCACCACCATCAGCCTGAACTATTGATACAAGGCAGGATGGATCCATGCTTTCATGTTGTTGACGGCAAATTCTGACCCGACCATCCGAATGTTGTAGCAGAAAAAGAGACTCATCAGACCAGGCAACGTTTCTCCAGTCTTCTATAGTCCAATTTTGGTGAGCCTGTATGAATTGTAGCATCAGCAGTTCTGCTGCTGTAGCCCATCTGCCTCAAGGTAGGAGATGTTGAGCATTCAGAGATGCTCTTCTGCAGACCTCGGTTGTAACGAGTGCTTATTTAAGTTACTGTTGCCTTTCTATCAGCTGGAACCAGTCTGGCCATTCTCCTCTGACCTCTGGCATCAGCAAGGCATTTGTGGCCACAGAACTGCCGCTCACTTGATATTTTCTTTTTCGGACCATTCTCTGTAAACCCTAGAGATGGTTGTGCGTGAAACCCCCAGTAGATCAGCAGTTTCTGAAATACTCAAACCAGCCCGTCTGGCACCAACAACCATGCCACGTTCAAAGTCACTTAAATCACCTTTCTTCCCCATCGTCTTGACGTTGTCTACATGCCTAAATGCATTGAGTTGCTGCCATGTGATTGGCTGATTAAAATTTGCGGTAACAAGCAGTGGGTACCTAATAAAGTGGCCGGCGAGTGTAGTTACAAATAACTTTAACTAATTAACTAGTAACTAATATATTTTAACAGTTAAAGTTAATATACAGTATATATATATATATATATATATATATATATATATATATATAAACATGGTAAACCTTCAGATATATAGTATATAGTGCATGTTCAATGAACTGTGTTTGTGTGTATAAACGTGTATAATTGTCTAACATATGTGGTGTATTGATGCAGTTGTAAGTGTCCAGACCTCCTGCTTGGCCTTGTCATCATTGAATGTACTGTGCTGGATGTAAGACGCTCCACACAGCTGAACGTTTTCATCTGTACTGGACAGACAATCAACAGCATCCCGCATGGTCATATCAGACACCGGCTTCTCTAGGGTCATCCTGCAGACACATGAGGGATCGTTAATCCATTCAGCACATCAAAACCACTAGTCTTGTGGCAAGTAGCTGTGCAATAAGCAGTGGTGTAAAGTAACAAATTACAAATACTCGAACTACTGTAATTGAGCAGTTATTCTCATGATCTGTAATTTACTAAGTAGTTTTAAAGATGTGTACTTTTACACCTCCTTGAGTGTGTTTTTAGTGCAGTATCTGTACTTTTACTCCACTACTTTATGATTTCTTGTTTATGGGGATTAGAAAAATCAGTCCTGTGATTCCTGTCTAATCAAAGCAGTTTGGAAACATTTTAAGTGACTAAGAAGATGTCCAAAATCATCACACACAATGACCCAGAGACTGTTTAGATGCATGTCACTGATGAGAAGATGGTGAATGTTTTCTGTATAATGATGCAAATGGCTTTAAACACCCAGCAGGCACAGGACTTCAACATGATGTTATACTGACGATGTACCCCAACGTCATGAGTCCTTGCGTTTTGATTGGGACTAAAAATAGGGTTGACGTTAGAACTTAACGTCAGGACAACGATGTCAGTGTAAAACGTCGAACAGATGTTCCGTTTTGGTTACTTTTCAAGGCAACCTAAAGACAACCAAATATCAACATCTAATGATGTGGGAGCTTCATGTTGTGAGGGTGACATCTATCAGACGTTGGATTTTAGCTGCCATACCTAATGAATAAATGCGTTTATTTCTTCATTCAGACACGAGCGCAAGTCTGCAGAGTTTTCCCCACCGTGTCTATCATAGATCAGCTGTGGTCACTGCGGCCGCCTGTCGCTTATCAGTATCACTCATCTGTGAAGAGCCCAGCGTGCAAGAGCCAATTGCAGCCATTTTTGTTGAGGGTGTGACCAATTAAAGGGGTGTAAGAGAACTAGACAAGGATCAGAAAGCGAGCGGGATATTTATATTTGTTCTTATTATTTGCTATAAATGCTTGTGTTGTTTAAAGGTACAGTTTATATATCTGACTTTTTATTAAATGACAATATTAATAGTATATAAATATTAATATATTCATGCATTTTAATACAAGAATTGCTGCTGTGAAGAAAATATAAAACTTTTTATGAAAAGCATCGTCAGTGCACCATGATGCACCGAAATATCGCATTGAACCGATTCGATGGCATAATAATCGTAACTGAACCGAACCGTGAGACTAGCTAATAGCTAAATGAACGACAGAATGTCTAAACACATGTAAATTACCTGTAAATGCATCAGCTTTTGTATATTAAAGTTTTAGAGCATGATCCCTCAAGTGTGGATTTTTAAAATTGTTGCTTATCTCCATTTGGAGTTGTAGTTGCATTACAAAAAATGCAGTACAGACATGTAAACGCCTTAATCAAACTATTATTAGTCATGTAGAACTTTTCGCTGCATTTTGCAACAGGATATTTCATACACAGATGGATTTGACACTATTCTCTGCACTCTGCACCAAGTTAGTTAGCAAAGGACCACAGACAGATACACTTTAAAATGTGGAGGTTTTTTTTTTCTCCCATTTGGCATGCGATATCAAATTCCTTTCAAACAATAGTCTTCCACAAGTGCTTAATTCATACACACATTCAATACCTCAATACCCCAGTTTGTCATGTGGGCATGAATGAAATGTTCCTGCATGAAAGTGAAACTACCGAACAGCAATTAAAGTCAAAAAATGTAAAATTAAACATCCAAAATTACATGTGGATAGAAATGTGGATAGCGTGGTGACGCAATAACGTTAATCAAACTACAGTATCGATTACTGATGTCCATGTAAACGTAGTCAAGTAAAGAGTGTAATACTCGCTACTCTTGAGCACTTTTGAAAGGTCTTTTTACTCACACTTTGAGTAATATTTACAACAGATACTTCTACTCTACTTGCACTACATTTTTAGGCAAGTGATGTTACTTTTACTTGAGTAAGATTTTTCAGTACTCTTTCCACCACTGGTAATAAGACAGATAAAGTGCATCCAGGACAGAATAAAGCCCTTCAGTCTTATACAATAATGCTCCTCTTTGTGTCAGGCTGCTGAAAATTCTACAATAACAACATCCTGGATGTTTTTTTTTATTCCTACCATAAAAACTGTAAAGAAATAAAAATGAGATTTTTTTTTTTAACTATTACAAGCATGATCAGAGTAATCATGTTATTATTAATCATATTGTTATATTATATATATATATATATATATATATATATATATATATATATATATATATATATAATTATATTTTACTTTATATTCATTCAATCATTTTCCTTTGGCTTATTCCCTTATTTATCAGGGATCACCACAGCGGAATGAACCACCGACTATTCCAGCTCATGTTGTAAACAGTGGATGCCCTTCCAGCTGCAACCCAGTACTTCCCAACAAAGTTTCCAAAGTAAATTGCCCACATGACGTGCGATTTCAGAGCTGAAAATATTATGTTTGGAAAGCCTGCCTGGCTCATTGTGGTAAAAGGGCTCGATTAAATGAATCAAAATAAACTGTTCAGCTTGCTCCGGCCCTGAGTATTATTCAGTTTCCTCACTTCGAACCACAAGTTACAAGTAACAAAACACAATTAAATACATAATTCACAAGCTGAAGAAAACAAGGAGGCAGCCATTTTAATCGCACTTTCACTTGTGTAATGGAGGAAGAAACTGATCCATGATCCACTGATCCTTGTACTGACATAGTCCCTTACATCAATAGTCTTTTCTGATCCTTCCTTTAACAAACTGCCTAAGAATCCCCCGTTGTTAGCTTGTAGATTTCAGAAGCACTCAAACAGCACAAGGCTGGGCTATAATGCTGAGGTATTTTTGCAAAATTAAACCTCAACCACTGACTCTTCACAGCCTCATCTTTGGGTAGAGAAACACTAACTTTCCCCCTCACACTTCCAATAATATCCAGCTGAGGACAGCGTTAATTCAACCGGTGTCTGCTACAGTGTGTGTGTAGCCTCTTTTTCTTTGGTCTGTGTTAGTGGGTGGGGCCACAGGTTTAAATGTTAACGGGTTTGTGCACACAACAACTGATTGGAGCTTAAGTTTCGTATTCACATCACGGCTAAACCCTCGTTAGACTCGTTATCAAGATGATTTCTTTGAAGTACTAGGAGTCGACTCTTTTATAAATGAATCAATCATTTGAAGGGTTCACGAAACCCTTGATTATTATTATTTTTTAGATTTTAACAGATTTGTGTGTGTTGAGCATGAGTTAAGACAATGTTAGCACCTGTTAGCTTTAACTGTGGGGAAAACTGAATAGTTTTGAGCTTTTGACAGCTAATTTCAGCTTCCGGGTTTAAAATGATTTTTGGGGCGGATCAAAATCGGCGACTTAGCGCAAAACTGCAAGTGCAAAGATGACTAGTTGGTTTCTCATTATTATTCAGGCCCGGATTGGCTAACAGAGAGGACCAGGAGAGCTCCCGGTGGGCCGGTCCGTTTTTTGGCCGCGAGGGCCGGTGTTTCTAGCTGCTTGCACTCTCAGCAGTCGCACTTTTTTTTCATTTATTTATTTATTTTACCATAGCCTCACTCTTTTTATTCATTATTTTGCCGCAGCTCCGCTCTTCTCATTTATTGTCCCACAGCCCCATGAGCAAAATGCAGCCTGCAGGGTAATAATGATCTAACTATCATTCCGGCCACACAAGCATAATAGCGCCATTGTGGTCCAGTGGTCAGCACATTGCGTTTTAATGTCATCGATCCGTGTTCGATCCTCACCTGAGTAATCCTTTTTTTTTTCATTTTTATTTATAAGACATGTAAAACTGTAAGGTTGTTGAACATTTGAAGTTCTAAAGCAGCTGTTTTCTTGAAAAAGGAGTGATAGTGTGATTAGAAACTGAATTGGAAATGACGTTATTTTAATATAGTCAGTCATGACCTGAGGTGGGCCAGTCTGCTTGAAACTCCAGGGCTGAAAAGGAGTCCCAATCCGGCGCTGTTATTATTTATAGCGGAGTTTTCTTATCCTATGAGAAGAGCCGGCTTCTTAATTATTCATGACTGCACGTGTTTTCCGAAGGCAACACAGACCTGCCAGTGCCAAGCTGTGAGACACGGACCCACGGCACACAGTATTTAGCCATTCATGAAGGGTCGTATGTGTTTGTTTTCATGATCCACAGGGTTTGTTGCATGTTTTCCCCGCGATGCTGTCAGGGCTGATACAGCAAAGCTGTCTGTGTGCAGCAAGCTTTTTTGTCGGGAGAGCAGTATGAGAATTGGAGAATGGCGGACTTTGTCTTTTATCAAGAGTTCGTTTACATTTAGACACATCGCCGTGCTGCTGTGTTTGCCTAAATCATGTAGATTACCAACAGGGCTAATGGTCAAAATAGACAGGGCAAAAGAGCTGCTGCACTGAGTCTGCATTCAGACCTATGATTCAGACTAAGGGATTGAGGGAGAAGTCCTCATTTATAGTGTTTCTATGAACACGGTTATCTTTATAATGATTTAAATTGTGGTTATGTGTATATGTAATTACGAATAACAATTGTAGCAGGGCGTTAAACTACTGTTTATTTCTTTGCATTTTAACTTTGTAAACTATAAAATCATGCGTCTCCTTCAGGTTTCCGTCTCATTTTGTGAGCCGACTGACGACAGTTGTTGGCTCCCCTCCTTCTCCCCTGCTGCCCGCACCTACTCCTGCCCTCTGATCGCGGAGCTCCACGCCCATTATGATGCATCTTTTGAAAAAACTCTGGGGTAGACCTGAACCGAAAGTGGGGGGTGACATGACCCTTAAAATACTGTCCTCTTTCAGACTTAAGCTTTAGCTGGATATTTCACTTCACTTTGAGCTGTTACACGCTACATGGAAGGTCATTCTCAAAAACCCATAATAGGGGCTCTTTAAATCAAACTGAACAACCTATTTATTCTGTTAATGATCATTTGGCACCAGTTTTCCTTCAAGGAAATCACAAAAATTAACAACATTGGGTGTTTTCCAGTGATGGGTTGCAGCTGGAAGAGCACCCGCTGTGTAAAACATATGCTGGATAAGTTGGGGGTTCATTCCGCTGTGGTGACCCCAGATTAACATAGGGACCAAGCCGAAAATGAATGAATGAATGAACAACCTTAATTTTTGGGGGACCTAAAGTGCATGTGTAGCACCCGGAGGAAACCCACACCAACACTGAAAGAACATGCAAACTCCACACAGAAATGCCAAGTGGCCCAGCCAGGACTCGAACCAGCGATCTAGAAATGACTCACCCAGAAAAATCTTTGGCCTGTCCAGACCTGATCATGGACATTCTGGACTCTCCATTGGACTGCAGGGAGGATGGGCGTCTGCTGACGGCGTTAACCTGATTGCTGTTTGACATTCGGACAAGGGTGGTGCCGTTACTGTAACTGGAGGAGGGCATCTGACTGCCTTTCTCCCACCTCTGGAAGGTCTGCCGGCTGGTTTGGCTGCGTTGACCCGTGCTGCTCATGCCGTTGGTGGTGGGTTGGAAGCCCAGGTCTGGAGCGCTGCGGGTGGATTTGTTGTAGAGCTGGTTACTGGTCTTCTGCTGGGTGGAGACAGAGCCTTGAAATCCGTAGATGGAGCGATCGAATCTGCCGGAGTTGCTGTTTACTTGCTGTCCACTGGAGCTGCGGGAGTTGGTGGACTTGCGCAAGATGTTTTGTCTTTGCATGGCCTGGAGACACAAATGATTAGTTAGGTATTCACTCAGATTGACAAGGAGATGTCATGCTACACTTGATGATTATGGTTAAGATGAATTGTTTAAAAAAAAAATGTAAATAATGCACTTAGAAATGCAAGTGATTTATTAAAAACGATGACAGAATTAATGCAAAGAAAGTAAACAGCAAATGCTGAATACATTTAAATGCTGAATAGTGCATTTTAACTCTTGTGCTATCAATTGTGCACGTTTTAACAACAGATCTTCATGCAAGGTGAAATAACAATTGATATTTTAAAATTAAATGCAGAAAATAATAAAGGAAAAAAACGATATGCTAAGAAATTAAAAGAAAAAAGTGCATAAAATGAAAAATGTAAAAGAAAGTCTGATTTTTTTTATACAGTGTCATGTTTATATGGGTGATTATTATTTAAAAATGTAAATACTACAATAATATACTAAAAAACAACTTAATAATTAATGCAAAGACACAAATCAAATTTGCTATTTACATTTAAATGCTGAACTGTGCATTTTAATTAGTGCTTCACCTAAAAAAAAAAAAAAAAACTTTGCTGTTTGTTCAAACTACTTATTTAAAATGAGCTGAAACAACACAATTCTTAACTTTCTTGGAGGGGACAACTTAATTGATTTATGTTCAAGCTACTTACATTTGTAAAAAAATAAAAAATAAATAAATAAATTAAAATAAGTGAGCTTAAGTCCTTCATGTTGTGCCAACACAAATCGATTGTGTGGAACCCAGCATTTTTTAGCAGATTGCACATGTTTAAGAGTGTGTGCAACTACACATTTTAAAGACAGATCTTCATGCAAGCTCTCAAGGTGAAATCATAATTGATATTTTAAAAAAGAAATGCAGAAAATATTATATGCAAAAAAAATGAAATTAAAAAGACAAAAGGGTGCAAAAAATTACAAATGTAAAAGAAGGCTGATTTTTATTTTTATTTTTTAAAAAGGAAAACAATGCAAAAAATTGTGAAAATGTACTCTAAAAATGACAGGTTATTTCAACTCAATTTTGGAGGTAACAACGACTAATCCAGCTGCTGGATTTTTTTAATTTAAATGAATAGGACCAAATTTAACCCAATGTTTGGGTTAGTCCATATTATACCCAATTTGTAAATAACCTTAAAATAAACTGGGCTTTCAATAACCCAGCATTTCTTAGAGTGTGTAAAAGATTAATTCACAACTAAATGCATGCTAAAAAGTCTACACTGTACAAAAAACAACATGAAAAAAGTCATGTCAACAAATTATTTTTGTTACCTAAACTTACTTTAACAAGTTAATCAGGTTTCGGCTAAATTTGTTTTAGTTAAACAAAGTTGAGCTTATTATTTTTAGTCAGTTTGATTTATGTAAATTGAGATGACTAAAGTTCATTTGATTCAACTAAAAATAAGACAGAATTCTGATTTACAATCTGCTGAATGGGAATCTGACATTTTTAAGTATTTGACAATGGATAGAAAATAAAAATGTAGATTTTAATGAAATTATACCAAACACTATCAGACTGCGGAAGCTTACAATTCTACTTTCCTTTACATCTTAAAGTCAATCCTTGGTCCTACTTTAAAATAAGTGGCCTTAACTAGTATTATTTAAACTGAAATTAAACATTTGTTATAAATGTACCTTTGTATAATACGGTTTTTTTTATTGTACTTATGATTAAAATTTACATTTACATTTAGTCATTTAGCAGACGCTTTTATCCAAAGTGACTTACAGATGAGGACAAGGAAGCAATTTACACAACTATAAGAGCAACAATGAATAAGTGCTGTAGGCAAGTTTCAGGTCTGTAAAGTCTAAGAAGGAAAGTATTAGTAATTTTTTTTTTTTTTAATTTTAAATTTTTATTTATTTATTTATTTATTTTTGAGTACAGTTAGTGTGATATCCAGAGAGGCAATTGCAGATTAGGAAGTGAAGTGGAGACTAAATAGTTGAGTTTTTAGTCGTTTCTTGAAAATAGCGAGTGAAAATACCTGTAATTACACCTTTAATTACACTGTTGACATCCCCTACATCTTAACCCAATCTTAAACCTATGCATACCATTAAAACCTGTCTCTAACCCCACCCATATCCCACCTCAAGTGTTCTGCGATACATTGTGAACAAAGTAAGTACACTGTATTTAGTTTTTGATGCAAGTACATAGTATTTAAGGCCATCTAATATAAAGTGGGAACCAATTCTTGTCAAAGTGATGCCATCGTTTTGTATTTGAGGCATAAATATTTACTAACTCACTATTATAGTGCTGCAGTGGTATCAAGATTCTGCTTAAAAGCTTTTTTCACTCCTAATCTTATAATTACAATCTGAAAACAGCTCTGAAACCAACGTTTCAATTTAATCCATGCCACCGTTTTGCCTGAACAAGACTGTTGGCCAAAAGAATGCCTATATGGGCATGTCCATGGATTAAAACACAATCGAAGCACTGTAGATCTATGAAGCAACAGTGTGCAAATGATAAAAAAAAAAAACCTGATTACTTTGTAAACCAGCATTTCTGTCCATTATTCAAAATGCAGAGCTGTTTTAGATCCATCGCAGGATGTCAAAACTGTTTTATGCACAACATAAAAAATAGGTGACATAATGCAGGTAGATTACACACTCGACTGAAGCCAAACAAGGCATTTAAAACACAGACGGTGTTAGGATTCCTGCGGATACACCCAAATGTAAAGAAGCTTTGGCAGAAAACCTAGAAAGAAGGTCGCTTGGTAATACAACACCACGGTGAGTCATGAAAAGTCAAGGAGAAGAATGCCTTCATTATGCCTTTTACACTTTTACTGGGTAAATAAAAGTGTAAAAAAAAAGCTAAATTAAAGCACTTGACTCGCTAAATTAGAATATTCAGGGTTTATTTTTATGCGACTGTAATAGTAAAGTGTTCAGTGAATGTGTTATTAGGCTAAACAGATATGCTAACAATGACATCCTACACTGATGGATAGTTTCTCCACCCTTGTGAATTGCATTGTGCAAAATGCTGAGTTCCACACAATTGAGTTCACTTGTTTTTACAAATTTAAGTGGACTGAACATAAAACAATTACGTTGTAGCTCCAAAAACATCAAGAATTGTGTTGTTTCAGCTCATTTTAAATACGTAGTTTAAACAAACATCAAACATTGATGCTTGTTGCATTTGATGCTTGTTTAAGCTACTTATAAAATGAGCTAATGCAACACAATTCTTGAGAGTGTTGGGGGAAAGCTTAACTGTTTTATGTTCAGTCCACTTAAATTTGTACAAACAAGACAACTTAATAAACTTGTGTTTGGGCAACATGAACGAATTGAGCGAAACACTACAATTTTACAGTGTATTGAAGTTTTTATAAGAATATCATTGAAAATATTGATATATATATATATATATATATATATATATATATATATATATTTTTTTTTTTTTTTTTATCGAAATCGGTTGAAATTTATGCTCAATTTCGATTATCAAATCAAAAAATAGAATCGTCGAGGCTGCCACGCCCCTATGTCATGTCAGCTTTGCTTGCCAAGCGGGAAAAAACAGGCTTGTTGAAGTGCTTGTTAAACTGCAGGAGACCCGTCGACAGAACTTAAACCCTCTCCTCTTTCAATGAAGTCGCCGGTGTGTAAGCATTTTGGATTTCCAGTGAGTTATGTTGACAACGTTCGTGTTGTCGACAAAAAAAAAACAAAGTTTTGCAAGCTCTGCTATGTACGTATTACGTACGGTTCGTCCGATAGACAACACCAGCATCGCGATCCTCCGCCCGCCCCCGTTGCAAATCCTCTCGCGAAAAGTACACACTCAGGCCCTGTTTACACTGTCTTTGTTTTTAAATGGCATTTTAGAACGACAACGATTTGACATCCACAGTGGCGTGTAGCATTTCTGAGCAGCCCTCCTTCCTTACTACCTCTGGAAATGCACATCACGTGACCACACAGACACACACACACACACACACACACACACACAGACACAGACGCACACACACAGCCATGCGCTCGAGACAGCGGGTTCAGGCAGTCAGAGGACTGCTTCAATCTTTCACTCACTTGTACTAAGTCATTTTAGCGAACACCTCAGATACTGTTGGCTGGTTCCTGTTGGTTGTGCGTCTTTTTTACCGACGCCATTATAACGACACAGATCACTGCCTATTCACGAGTCCCGCAGAAAAAGTGATTGACAGGTGGTAATTATGTGTGTATCTTGCCTTTATTCATTTACTGTATGATTTGTTTATGGGTAAAACAAAGATGATCCAGGTCAGGTAGTTTAAACGATAGGCTACAAATAATTAATTGGTCATTAATTAATTAATTATTCGTAATCGAAAATCGAATCGAATCGAGGATTTGGAGGATCGTGACACCCTTAATATATATATATATATATATATATATATATATATATATATATATATATATATATATATATATATATATATATATAATAAAGTCTTATTTGTTTTATTTCGGCTATAACAAAAGCAGTTTTGAATTTTATATGAACCATTTTAGGGACAAAATTGTTAGCCCCTTAGAGCTATATTTTTTCTCGATAATCTACAGAACAAACCACTGTTATACAATAACTTTCCTAATACCCCTAACCTGCCTAGTTAACCTAATTACCCTAGTTAAGCCTTTAAATGTCACTTTATGCTGTATAGAAGTGTCTTGAAAAATATCAAGTAAAATATTATTTAGAGTCATCATTGTAAAGATTAAAAAAATCAGTTATTAGAAATGAGTTATCAAAATTGTTATGTTTAGAAATGTGTTGAAAAAAAAAACTTCTCTCCGTTAAACAGAAATTGGGGAAAAAATAAACAAGCGGTTTAATAAGTTAGGGGGGCTAATAATTCTGACTTCAACTGTGTGTGTGTGTGTGTGTGTGTGTGTGTGTGTGTGTTTGTGTGTGTGTATATATTTCTATTCTTGTCTTGAATGGGCGTCTCAAATGAAATGTGAATGAACAAAAAGGTGTTTTAGTCACCCAAACTGTAGGCAAGTAAAAATATCACATCTACTAGGTAAAAAAAAAATGGATAAACTGCTAAATAAAAGGACTCTTCTCGTTAAATTAGGATAGTCAGGGTTTTTTTTAAATGCAAGTATAATAGTAAAGTGTTCAGTGAATGTGTTATTAGGCTAAACAGATATGCTAACAATGACATCCTACACTGATGGATAGTTTCCCCACCCTTGTGTTTAGCATTGTACAAAAAAATTCCACACAATTAAGTCCACTTGTTTTTACATATTTAAGTGGACTGAACATAAAACAATTAAGTTGTGCCTCCAAAAACATCAAGAATTGTGTTGTTTCAGCTCATTTTAAGACAAACGGCATATTAACAAACAGCAAAGATAAATCATTTTTTTCTGCTTGTTCAAACTACTTGCATAAAATAAGCTGATACAACACGATTCTTGAGAGTTTTTGGGGACAACTTAACTGTTTTATGTTCATTACACTTAAATTTGTAAAAACAAGACAACTTAATAGATTTGTGTTTGGACAACATGAATGAATTGAGTGGGACTCTGCGTTTTTACTGTGTATTGTTGTTTTTATAAGGAGATCATTGAATATATTGAAAAAAATATATATACAGAGCATGAAAGTATTCATAGCGCTTCACTTTTTCCACATTTGTTTATGTTACAGCCTTATTTCAAAATGGATTAAATTGATTTATTTCCTCAAAATTCTACACACAATCCCCCATAATGACAATGTGAAAAAAGAGTTTTAGAAATTGTAGCAAATTTATTAAAAATAAAAACCTGGAAAAATCAGCTGTACATCAGTATTCACAGGCTTTGCTCAATACTTTGTTAATGCACCTTTGGCAGCGATTACAGCCTCAAGTCTTTTTGAATATGACGCCACAAACTTTGGCTCCTGTCTTGGGGAACTTGTGCCTATTCCTCTTTGCAGTACCTCTCAAGCTCTGTTAGGTTGGACGGGAAGCGATGGTGTACAGCATATTTTCAGATCTCTCCAGAGATGTTCAATAGGATTTGGGTCTGGGCTCTGGCTGGGCCACTCAGGGACATTCACCGAGTTGTTGTGAAGCCACTCCATTGATATTTTGGCGGTGTGCTTTGGGTCATTGTCCTGCTGGAAGATGAACCATCACCCCAGTCTGGGGTCAAGAGCACTCTGAAGCAGGTTTTCATTCAGGATGTCTCTGTACATTGCTGCATTCATCTTTCCCTCTATCCTGACTAGTCTTTCAGTTCCTGCTGCTGAAAAACATCCCCACAGCATGATGCTGCCACCACCATGCTTCACTGTAGGGATGCTATTAGCCTATTGATGAGCGCTGCGTGGTTTTCTCCAAATATAATGCCTGGCATTCACTCCAAAGAGCTCAATTTTAGTCTCATCAGACCAGAGCATTTAGTTTCTTATGGTCTGGGAGTCCTTCAGATGCCATTTGGCTTCCATCTGGCCCCTCTACCATACAGGCCTGATTGGTGGATTGCTGCAGATGGTTGTCCTTCTGTAAGGTTCTCCTCTCCCAGAAGATCGCTGGAGCTCAGACAGAGTGACCATCAGGTTATTGATCACCTCCCTGATTAACGCCCTTCTGCCCGATCACTCTGCTTAATTGGCCGGCCAGCTCTAGGAAGAGTCCTGGTGGTTCCAAACATCTTCCACTGATGGATGATGGAGGCCGCTGTGCCCATTAAAACTTTCAGAGCAGCAGACTTTTTTCTGTAACCTTCCCCAGCCTTGTGCCTCGAGACAATCTTGTCCCGGATTTCTACAGACAATTCCTTTGTCTTCGTGCTTGGTTTGTGCTTTAACATGTCACGGCAAAGCCTGAAAATACTGATGTACATGTGATTTTTCAGGTTTTTTATTTTTAATAAATTTGCAACAATTTCAAAAACTCTTTTTTCCACATTGTTATTATGGGGTATTGAGTGTAGAATTTTTAGAAAATAAATGAATTTAATCCATTTTGGAATAAGGCTGTAACATAAACAAATGTGGAAAAATTGAAGCGCTGTGAATACTTTCTGGATGCACCGTATATACAGTTGAAGTCATAAATTACTAGCCCCCCCCTGAATTATTAGAACCCCTGTTTATTTTTTACCCTATTTCTGTTCAACAGAGAGAAGATTTCTTCAACACATTTCTAATCATAATAGTTTTATTAACTCATTTCTAATGACTTATTTTGTCTTTGCCATGATGACAGTAAATAATATTTAACTAGATATTTTTCAAGACACTTCTATACAGTTTAAAGTGAGTTTTAAAGGCTTTAACTAGGTTGATTAGGTTAACTAGGCAGGTTAGGGTAATTAGCGTTATTGTATAACGATGGTTTGTTCTGTAGACTATCGAAAAAAAAGTTAGCTTAAAGGGCTAATAATTTTGTCCTTAAAATGGTGTTTAAAAAATTAATAACTGCTTTTATTTTAGCCGAAATAAAACAAATAAGACTTTCTCCAGAAGAAAAAAACATTATCAGACATGCTGTGAAAATTTCCTTGCTCTGTTAAACATAATATGGGAAATATTAAAAAAGCAACAAAAATTCAAAGGGGGGCTAATAATTCTGACTTCAACTGTATGTATATGAGCATGTGGTTAACAAAGGTGGTTTGACATTTCACAGGTTTCTATTGTGATGTCTTGAATAGGCGTCTCAAATGAAATGTACAGCCTTGTGAATGAACAAAATTCTGTTTTAGCCACCCCAACTGTGGGAAAGTACACAAAAAAGAAAAAGATGTTTTGCTGCATGTTTAAACTGCATATTTAAAATGAGCTGAAAACCCATTCTTGAGTTTGTTTGTTTTTTTGGGGGGCCAACTTAATAATTTTATGTTCAATCCACTTAAATTTGTTAAAATAAAAAAGTTATCTTGATCCATTTGTGTTGAGACAATATGAAGGAATTGTGTGGAACCCAGCATTTTTTACAGTGTAAAAAACAGGGCTAATGAAATATGAATGCAAATACACACAAAACTAATGAATAAACGTTTGGTTTACCCCATTTGTCATGTTTCCTCCTCTGTTGAACGAGGGTCCACTGAGAGATGTGCCAGGAGAGAACTTGAAGTCGTAAAACACACTGTCCCCTTCTGGACCTGCAGATGAAGAACATGTTTTTAGAGCAGTTCTGCAAAACTTATCTAAAATACAATGTGCTTTCAGGGCCATTTTGAACATTTGCTGTATTAAAAGACAAACCGAAAACCTAGAACTATGATGTACGTATGATAAACAAAGATATTACAGAATTGTAAATAATGCAGTTGGGATATTATTACAAGAACAACATTCACAACCACAAATAAAAAATCTGTAGTTTAAAACTCATAACTATGATGCACCTATGATGAACTTGTTACTAAGGTAATACAGTACAGTAATGCAGTTGAGATTCATTCATTCATTCATTTTCTTGTCAGCTTAGTCCCTTTATTAATCCGGGGTCGCCACAGCGAAATGAACCGCCAACTTATCCAGCAAGTTTTTACGCAGCGGATGCCCTTCCAGCCGCAACCCATCTCTGGATAATGCAGTTAAGATTTTTCTTACAAAAACAACATTCACAGATACAAATACAAATGTAAAGCCTGTCAAATTTAAAACCTATATCTATAATGTGCCTATGCTGAATTTGTAACTACGGTATTACAGTAGTAAATTTGCAAATATTAATATATTCTTACAAAAACAACATTCCCTGATGCAAATACAAGTTAAAAAGCTGTCAAATCTAAACTATAATATGCCTATGATGAACTTGTAACTGAGGTATTACAGTATAGTAAATAAGCAAATATTGCAGTTAGGATATTATTACAAAAACAACACTCAGAGATTAAAGCCCCGTCATATTTAAAACCTATAATTATGATTAACTTAAAGTAAATGAACAAATAATGTAGATAAGAAATGATTACAAAAGCAACATTCACAAACACAAATGCAAATATAAAACCTGTATAACCTAAAACTATGATGAACTTAATGAGCCAATACTACTATTATTATTTATTACAAAACTATTCAAATTTAATTTATAAACCATTTCTAGGCTTCTAAACTAGCCTTTATTTATGTTTATTTTTTTAATAAGTCATTAATGTTTTAAAGGGTCAATAAAATCCAATTTTCTGCTTTGTTCTTTTTTACACTATTAATTATACATACAGTTGAAGTCAGAATTATCCCCCCTTTGTATTGTTTTTTTTTTTTTTTTAATATTTCCCAAATTATGTTTAACAGAGCAAGGAAATTTTCACAGTATGTCTGATAATATTTTTTCTTCTAGAGAAAGTCTTATTTGTTTTATTTCGGCAAAAATAAAAGCAGTTTTTATTTTTTTTTAATCATTTTAAGGTCAAAATTATTAGCCCCTGTAAGCTATCTTTTTTCCAATAGTCTACAGAACAAACCATCGTTGTACAATAACTTGCCTAATTAAACTAACCTGCATAGTTAACCTAATTAACCTAGTTAAGCTTTTAAATGTCACTTTAAGCTGTATACTAGTATCCTGAAAATATCTAGTCAAATATTATTTACAAAGATAAAATAAATCAGTTATTAGAGATGAGTTATTAAAACTATTATGTTTAGAAATGTGCTGAAAAATCTCCTCTCCGTTAAACAGAAACTGGGGAAAAAACAAACAGGGGGGTGAGTAATTCTGACTTCAACTGTTTATCAAAGACTAAACATCCCATTTTTGTGTCTGTAACGAATCACATTTATAAAAGCGATTCTATACAAGCATAATTAATGCAAGTGTCAACTGATTCAAATAATATTTGTGAAAATAAAATGTTCTAATGTAGGGGACTAATACTCCATCATCGTTCAGCAGAGCAGCTTAACAACCTACTTATTATGGCTGGTTAATAAATAGCTGCTGTATTATTCGCAACTATAGTATTAACAAACCTGACTAAATACTGATTAAAGTACTTTTGCTACTGCATGGTTCATAGTATTAACTATATTTTTTGCAAGTGGGTAGTATCATAGTACACAGTTTATAGGGGGAAAATATTTTTATTTTTGGACGGTCGATCTATTACCATATTTATTACTGTGCCATTGCCAAAAGACTGAAATACTACTTGGTAAGACAATCGATATCTGATGTGGCTACTGTAAATATGCGTTGTTTGGGTATTCTCTGTGTTATTTTTCCTTGGTTTAGACGGCCACCAGAATCTGTTTAGTGATAGTAAAGTAACATATACTGTATTTCACATCTTTAGGATTTTACTATCTTTGCTCTTGATTTTCCTCCCATAGAATGAAATAACTGAGACAATAGCCTATATATATAGACCTAATAAAAATATAAATTACCCAATACAGTTTTCAAATACCCGTAAGGTATATTATACCAGGGGTGTCCAAACTCGGTCCTGGAGGTCCAGTGTCCAGCATATTTTAGTTCCAACCTCAACTAAACACACCTGAGTTAGCTAATCAAGCTCTATCGAGGTACACTAGAAACTTCCAGGCAGGTGTGTTGAAGGAAGTTGGAGCTATGCAGGACACAGACCCTCCAGAACTGAGTTTGGACATCCCTCTATTATACAATACACAAACTAAAGAACAATACTGCATTTATTACAGTTTATCAACTCACTAGTTAATGTTATACTACCGTATAACATTACCGTTACTATAGCTATGGTTCAAAAGAAACGTTACTCTAGCCTGTTTTAGTTAAAAAAACTTGACTAAATCCTGCATAGCAAGGGTGAACTCCCTAGTGGGCAAGGAAGTAAGTCTGTACACACTCTTACTGCAGTATTTACTATAGAATCAAAACAACTGAGAAAAACGGAATAAGGCTTAATAAAAATAAATGATCCGATAGTGAAGTTTTCTGTAGGGAAATATTGTAGGATATGTTATACAATGCATAACAGTGTAACGTAGCAGCAAAAAAACCTAAAGAATAGGCCTACTACAGCATTTGCTAGTTTAGAAGCTCACTAATAGTATAGCATTCATAACAAAGTGTTTTAATAACACACTTTACTATAGCAGGGTTTAAAAACACAATAGTGTTACTGCTACTTTTTTTCCATGTGGTCATATAATATCCACAACGCACATTTTGCTAATCCTATAAACGAAAAACTCAAATAAAACCTGTATAACAAGTGTACACTCAGTAGTGGGCAAGGAAGATAGTGCGGACACACTCTTACTGCTGTGTTCAAAATCAAAATAACTGAGACCGTATAGACGGAATAGGCTTAATAAAAATAAATAAAACAATAGTGAAACTTTTAACACAACTACTGTAGGATATATTATACAATACATAATAGAAAAAACTAATGAATAGGCCTACTACAGCGTTTGTTAGTTTATCTGCTCACTAATAGTATACTATTGCATTCATTAAGTGTTAAAAATATAATACACTTTACTATAGTATGGTTCAAAAACACAGTGGTTTTACTGTGATGGTCAGTTTGTTGAATTTAAGTTACATCGCATCTATATGCCAACTAAGTTTCATTAGATTATAAGTAGACTGTTAGATTGGGGTTAGGGTAATTGACATGTACTTGCAAGTTTCTTATAGTCAGTTAAATGTCTGTTGAAGGAGCAGCATCAGCAGATATTAAGCAGACAGTCTACTAATACTCAAATGGACCATCAATGTTTTCATGTGGATATGAAATATCCAAAATGAACATTTTGCTAATGCCGTAAAAGAAAAACTCGACTAAATCCTGTACAGCAAAGGTGCACTCACTAGTAGCATTCATATTAGCATTCATTAAAAAAAAGTTGTAAATACTGTAATAGACTTTACTATAGTATAGTTCAAAAACCCAAAAGTTTGCCTATTTACTGTAGCAAATGTTTCATGTGGAACAGTGGTGTAGTCCTTGCTATACGCATGTATACTCAGTATGCTTACTTTTTTCCACGAGCTTTTTGGGTATTACTACTTCTGAAGATAAATAATTAAGTATACTCTCTGTATACTCACTCGTTTTTCTGATTAAACTTCACTGAAAAAGTGTTGCATGCAGAACTGTTGCAAACAAATTAATTGTGTTCAATTTAAACAAACAAATTAAATTTAATAATGTTCAACTTAATTTGTTTGTTTAAACTCAACACAAATACATTGTTTACAACCGCTTAACGTAAATAAATTGAGTAAATCCAAGAAATCATCTCTAAATAATTTTTTCAGTGTTCCTTAATTTACGTGTATTCTTGTCCCCTTCAACTGTATACCAAACGGGTTTTTTTTTTAAACTCACAACCTAATTTGTTAAGATGTGCCCATTTCTTACAATTCTTTCTATATACATATATATATACACACACACACACACACACACACATATATATATATATATATATATATATATATATATATATATATATATATATATGTGTGTGTGTGTGTGTGTGTGTGTGTGTGTGTGTGTGACACATTTTTCTTTGTTTTCTGCTCCTGATCCACCCTAAAATGAAAATCCTAAAATCGCCCCAGTAAAACAGTATTTCACATTTGTCTTAATTGTGCAGCCACAGTGATAAAACACTATACAGTAGGCTATTTGACACTAAAAACGATGTGGCAAAGATTACTCATAAAATCGTGTAACAATGTGCGATTTAAAAGGGTAACTGACTACAATTAGGCTATATAAACGCGACAGCACAAGACAGAATACTAACAGTTTGGTTCAACACAAGCATGCACGAATGTGACAATTAAAAATAAAATTTATGTTTAAAGAAACAATTAAAATTAAAATTAAATTAAATATAAATTAAAATATATATAAAATATAAATTAAAATTTATGTTTAAAGAAACCTATAAAACATGCATATTTCCAATGAATCAAGGAAAAATTGACTTCCGTCGTTTCTTTGCCTACTTTTATTAAAAATTTGTGTCGGGTGTAATAGTACACCACTTTTTTTAGAACTACACCACTGATGTGGAAATACAGTAAATTATAGAAAAAGAAAAGAAAAACTCGACTAAATCCCGGATAAGAAGCGACTTGTGCGATGTGGTGCACTTACTAGTGGGCGAGGTGGCGAGTGCGGACACACTCTTGCTCTTGCTCCTGTATTTGGACTTGCTCTTCTTGATGGTGTGCACCTGCTCCAGCACCCGCTGCTGCGCGGATCTATGCTCGATGTCGGACGGCACCGCCAGGGACGTGTCCTCCATATTCCCCAGAGACAGGGCCGATTTTAAAGGTTCGGGCATCATTTCGTCTTTAGTCTCCGCTCCAGAGACAGGCGAGGTCCGATTCGTAAAGCTCCAGGTATCTGTTGCTGCGTCTCGGTGTGGCTGCTGAGTGTGTGTGTGTGTGTTTGATCCGGGGATTGACTCACGGAGAGACCCACCTGGTCCAGCCCTCACACACGCCCTTATGACGAGTGAGCGAAACCCATTCAACACCTGTCCCGCTCCCGAGAACACCAGCACATCATTAATGATGGAACAAAGTGTCACTTTTAATAAGGAGCAAGCTTTCAAGTGCCTGTTTTCTGTTCAATACGGGAAAAGGCGTAGCTGGGCAGGACGAGGAGATGTTCTTATTCACAAAGCAGCAGCTTTAATATGCCTTTAGAGAGTAAATGACGAAATAATGAGCTAGAGATAGTAAGAAAAAAATAACATGAGGAAAAAGTCATGTTAACAAATGCTTTTTATGTTAATTTTACTTATTTTAACACGTTGATCAGGTTAAGAAAAGTTTAGCTTAACAGTTTCGTCAGTTTAAATAATGTAAATTGAGATTACTAAAAGGTCATTTGATTCAACTAAAATCATAAGGCTGATGTTCTTTTTGGAGGATGGTAAACTGGAATGCTAATGTATTTCAGCATTTGATTTGAGAATGTATAGAGATTCAAATTTAGATTTTATTATTTATTATATTATTTTATAATAACGAAATTAAAACAAGTATCAGACGAGTTGAAAACTCTACTATACATTTTAGCAAGGGCGTAGATTCGCTCTTGACATCAAGTCAGAATTATTAGCCCCTCTTTGAATTTTATTTTTCTTTTCTATTTTAAATATTTCCCAAATGATGTTGAGCAGAGCAAGGACATTTTCACAGTGTCTCTGATAATATTTTTCTTCTGGAGAAAGTCTTATTTGTTTAATTTCGGCTAGAATAAAAGCATTTTTTAATTTTTTAAAGACCATTTTAAGAACAAAATTATTAGCCCCTTTAAGCTTACTTTTTTGTAGTCTTCAGAACAAACCATCAATAACTTGCCTAATTACCCTAACCTGCCTAGTTAACCTAATTAGCCTAGTTAAGCCTTTTAATGTCACTTTAAGCTGTATAGAAGTGTCTTGAACAATATCTAATTAAATATTATTTACTGTCATCATGGCAAAGATAAAATAAATCAGTTATTAGAAATGAGTTATAAAAACTATTATGTTTAGAAATGTGTTGAAGAAATCTTCTCTCCATTAAACAGAAATTGGGGAAAAAATAAACAAGTCTAATAATTCAGAGGGGCTAATAATTCTGACTTCAACTGTACATAGAGCACATGCACTGAACAGCACAAATTCTGTTTCAAGCTTTTTAAAACATGAATAAAGTACTTAATAATATAAAATAAACACTTAATAATACAAATAACAATCCCGTGTCATGCTGCAAAAGTCAACTTACATGATTTTACAGCAGTCAGGCCTTGAGGAGGAATGAATGTAGAGAAATTTAGGGAGGTGAGTGATGCAATTTTTTTATTTTTATCCGGATTTATTGTTTTTCATAATCATGGAGGCCAAAATCAAAACTGAATTTTAAATAATTGCACAGCCTTGGTTAACAGTATTACGATGAACTAGTGGCGAACTTGATTTAGTGAATGTGTTAAGAGTTGAAGGAGCATTACTTTATTTTGAATTGATTATTGACAGCACCATTGCAGTAATTGGTGGATATTGGTGAGGACACTTCCCCTCCGTCCATGCCAATTCGCATTTTAAAGTCAGTCCTTGGTCCCACTTTGTATTAAGTGGCCTTAACTAATGGGAAGCGAGGGTGTACAGCCATTTTCAGATCTCTCCAGAGATGTTCAATAGGATTTAGGTCTGGGCTCTGGCTGGACTACTCAAGGACATTCACTGAGTTGTTGTGAATTTGCTGCATTCATCTTTCCCTGCTGACTAGTCTTCCAGTTCCTGCTGCTGAAACACATCCCCACAGTCTCACGGTAGGGATGCTATATGCCTGGTGATGAGCGCTGCCTGGTTTTCTCCAAACATAATGCCTGGCATTCACTCCAAAGAGTTAAATTTTAGTCTCATCAGAGCAGAGAATTTTGTTTCTTATGGTCTATAAGTCCTTCAGATGCCTTTTGGCAAATTCCAGAAGGGGAGTGGCTTCCGTCTGGCCACTTTACCATACAGGCCTAATTGGTAGATTGCTGCACAGATGGTTGTCCTTCTGAAGGGGGGGTTGGGGTTGAGGGTGTCTATTCTACCACCCTAGACGCGGCTATAACTGAGGCATGGGTGGCGAGGGTAGTTTAGGGGACGCCGCCCTATCTATTCTGCGGCCCTAGACGCGGATATAGGCTAACTGAGGCGCGGGTGGCGAGGGTAGTTTAGGGGACACCACCCTCTCTATTCTGCCGCGCTAGACGCGGATACAACTGAGGCGCGGGTAGTTTCGGGGACGCCGCTCTCTATATTCTGCCACCCTAGACGCGGATATAATTGTGGGCGCGGGTGGCGAGGATAGTTTCGGGGACACCGCTCTCTCTATTCTGCCACCCTAGACGCGGATGAGGGCGTGGGTGGCGAGGGTAGTTTCGGGGACGCCGCCCTCTCTATTCTGCCGCCTAGGTTGCCTCTATGGAAGCTCCAGCCCTGTCTAGGAAGAGTCCTGGTGGTTCCAAACATCTTTCACTTAGGGATGATGGAGGCCGCTGTGCTCATTGGAACTTTCAGAGCAGCAGAAATTTTTCTGTAACCTTCCTCAGCGTTGTGCCTTGAGACAATCCTGTCTCTGAGGTCTACAGACAATTCCTTTGTCTTCATGCTTGGTTTGTGCTTCGACATGCAATATCAACCCTGAGCCTTTATATAGACAGGTGTAGCCTTTTCAAATCACGTCCAATCACATGAGTTTACCAGAGGTGACTCCAATTAAGCTGCTGAAAGATCTCAAGAATGATTAGTGGAAACAGAATGTACCTGAGCTCAATTTAGAGCTTCACTGCAATTTTGGTGACACCAGACCCCATGAGTCTGTGTGCATTCAGGTTTAAGTCCCCATCAGGATATAAAAACAAGCACACACACACACACACACACACACACACACACACACACACACACACACACACACACACACACACACACACACACTTTCTCTCTATTAGTGACTTCTCTTTGCAAAGCTTTTCTCCTTTAATTGATTTAAGTCGTCAATCCAGTTGTGGCAGGAACGTTTAGTGACCTGCCCTTTCAGATAAAGGCCGCCTAGAGAGGATTAAATCTCAACAAATGATGAGTCTTGAGCATCAGGACAGTGTTCTAGCACTCTCAGACAGCATAAGTTGTACTTTTGACTGTATTTATCTGAGAGACTGTTTACCAATATGAAGAATGCAGTGATCATGTGCATCCCTGAGGCCATGAGCTGAAGTGCTGAGAATCTCCATGAGTAAGATGGAGACTCATCAGATGTCAGGGCTGCAGACGGCATTACTAACAGCTCATGTGCAGACAGCAGGGCCAGACACACCCTTGATAGAGCTCTGTATGGGCAGGTCTCGCTTTACATGTGTGTCATCGCTAATGTTACAACACGCCAGCGAGCGCACTGAGAAAGTCAATGGGAAGGTTCTGGGGTTTGTCCCATTCTCTGAGACCAAACAGGAGGAGAGTCACTTTCGTTGCTTCTTAAGTGCATAAATAAGCATTAAAAATGCACACAAAGCATAATTCTCCTGCGATTATTAAGTTGCATGCACAATTAGCTGACTTTACTTTAATAAAGCGAATCAACCCAGTGTTTTTAAAGTGACTGAATGACTTTACAGGCGGTTCATTCTGCTGTGGCGGCCCCTGAAAAATCAGAGAGTAAGCCAAAGCAAAGTGAATGAATGAATAATTGGGTATCACTTTATTTTGATATTTCCCTTTAGTGATAGTCCCTTTATTGAATTTAAGTTACATTGCATCTACATGCCAACTAATTATCACTAGATTATAAGAAGACTGTTGGGTTGGGGTTAGGATTGGGGTTCAGGTTAGGTTTAGTTCAGGTTAAGTTGACATGTACTTTCAAAGTTTCATATAGTCAGTTAAATGTCTGTTGAAGGAGAAGTATCAGCAGATTTTAAGCCAGACAGTCTACTAATATTTAAATGAGAAGTAATTGACATGTAATTGCAATGCAACTTTTAGTCAATAAAATGTGCAACCGGCACCATCAAAATAATTGCCTTTACTTTAAAAAAAAGTGAGTAAACCCACTGATTTTGAAGCAATTAAATGACTTTACAGGTGATTCTTTCTGCTGTGGCGACCCCTGGGATTAAGCCAAAGAAAATTTCATTAATATATAATTGACTTTACCTTAAAAAGTAAGTAAAGCTATTTCTTTTAAAGTGATTAAATGACTTTACAGATGGTTCATTCCACTGTGGCAACCCCTAATAAATCATGGACTAAGCCAAATGAAAGTGATTGAATAAATAATTGACTTTACTTTTTAAAAAGTGAGTAAATCATTTATTTTAAATAGATTAAAATACTTTACAGGTGGTTCATTCCAACGCAATGTCACGGCAATTCGTAGCTTTTTGATATAGTGGCTAAATCGTGCAATATAATTCGTACAATTTTGTACGATTTGCTCAACACCCAATAACTGTTGGGGTTAGGGCTGGGTGCCATGCCTCCTTTTTAAAATCTTACATTTTTGTACGACTGAACTCGTCTGAATTCGTACGAATTAGCCAGTAAACTGACAAAACGTAAAACACTTACATTTCCTCATAAGATCAGGTGGTTCATTCAACTGTGTCGACCCTTAATAAATCATAAGCCAAAAGTAAGTGAATGAATGAATAGTTGACTTTACTTTTAAAAAAGCGAGTAAACCCAGTGCTTTTAAAGTGATTCAATGACTTTACAGGCGGTTCATTCTACTGAGGCGACCCCTAACAAATCAGAGAGTAAGCCAAAGAAAATTGAATGAATGAATAATTGGGTATCACTTTATTTTGATGGTCCCTTTGTTGAATTTAAGTTACATTGCATCTACATGCCAACTATTTATCACTAGATTATAAGAAGACTGTTGGGTTGGGGTTAGGATTGATTTAAGGTTAGTGTAAGTTGACATGCACTTGCAAAGTTTCTTATAGTCAGTTAAATGTCTGTTGGAGGAGCAGAATCAGCAGATATTAAGCACAGTCTGCTAATACTCAAATGAGCAATTGGCATGTATTTGCAAAGCCACTTTTAGTCAACAAAATGTGCAATTGGGTCCATAAAAATAAAGTCTTACAAATAATTGCCTTTACTTTAAAAAAGTGAGTAAACCTATTGATTTTGAAGCAATTAAATGACTTTACAGGGGATTTATTCTGCTGTGGCGACCCCTGGGATTAAGCCAAAGGGAATTGAATTAATGAATAATTGACTTTAAAAAAGTAAGTAAAGCCATTTCTGTGATTAAAAGTGATTAAAAGATTTTACAGGTGGTTCATTCCACTGTGGCAACCCCTAATAAATCATGGACTAAGCCAAAAGAAAGTAAATAAATGAACAAATGAATAATCAAGGAGAATTTTGTAGACAAGCAAAACATACTGTCTTGTTTTAAGATATATTATGCCAAAATTAAGTGAATTTTTCCTTGAAACAAGTTAAATAATCTGCCAATGGGGTAAACAAAATAATCTTATGTCAAAAGGAAAAACAAGATAATTTTGCTCACCCCAATGGCAGATTATTTTGCTTGTTTTAAGAAAAAACTCATTTAATATTGACATATTATTTCTGAAAACAAGACGATATGTTTTGCTTGCCTAGAAAATGCTTCTTGATTTAGGAATTTTTAGATGTTTGGACTAGAAACAAGACAAAAAAATCTAAGTAAGAAAAGCATTTTTTGCAGTGTGGGTCTCAAACTCAATTCCTGGAGGGCTGCAGCTCTGCAGTTTTGCTCTAACCCTAATCAAACACAACTTATGCAACTAATCAAGATATTTAAGACTCTTTTGATTAGGGTTAGAGCAAAACGGAGCTGCAGCCTTCCAGGAGTTTGAGACCCATGTCATGAAGTTTTGAAGCACATGATGGTGAGTTAATTGAACGGGTGAACTATCCCTTTATGAAGATTCAAACAGTTTAGTGAAACATTTTAGTGACCAGTTCTTCAAAGAACCATTAATTGATTGAACAGTGTGAAGAACATTTAAAATATCTAACAAAAGCATTTCCACTATAATAAACCTTTTGCGAAACGGAAGGTTCTGCATTAAACTACCAATAAGTGTATTTAGGAAATAATAACAAGCATTAAACCTGTCAACTTTCCAGAGATTGTCAAAATTCTGCTAACCAACATTGCCCTCTTGTGGCAAGTAGACTCCATTTAAATCAATAGAACAGAACCAGCGAGATGAAAAACGGATGTGCTTTGTTTATTCTTTCTATAAAAGGAACAGCTGTGTAATAAAACCATTCTGTTATAGATAAATGAGGTTGTTGACTGGTTAAACAAAAGTAAACTTTACAGATACACAAATGTTATGACAGCATGACTTACAGTACATTGTGTTTTATACTTCACTTGACGTTCCCGAATTAAAACAAATGGTAAAATACAGATGTTCTGGTATCCCAAAAAGACGAACTTAACTGTAGCATCCAGTTTCAAATAAAAGCACACAATCTTTACATGATGATGATTGGAAATATTTCACACATGAAGGACAGAAACACCCGCCCAGCAGGTCTACATTAGCAAAAGGTTTAAAGCATAATTTAATATTCCTATCAAGTGATTGTGGTCCGTTCATCAATAATATGCATGCATGAATGTAAATACACATCTGTAGCAAAAATTTAGATTTCATTTGAAAATGATAAATTTTTTTTAAATGTTTAATTTAATTATGCATTTAGTGAAAAGATTTTTTTAAATTCTGTTAATTTCTCATCTAATTTCTGTATTATAGAATTGTATTATAAAACTTTGTTATTTGTTTTCCGAAGAGTTATGACATTAATATTTGGTGGAAAAAGTGCAGATTTTTACTCAAACAATGAATCATGTTGAAGAGGAAACATTTGGTATTAATTGTTATTTTCCAAAAAAAATAATAAAAAATTAATTAAAACTTAAAAAAACCTAACAAGCAAATTAAATAACATTATTTTTAATATGTTATTACCCTTACAAACCCTATTTTTTATTTGTTTTAAACATTTTTTTTATTCATATCTAAATCTAAACTTCTTTCATAGCTGCATATATTATGATTTCAGAGGTTAATATTATTGAGTGGAATAAATTAACGATTAAAGTTCATAATATTTTTGTTAGATAAGCAAGTTCGATAATCATTATTATTCTTGATTTAACAAAAAAGTTCTAAATCAATTAATACATTAGGTATACATATATATATATATATATATATATATATATATATATATATATATATATATATATATATATATATATTTTTTTTTTTTTTTTGTACTAATTCTACACTTCTTTTGGAAGTTTGCTGAGGCCCTTGAATGAAACCCAAAGCTCCCTTAAACGTGAATTATATCTGCCATGATCACCTTGTTTTCACAAACATTGTGAAAAAGCTGCATAGTTATTAAAACCTGACAAGTGTTAAGACTTCATAAATCTGGCCCAGCATCCTTCACATAATTAAAAGTCATGACTACTAATGAACAATTAATATCTCAATGACAGGCAGATAATAAGCCAGTAGAAAATGAGATACAAATGTGCCAAATTCTTGCCATCGAGTGGATTTTGCAGGACAGAACCTTGAGGGACTCCTTAAGCTGTTTCTAAATGCTACTTAACTACTTGCTTATTTCCTGCCTATTATTAAGATATTAACTAATCACTACTAGTTATAAAACATTATTCCATTGCTAAAAAGCTACAAATTAGCCAAATTTTAGTGCTCAAGTCCATTTTTCAGATAGTCCGAGGACAGAACCTTGGGGGACTCCTTACGAAGTTGCTAAAGGTTATTAACTGCTTGCTTATTACCTGCCTATTGTTAAGATATTAACTGGTTATTACTAGTTAAAAAATATGATTCCATTGCCAAAAAGCTACAAATGAGGCAAATTCTTTCATTCGAGTGGATTAGGCAGACGGGTCGTTGACAAAACCTTGAGGTATTCCTTAAGCTGTTAAGATATTAACATATCATTACTAGTTATAAAGTATGATTCCATTGCTAAAAAGCTACAAGTGTGCCAAATTCTTGCACTCGAGTGGACTTCGCAGACGGTCCGAGGGCAGAACCTTGGGGTACTCCTTAAGCTGTTTGTGAAGGCTATATATCTACTGGATTATTACATGCCTATTATTAAGACATAACTCTTCATCACTAGTTATAAATAATGATTTAATTGCTAAATATATAGAAATAAGCTAAATTTTTGCACTCGAGTGGATTTCGGCAGATGGTTCAAGGGCAAAATCTTTGTGGACTCCTTAAGGCTGTTCCTAAAGGCTACTTAACTACTAGCTTATTAACTGCCTATTATTAAGATATGAACTGTTTATTACTAGTTATTAGGTATTATTCCATTACTAAATATCTACAAATGAGCCAGATTCTTGTAATCGAGGTGATTTCACTGATGGTCCGGGGACAGAGCCTTGGGGGATTCCTTAAGCCAGTAGTTAAGTATCCTTCAGGAACAGCTTATTACCTGCCTATTATTAAGATATGAACTGTTTATTACAGGTTATAAAGTATGATTCCATTGCTAAAAAGCTTCAAATGAGCCAAATTCTTGCATTGAAGGGGGTTTTGCAGATGGTCCGAGTACAGAACCTTGGGGGACTACTTAAGCTGTCCTTGAAGGCTACTTAACTACTGGCTTATTACCTTCCTATTATTAAGATATGAACTGTTCGTTACTAGTTATAGAGTGTGATTTTATTGCTAAAAAGCTGCAAATGAGCCAAATTATTGCACTCAAGTGGGTTTCACAGATAGTATGAGGGCAAAACCTTAGGGGACCTCTTAAGTTGTTCCTCAAGGCTACTTAACTACTGGCTTATTACCTACCTATTATTAAGTTATGAACCATTAATTATTAGTTATTAGTTATAATTCCATTGCTAAAAATCTACAAATGAGCCAGATTCTTGCAATCGAGTGGATTTTGCTGACGGTCCGAGAACAGAACCTTGGGGTACTCCTTAAGCTGTTCCTGAAGGCTACTAACTGCTAGTCTCATCTGGTCCTCAGTGCCCTGCAGTGCCTTCACCTCCATACTGTAGAAGATGTACAGCATCAGTGTGGAGAGCAGGATGGCAAAGCACAGCGCCCCCAGCAGGTAGAAGGTGGCTTTAGGAAAGGGCTGTTCGGCTCCAAGAGCAAACAACGGGATGGCGGCGATGACCAGCTCCAGTATTAACAGGACAAGACCCATGATTCCTGTACGGGCCGCGGTGTAGCGCATGCCCTCAGAGCAGTGCAGACCCACCTTTACTTCAGTACGAGCTTCATTTACTGTGTTGACCAGCTCAGGAAGATCATCTGAGAAATAAACCAATTCAAATCAAATCAAATTCAAACAATATGATATGCAGTAAAATGCTTTACACAACCACTCGTGACCTTAAAATAATAACAACAATATTAAAAATAATTATAATAACAACAAGAATCTATATTTAGAGAGATAGAAGTTAGAGAATAAAAACAAGTATTAACTATTTAAAGACTTTCGATATAGAGTATGTGGTTGTAGAAAAATTACAAAGTATAAAAATATAATCAACATTTAAAATTTATAGTTATATTCAAAGTGACTGTTAAGACATTTGGTAACACTTTAGTTTAGGCCATAATTCATGCTATAAACTACTGGCTTATTACCTGCCTATTATAGAGATATTAACTGTTCATTAGTAGTTATAAAGCATGATCTTGTTTTACATCATTAAAGGCTGATTTATACTTCTGCGTCAAACGCACGCATATGCTACGGCGCTGATGCATAGCCCTTCGCCGTGGCCGTCACTGACGTGCACCTCTCAAAAAATGTAACTACACGTCGCAACGACGCGTAGCGTAAGCTCTGTGATTAGTTGGCTTGGTAGCGCTGACGAGTCTGGGCGGGACCGAGAGCCGCGCGAATGGCGCAAGCGATTGTTTACAAGTGTGGAGTCCCGTGAAGGAGCTCCGGATGGAAAGTTTTGTTTTATGTTTACCTCGTAGTTAAAGTTGTTGCATGTCCGCCGGTTCCTGCCTCAAAATGAGCGAGTTTGAGCCACTTGTACATCCCGGAAGTGTTCAGGAAAAGCAAAAAAGCAGCGAAGAAACTCGACACAGAGACACATTTACACCTCACTGCCAACTAGCGTTTCGGAAGTGTTAATGCAGACCAACAGAGACAGCGCGCAGAAGTATAAATGCACAGCCACGCGCGTTGCATGTGCCGTGGGTTACGCCGGTCACTTGACGCAGAAGTATAAATCAGGCTTTATCCTTTACTAACTAATAATAAACAGCTAATTAGTAGTTTATTAAGCTAGAAGTGGTAGTTAATGGTCTTTTAATGCCATGAATTGTGGCCTAAAGCGTTAGCAGACATTTATAATGTGTTAAAAGATTAAGTATAATTTCTGTTTTTTGTACATATTATACATTAAAGAATATATAGATGTCCACAAAGATGAGGCTGTTTTTAACACTGATAATAATGAAAATTTTATTTCCTAGGCATATAATATAATATTACTAATATATTACCATTATGATACATGGAATAATATTTTACAATATTACTTATTACACTTTTTTTTATAATATAAAAGCATTATTGGTGAGGTTTTTAAACACATTTAAAAATCTTACCAACCTTTAACATTTCAACATTGCAGCTGATGTAAAGAAAAAAATTGTTGCACAATATCAGCCCTAAAATTAAAATTATGATATCATGTACTGTACCAACTCAACATGATATCATCATTTTGCAATTTTGTGGTTAGAAACTTCACCAAAAATGTAGATTTTTCGTTGCATTACAACAGAATGTATCAGACAAGCTGAGTTATTATTTTAGGCATATTAATAAAAATAAAAGTTCATTTTATTTAATTTTTAATTAATTAATGTTATTTTTAAAATAAGCCATAAGACTGACCAAAGTGCTGTACATATAAGTAATATTAATGAAAAATATTTAAATAAATTATAAAAACAAAGAAATAAAACCAAGAAAAACAATAGATATACTATTAAAAACAAAACATTTGACAAAACTAGTAGTATAATATTAATTTGCCAAACTTAACAGGTTATAATAATAATTAGAATAATATTATACACCAACTGGCCACTTTATTAGGTACACCTGTCCAACTGCTCGTTAACGCAAATTCAGCCAATCAAATGGCAGCTACTCAATGCATTTAGGCATGTAGACATGGTCAAGATGATCTTCTGCAGTTCAAACCGAGCATCAGAATGTGGAAGAAAGCTGATTTAAGTGACTTTGAACTTGGCATTATTGTTGGTGCCAGACGGGCTGATCGGAGTATTTCAGATATTGCTAAACTACTTGGGTTTTCATGCACAACCATCTCTAGGGTTTACAGAGCAGCAGTTCTGTGGGTGCAAATGCCACATGCAAATAGATAGGCTACAGCAGCAGAAGACCGCGGGTGCCACTCCTGTCAGCTAAGAACAGGAAGCTGAGGCTACAATTAACACAGGCTTACCAAAATTGAAGATTGGAGTAACAATGTCTGGTCTGATGAGTCTCGATTTCGGCTGCAACATTCAGATGGTCGGGTCAGAATATGGTATCAACAACATGAAAGCATGGATCCATCCTGCCTTGCATCAATAGTTCAGGCTGGTGGTGGTGGTGTAATGGTGTGGGGAGATTTTCTTGGCACACTTTGGGCTCAGTACCGATTGACCAATATCTCAGAGGAATCTTTCCAGGGTTGACTCTATGTCAAAAGGATTAAGGCAGTTCTGAAGGCAAAAGGGGGTCCAACCCAGTACTAGTAAGGTGTACCTAATAAAGTGGCCAGTGAGTGAATATCATTTAATAATTAAAAATAATAATAATAATAATAATAATATACAGGTTTGTAGCAATATGAGAGTTCCTGAAATGTAAATGAGTAAATACAAGTTTTGCTCTAGCGTTTCCTCTAATGAATCTTCCACATGCCAAAAACACCCAAACTTTAATAGTTATTTAGTTTACTGGCAAGATGTTTTTGACCCAAGATCTCAAAACTGAAGTGTAATTACCTAAAACACAGCCGGATTTGTTTTCTGCACATTTATTCCCCTTTTTAGTTGGTGTAAACAGGAACTGGGCAGTGAGAGCCTCGTGGTCAGAGTACGGAAACGGCTGTCCAGGAACAGGACCCTTAGTAGTGGACAAAGACTCGCAGCTCACATCCACTTCCCCTGATCCCTGTTCACACAAACAACACTGTTAGCATTCATGCGCACAAAAGAAAGCTATAATTAGACAACCAGAAGTTCTCTGAGGCTTTATTCATGTCTGCAAGATGTGTTAAATGCCAAAGGCTAAGACTTTGGCTTGAGGTTTGTTCAACTTACTAAACCAGAGTAGAAGAAGATGGAGGATGAGCTTCATTGACAAGTTTGTTTACATGTGTGAGGAATTTGTCTTGGTGACAAGAGTGCAGAAAGTGCAGGATTACTCAGAATTAAGGCAATAAGTAAAGGATAATGTACATCCAACTGGTTGATGTACAGTTTTATCAACAGCTGTTGTTTAAGACTGAAGAGCTTTATTGTGGAAAAATACAGCTGGATTTATTTAAAAGCTTGAAGTTTTGAAGAGTTTAGGCAAACAGACAGACAGACAGATGCTACATGCTTGCTAGCTAATATGAAACTTTACCTTGAACATGATATAGTCGATTCGGATCCCTCCGCCAAATGGAGCGAGTCCATCCGCAAGTGTGAACGGGTTTTCAGATATATGAGTGAGTCCTCCCTCGCACCCCTGGTAATAATAACATACAGACGACGTCATGAATAATAACGTAAACATTGCAAAATTTCCCTCGTTACAAGACTTCAGGTTACTCACATCAAATGTAGCAGCCTCAGTGAAGCTGTCCTGCAGTCCAGTGTAGTTTCTCAGCAGTCTGGTGCCCAGATCATCCGGATGCATGTTTAGATCTCCACCCAGAATCACCACGTCTGCTCCAGCGCTAGTGTGCCTTAAGAAAAAAAAATAAGATGAAGTAATAAAGATATACTAAACATTGTTTCAAAGCTAGGTTTTGACCGTAATGGCGAACTAAGTCTGTGATTAGACCGAACGTGCTTTATGCGCCTTTTTTTGAATGGTTTACGAATGGCCACAAGCGTTTTGCGTGCTGCTTTGGAGCTGTTCACACAGAATGCATTTTTCTCTCCAACATGGCAATTTTTCTTTTGTTTTCAATGTAAACATGCGCTGGATGGATGTGTTTTAATGTTATGCTTGCATCTTGCTTCTTTTGAAGCATTGCGTACATAAGCGTTGCATTTTAGACGCTATGTCAAGTTGAAAGATCTTTAACTCTCACACTCAGCACAGCTCATTACTGTCAGGTCTAAAAGCAGTGGACTAATCAAAAGAGCTTGGAGGCAGGGAAACCATTCAGTGCTTCTGTTTGTAGTGAAAGTTGACATGACAAAGGTTTTATATACCATTATATCATGGCGGAGAAGGCGCTCGTTTTAGTTTTGTCCAAATTTCCTGAGTTGTGTGATGTATCTTTAAGTGCTTATCATAACATATGGTTTTCCTATTTCTAACAGGTCCGTTACTGTCGTTATTACATCACGTTCATAATAATGGACCTTACACTTTTTTAAAACATATTTTTGAGCGCCGTGTCAAGTGTTTTTAGAAGCAAAGACGCATTCGGTGTGTATGAGCCCTTATGCACTTCTCGTTTTAACTGCCTGCTGCGCCTCGGATTAGAGGTCTGCATTCCCGCGGCTGTCCCGTGGGCGCCGCGGGACCCGACCAGATTTCTACGGCGCGGGTATAAATTTCCAAATAAATCACGGGAGCGGTCGGTAACGGGTTTAATTTGGGACGGGAGCAGGCTGTCTAGCAATATCGCTCCTGACTCCCGAGTGAGCACGCGTATGTATGTGTGTAAATGAAATAGCGCGATGCTGTGTTTAGCTTGTTTGTTGCAGTGTGTGTTTGTGTGTGTGTATGTATGCGCACGCGCGAATGAGAGATGAGAGATATGTGTGTATGTGTGTGTGTGTGTGTGTGTGTGTGTGTGTGTGTGTGTGTGTGTGTGTGTGTGTGTGTGTGTGTGTGCGAATGAGAGATAGAGAGCTTTGCCTCATTGCCTGTGTTTGTGCTTGGTGCTTATGAGTGTGTGTTAGAGGGCGCGCGCACGAATGAGAGAGAAAGCTTTGTCTGTGTGTGTGTGCTCGGTGCTGTGCGTGTGTGTGTTTATACAGACAGCTTGTTATAGGCTGTCTGGACTGTATAACTGGGTGATTTTTCGGTTTTGTTCTCCCCCCGCTCTTTAGCGGGATCGGGCGCGGCAGATAGAAAACGGGGCGGGTCGGGCAGCGGGACATCAAGTGCTTAATATAAGCGGGAGCGGTCGGGTTCCGGCTAAAACCTGGCAGGTGCGGGCGGGAGCGGAATTCAAAATTTAGTCCCGTGCAGATCTCTACCTCGCATTTTTGCCATTGCGCTCTGTGCACAGTCGCTTCTTTTTCATTGTCCAATCAAATGTAAGCAGAGACGGGGTTTCCGCTGAGGTGCAGCAGTGTTTGTGTTGTCAAGATGGCTACAGAGACTTTTAAATATGGAGGAGAAACTAGTGGTCACTGTTTCAGGTTATCTGGAGCTGTATGACTTCTTTTTGAGAGTCTCAAGAATCCAGACAGACCTTTGTTTCTCCTTCTCGTGAGATGGTACACCTCTCACTCTCTTTCAAGAACAGAGCAAGAGCTCTCTGTTTATTCATTAATGCTTTGCAGTTTCTGCTAATAATACAATTGTAACAATATCAATAGCAGCGCTAAAGCACAATATGGAGCTGATTCAATGGTTGCCTAGCAACATGAAAAGTGCAGCACACTTCTTATTTTTTCTTGTCAACGAGAAACTCTCAGAACAGAAAAGTGTGTTTGGTGTGAACGACACCCAAGACCCAAACAATCGGCAACCTCCCACTCTCCTTCGAGAAGCCAATACGGATGTAACTGAAACTGCAATTCATCGACTCGCCTATAGGGGCTGGCTCCAGGAATTCCAGATGTTCTCTGACTGCAATGCTAAATTGGCCAATTTTACAGCTGATAAAAACATGTTTACAGCCTGCTACGAAAGATGGTTTTGGTGCATATAGCTAATATTACCCTTCATGACAACTGTGAGGGAGGTGAATTTTTTTAGAACTCATGCGTTTTATTAAGTTATATTAAGTCTATATAATTAAGGGCGTGGCAACTTGAGTGACAGCTAGGTCTCGCTGCACGCCGTCTCGTCACCTCCATCGATTCCGGCTGATTAGCCGCTGAACTCGGCATATACAGCGTATTTTTGTTTTGTTTTTTGTGGCTTTACACAGTCAGTTGCCTTTTGGAATTATTTCCTCCAATTATCAGATGATATGGCATGCTGTGTGCACTTAATTGTGCTCACAAACCATTCAAGTGACTTCCATTTCTCAGGTAAGTGAAATTCTATACTCATATACCATGTATATATAAATGTTTTTGTTTTATAATTTTCTTTAGAACTTGATTGCACTCCAGAATCTGAAAGATTGATTAGCTGTAGGCTATAAAAAGTCATCTGAAGTGTCGTCTTACACTGTAATGCCTGGATTTCATCAATAGCTTTGCATTTACTAACACAGACTATATTTGAAGTGTTTGGAAGTAATAAGCATTTTCCTCCTGTAGAAAAACGTCATATAAACAAAGCTTAGTGGCTCAATGTATTATAGCGATGTTTTTAAAAGACTAAACACTTTATTGATATAGTTTACAACCAAACACATGTGGTCAGAACACAAATGAGACGCAGGTTATGAAGTATTAAGCGTTTCTCCCTAAGAAAAGCCCGTCTAAGCAAAATGCTAGCAGGCATCTTTAGCACCACTGACGTTCTGCCTATTTGTCCTCATTTAGTCACCCCTGGACAGTGCGATGACACGCAAGCAAAATGGCGATGGTTGACCACGCCTACTAGAAGCTTCATTTGCACTCTTCAGAAACCTATGGGTGACATCACGGATACTACGTCCATATCTTTTACAGTCTATGGTCTCAAAACACACAGCAGTCTATTAGCAGTAAGGAGTGTGTCTTTAAAAAATAGCGTCCGTATCAAAAAGGGGTGTGGCCTTGCTGTATTATTTTGATGCTTTAAAATATGAACATCATTTGTCAAAATTTATTTAGTGCACATTAAGTAAAGAATGCTAAAATCTCAGCATCTAAATAATATTTTTTTTACAAATTTTGTTTGTTGCACTTTGAGATTAATGAAAGTGCATCATAAATACAATATTATTATTATTATTATTATAGTATGTTTTCAACATGGATCTGCAATGTTATAAACTTGTATAAAGCTTGTCAATGTAAATATTAGTCTTAAAAATAAACCTGCAGTCACGGATACAAAAAATAAATAAATCAAAAAGAGAGACTTTTAGCACCTTATAAACTGTTGCAACTCCCAGGCTTGAACCACGCGGTGCGAGAGATACGAATCTTTCTCTCTGCAATACTCTGCATGCAGCTGCGGAGAGAAAAACAACAACAACTAAAACGTTATTCAGTGTAACAATAGTTTATGTAGAAAAATATCCTGTCAGGTCATTTGGTGACATATTAAAAGATTATTAATGATCACATGTTGGCCCTAAAACACTCATACACTAGGGACAATTTTAGCTTACCCAATTCACCTGTACCACAAGTCTTTGGACTGTGGGGGAAACCCACGCGATCACAGCTGGCGCTCATCAAAAGGCACAGATATAAGCCACCCCCAAACATGAAGAGAGCGAGCTTCATTTGACCGAATGATATATATACAGTATATATACAGTATATATATATATATATATATATATATATATATATATATATATATATATATATATATATATTTATTTATAAATATATATATGTCTGTAGGAAGAGTTTGATCATTTAAAATAAACAAAACTGTATTAATGGTCATTATTTTATATATTTCAATACAATGTAAACCTAATTTGGTGTTTACACCAAAATGGGACATCTCGCTTGAAATCAAATACAATGTTGTTTGTATTAATCACAAGGAATTAAACATTTTAATTGGAAAAATACAGAAAAAAAATTATAAAATATTAAAATTATTTAATTCAAAAACATAAAATAAATGTAGCATTGATATTTAACTGGAATAAAATAAGCTGGAGTGCTAAAATGACTAAAAACTGAATAAAAAAATATATATTGAAAGCTAATTCTGGAATTAAATTAAAATCTAAATAAAAAGAAAACAAAAGCAAATACAAAAACACACACAAATCATAAAATGAAATTGAAATCTAAAAAAAAAGAAAATAAAAGCAAATAAAACACACACACACACACACACACACACACACACAAATCATAAAATGAAATTGAAATCTAAAAAAAAAGAAAATAAAAGCAAATAAAACACACACACACACACACACACACACACACACACACACACACACAAATCATAAAATTAAATTGAAATCTAAAAAAAAAGAAAAGCAAATAAAACACACACACACACACACACACACACACACACACACACACACACAAATCATAAAATTGAATTGAAATCTAATTAAAAAGAAAATATAAAAGCAAAAAATAAACACAATTCATAAAATGTAATTGAAAACTAAAATTAAAATAAAGGCTCTTTCCAAATATCAGTAACTTACATGAGTGACAAAGACATGAACCTTCAGCCCACTGATGTTCAGCAAGACCTTCCCCACAGCTTTACCACCAAACCAGTCGCCATGCTGAGCCTGATATGAGAACAGATCATTAACAAGCGATCAGATCAACCTATCAGATCTGACAGTGAAAGAGGAAACTCAAGCCACATAAATGTCATACACACATTTACAACAAGCTGATTTACAACACGTCTGTAACTGACGTGCTCTTTACAGGTGGCTGTTAGTGAATCTGCACAATAAAATACTGTTTAAAGACCATAAAGATTTTTTATGACAGCAAAAAATTATATTTAATAAACTGTAATATTTAAAAAACAAAAATATTTAAGAAAATAATATAAAAAAAAAACACTGTTATTTATGTGGACCGAAGGCCATTATGTGGACATAATTTCTATGAATTTTGGTTTATTTTTAAAATATTTCCTAAATGATGTTTAGCAGAGCAAGGAATTTTTCACAGTATTTCCTATAATATTTTTTCTTCTATAGAAAGACTTTTTTGTTTTATTTCGGCTAGAATTAAAGTAGTTTTAAGTTTTTTAAAGCCATTTTAAGGACAATGGGGGAAATATATTTTTTCCGATTGTTTACAGAACCGAACAGTGGCTTTGTTGACATGGACATCAGTAATCAAATTATTTGCGTTGATCTGAATAAGACAATAATATGATTAAGGAATTTACATGAGTTGTTTTTTTGAATGTTCCTTTTATGATCCCGTTTTACATGTTATAGCACATAATTCGATTATTGCACTATCCATGTTTTTCCATGTTACATTTTTTTTCCGGAGTTTCATGTCATTTCGGGTGTTTCATTTTCATTTTGTCACAATAGGAGGATGATGTGGACACCCATGACATGTGGAGTTCCACAAGGCTCAATTCTAGCACCTCTCCTGTTCAACCTTTATATGCTCCCTCTGAGCCAAATAATGAGACAAAAAAAACAAATCTCCTACCACAGCTATGCTGATGACACTCAGGCCCCATTTACACTAATGCGTTTTCGTTTTAAAACGCATAAGTTTTGCTACGGTTATGCCATCCGTCCACATTACCTCGTTTTTTTCGAGTGCCGAAAACGGAGGGTTTCGAAAACGCTGGAGAGGCCGTTTTCATTCTAAAACGCTGCTGCTCCGTCTCAGTGTAGATGGAGGAAAACGGAGGCGGGGCTGCAGACATTCGCCTATCTGATTGGGGCTTTTCCTCAATATTAAGTAGCCTACACACACAGTTCAGTCGCGCATCCTCTTGCTCTGTAAGTTCAGACTTCGCAAGTTTGATATGGAAAACAGACCCTCGAGGACATGTGCGGTAAATCTTCAAAGGGAACAGTGTACTGTATAACCTTATTCACATCATCATGGCTATGTTGTTTCACTTTCTCAACAATAAAATGAAAACATGATTTAAGGAACTGCCTATTTTCATTTTGATATTAACAACTTCACAGACAGCATAAGTGTTAAGGCGTCGTGCTGCATCTTCACTGTATGCATATTTATAATAAAACAGAGCCTATATAACATCACTGCCTCCTTTCATTTTCATTGAAAATACGAAACGTATCCTCTGCTTTGCTGAATGTCAGTTTTAATAAACAATAATAGCCATTATGAAAGTATAACACACAATAAGTTTATACATTATAGGAAATAAAGGGAAGTGATCAGTCAATATACAGAATGTATGTGGTTCCATTAATTATTAACTTATCTTTGCGCTCAGCCAAAACACGTTAACTGTGAACAAGTAATCGATTCAAAAGACCAAAGTCAGGGAATATTTGGTTAGATAAAGACAACAAGATTAATTAAATATCACATTTAGCAAATATAGTGAGATTAGATCCAGCAGGAGATGCTTGATGAGCAGTCCCACCAGCACAGCTCTCATCTGGGTAGAAATGCTGCAGCGCTTGCCCGAGAGTGTGTGTGTGGTCACGTAATGTGCGTTTTCAGCGTTATGGTATGGATGGAGAGCTGTTCAGAAATGCTGGGTAAAACGCTGGTGTGGACGCGGATCGTTTTCATTCTAAAACACAGTTTTAAAACTAAAACGCACTAGTGTAAACGGGGCCTCAGATCTGCCTAGCCTTACTGTCTAATGACTACAGCCCCATTGACACCCTCTGCCAATGCATTGATGTGTGCACTATCCTGTAGTAAAATGTGGCGAAAATCCTACACGACGATACCAGTTTGATTGCAGTGTTTGCATGTTTGTACTGCACTTCAATAATGCCACTCAAATCGGCATACTCCACATGTCTTAATCTGATTTCAGTTTAGTTCGATTATGACCTTAATCGGGTTAAATTAATCAGAAATCACTGTTTACATGGTTGACTTTTTATCAAAGTATTTTCTTAATCACATTAAAATCGGATTATTAGTGTCCATGTAACTGTACTCACTGTTATCCATTGACTTGTCTAATTACCCCAACTAACCTAATGAATCTAGTGAAGCCTTTAAATGTCACTTTAAGCTGAACAGTATCCTGAAACATATCCAGTTAAATATTATGTGCTGTCATCATGGCAAAGATAAAGGAAATCAGTTATTAGAAATGAGTTATTAAAACTATTATGTTCAGAAATGTGTTGAATTATTTTATTTATTTTCGTTAAACAGAAATTGGGGATTAAAATATACAGGGGGCTAATAATTCCGACTTCAACTGTATATACATATTTTTTGTTTTATATAAAAAAATAGAATGTGTGTATGTAATTTACACATGCTTCTAGTCAGACCCACCATATATGGATATCCGTTCAAAGAGTATCTGTAGAGAAAGGCATCATGGATTTGATGTCTTGAAAACACAGCAAGTCCGCTCCCAAAAAATCCACTGAAAATGAGAAGTTGTGTTAAAAGAAAATGCATTTGTTTATTTGTACATTTGTTCAAACAGTTTAAAGAATTGCGCACAGAATTGCAAAGAAACATATTTAATCAGTGCATATAAAGATCATGACTTGCCTTTTAAAATAATGAGAATGTGGATATACAGTGCTGAGCTTCTTCTTTAAATACAGGAAGTCTTTCTCACACCAGACCTGTGACAAAACATGCAATTATACAGCAAAATACTGTATTTAATGATTTAGTTTGGTTACTTTTTGTTGTTGCAAACTATTCTACACAGAAAAAAATTCAAAGATGATTCCTTAAATTTCTTTGTTTTGTTTTTTTTATTTAATTGGTTGCAAACTATTTATCTGGGCTGAATTTAAACAAAGAAATTAAGTTGAACATTACTACATTTTTTTTGTTTGTTTAAATTTAACCCATATCAATTGTTGCAGCAATTTTGCAGAAATACTTTTTTTCAGTGTAGGTTGCATTATTATTCACAAAAAAAAGTAGAGATTGTTTTATTAAAAGATAAAAATTAAACCAACAAATAAAGCATATCAAATGTATTGCATTAATTAAAAAGCACGAGCGACACGGTGGCGCAGTAGGTAGTGCTGTCGCCTCATAGCAAGAAGGTTGCTGGTTCAAGCCTCAGCTGGGTTAGTTGACATTTCATTTATGCGTAAAACATATGCTGGATAAGTTGGCGGTTCATTCCGCTGTGGTGACCCCAGATTGAAAAAGTGACTAAGCCGAAAAGAAAATGTATGAATGAATGATTTTTAAAAAATACAATTAAAATGAGAAAATTTTGCATGGATACTTTTTGATTAAGCTTGTTAAAATGTCACCTAAATAAACAAAGAAATAATACATTTCATTCATCAAAAACATACACTTAAAATGAGAAAGAAATGTAGCCTAAACTAAAGTAAAATGTAGTAAAAATCTAAATAAAATAATTATACACTGAATTTAAACATTTAGCATGGATACATTGATTAAATTTGTCTTTTTTGTCTTTTTTTTCTAAAATTGATTAAATATCGCCATCTAATTTGTATTTTTCACAGAAGTGAAGAGGTAAGAAACCAGAAAATAAAGCATAAAATAATACATTAATTAAAAATATGAATGATTTAATTGTATTTCAATAATAAAAAAAAACACTTAAAAAAATGAAGATGAAGTACTAAAATAAGCGACTTCAATCTGAAATTCTACATAAAACCAATATTAACTATATTTAAAACATTTAGTGTGGAAAGATTTTAGTTTAAAATGTTATTGTTGAATAAACTGCATGAGACGTGGCTCCTATTGGTGTATATCTGTGCAATATCTGTGACACCAAAAAAATAAAAATAAATAAAAAAGTTTAAGAGTCCCATATTTTATGTGTGTAAAAGTTTTCACCTCCTGCAGTAATGCTACATCCAGCTCTTCCTGATTCAGCAGCTCTCCAATCAGAACAAAGCGCTCCTGGCGTTTCTTACTGAGGTATTGAATCCCCCTAAAACAATCCCAAAACACATTATTTCATGCACTTCTTTCTGCTTTGCATTTTAGAAAAATCCATATAAATATAATGCATTCCATATAAACGATTCATTAGATTTAGTCTTTTTTTAGGTTAAGTGATTGCAAACAAATTATATGGGCTATAATTAAACAAACAAGTTAATATCGTAATGTTCAACCTAATTAGTTTGTTTAAATTCAGTCCAAATAAAAAGTTTGCAACCACTTACCTTTTTTTTTTACCAAATCCAATGGATTTTCAATTTTTTCCAGTGCATATTTAATAACTGATTCAAGCAAATGTACAGTAAATATGTTCATAAACAATTTTTAGTTTTATATTTTTGTTACCTTTTAAATATTTAAAGTCTAAAGAAATAAATCTAAACTGAATTAAAAATCAGCACAGTAGCAATGCATATTAAACATACACTACCTGAGAAAAGTCTTGTCGCCTATCCATGTTTTAGGTACAACAAATAATAATTAGACTTCTAGTTGATCATTTGGTATCAGAAGTGGCTTATATGAAAGGCAAAGGCCTCTAGATTACGCTTCTTTTACCACAATAAAATATGATCATGCCTTGATTTTTAATGATTTTATTAGGACAGTAAGATCTGACTTTGCTTAGACAAAAGTCTTGTCACTGAGCAGAAATAATGTCCAGTGTAGAATATAAAGTCCTGCTGCAGTGAAAACAGAATCAATATTGTGTCTGACTCCATCATGAGCTTGGAGGACTGCATCCATCTCTGCAATGACTCCAATCACTGATTAGTAAAGTCATCTGGAATGGCAAAGAAAGTGTTCTTGCAGGACTCCCAGAGTTCATCAAAACCCTTTGGATTCATCTTCAATGCCTCCTCCATCTTACCCCAGACATGCTCAATAATCTTCACATCTGGTGACTGGGCTGGCCAATCCTGCAGCACCTTAACCTTCTTTGCTATTAGGAACTTTCATGTGGAGGCTGAAGTATGAGAAGGAGCGCTATCCTGCTGGAGAATTTGCCCTCTCCTGTGGTTTGTAATGTAATGGGCAGCACAAATGTCTTGATACCTCAGGCTGTTGATGTTGCCATCCACTCTGCAGATCTCTCGCACACCCCCATACTGAATGCAACCTCAAACCATGATTTTTCCTTCACCAAACTTGACTGATTTCTGTGGGAATCTTGGGTCCATGCTGGTTCCAGTAGGTCTTCTGCCGTATGTGTGATGATGGGATGCAGCTCAACAGATGATTCAGCAGAAAGATCCACCTTCTGCCACTTTTCCAAATGATCAACTGGAAGTCAAGTTATTACGTGTTGCTTTTACAACTGAGATCAACAGACTTTTGTCAGGTAGTGAAAAGACATTTTTAAAAATCTGATATTTTGACTACAGTACAAAAATGAGCAAAACTGTTACATGATTCTCGTTATCAAGCAATCAAACATATATTAAAAAGACAGAATAAATTATAAAAAGTGAAAAGCAAACTCACCAGCAGTTGAGAGATAACACTCGAAATTTGATTGGCTCTGAGGTTGTCATGGTCTTTTAGGCCAATCTGAAAGGAAATATCAGGATTCAGCACACTAACCAAACTAGATTATATCGAGTTGTGGATTTCTGAGAATAAGCACTTCTGTACGCCTGCAACTGTTTACACTAAACACTGCAGAGAAAACCCTGATTTACTGAACTAACGTACAAAGAACAGAGTTGATGAACAAGCAGCACATGTAAAAAAAAAAAAAAAAAAGGTTTGACATAAAGGATATCCACAGACAGAGGTCAGCAATAGAGAGTTCAGTAACACTCTTCTGATATTCAGCTCTCATAAATCATAAGCTTTTTATGATTTAAAATCCAGCAAGAATCTTGAAGGACTGCTGGATATTCTTATTATGGCTCCACCTCAATGCAAAGGTCTACTTACTGTTGTCAAGGTGACGGTGTGCTCAACAATGTTTTCTTTATACTATTTTCTTCCAAATTTAAAATTTAAATGTTATTTATAGTTTTTTTTTTTTTTTTGCATAATTTTTGTTTTATATTAATTTTAAGACAACATGATAGCAAAGTTTTAACTTCAAAATGTAAATAAAAGAAGAACTTTATTTTTTGGGAATAACCCTTATTCAGTCATATCAAATTAAAATATTGGCTGTACTGCAATTTTCTGGGGAGAAAACTGACAATATTTTATCTGAAATTTTGAAGAAGAAAAAAGTCACACCTTTATAGTAAAAACTAAAATTAACAAAGATTTTAATAAACACACAGCTAATAAATCCAGCCTTTTGTATATAAACTATTTAAAATTTCTACATGTTACATAAAAATTAAAAATCTAATTAAATATTATATTATTATTCATAACCAATTATTATTTTAGAATATAATAAAAAAAATTTATCTCTTTATATCCCATCCATAATATTTTATTATGGTATAATATTTAATATATTATATAAAATTATTACTCAAAAAAAAGTATTTAAAAATGCAGGTGTTATTATTTTATTATCATTTTTTTAATTTATAAACAATGTTTTATTGTTTTATTTAATTAGCTTTCCTGCCAATTTAAAAGTTAAATGTTATTCATGTTTAACATTAATTTTAAGACAACATAATAGTAAAGTCTTAACTTCGAAATGTAAATATAAGAACAATATGTTTGGGAATAACCCTTATTCAATCATATCAAATTTAAAAAAATGCTGTATTGCGTTTTTCTGGGGAAAATATCAAAGCTAAATGACAATAATGTTATCAGAAATTTTGACAAAAATTTAAAATAAATAAAAAATTCAGACCTTTATAGCAAAAACTAAAATTAACATTGATTTTAATGAACACACAACTAATAATTCCAGCAATTTGTTAATAGCTATATATAAAATATTTAAATCTTTACATGTTAAAAAAATTACAAATTACATATATTATTATTCATAATACATTTTTATTTTAGAATATAATTTAAAAATGTACCTATTTTATATCTCATCCATAATATTTTATTAATGTATATTATTTGATATATTATACAAATTACTGAAAAATGTATTTAAAATGCAGGTATAATTACTTTATTACCTTTTTTATTATCCTCAATTTAAAATTTAAATGTTATTCATAGTTTTTTTTAGCATAATTGTTGTTTTATATTAATTTTAAGACAACATAATAGTAAAGTCTTTATAATAGTAAATGTTTAAATAGCTGTGTATAAACTATTTAAAATCTCTACATTTAACAAAAAATCTAATTAAATATTATATTATTATTCATAACCAATTATTATTTTATATATTATTTAATTTTACTATTATTGTTTTTTAATCAAAAAATATATATTATATCTCATCCAAAATATTTTATTAATGTTTAATATTTGATAAACTACATATAAAACTAATACTGAAAAAGAATAAGTAAAAATATCCAGGTATTATTTTTTTAAATCTAAGTGAAGGTAATACTTGCATAGCACACTATCATAATACCATCACATCATACACTACTGAAAACAATGTATGTGGCATTTTTATAGAACCAGACCCTTGCAAATCCCTGAAGTTCCCTCCAACATAAACTCCCAGCAGTCTGACATACTTCCTAACCCGACCCTCGATGTGTGGAAGTGTTGCGATGACAGGAAATCAGTGTGTATTCATTTTACAGCAGTAAGCAACAACATTTGCTGCAGCGTTATGATCATCCCGGGACAGTAAACACAGACACAGCTGCTCCACAAGAGTACTGAGTGGCGCCAGGAGGATCTCTGTTAACGGACCCACTCCTGCTGTCAGATAACACGAGACCAGACACTCAGACTGACCACTGATGAGGGAAAACTAAACAAAAACTGCTATGTATGGAGTCAATCTGGGGCCATATATACTTGCAAAATAAAGGAAAGTTTTACAAACGAAAAATTAAGTACTGAGCAAAAAAATATTTAAATAAATGCAAATCTCTAAAAATTGCTAAGAGAAAATGAACTTTTTAGAAATGGAAATTGATTTTCCTAACAAAAATGAAGAACTGCAAAGGGAAAATTAAGTTTTGAGGAATAAAAATGAAATTTGCATACAAAAAAAGCACTGCAAATAAAAAGCAGGCAGTGGAAATAAAATAAAAAAAATACTAAAATATTTGCAATGAAATAAAAAACTATGCATATCTGCAAAACATTTTTCATAGCATTGACTTTCCAAAACCCGTCCAGTCAATTGGAATGCTCATTTTGATTAGGTTTTTAGTCAACCGTGAGTTTGCGATGCTGTTTTCACTTTGCACTTCACTTCACTTTGTGGCCCTGATTTGACAAGGGGTGGCGTCAAGGAACCCTACTGGGCTGTCAGGCCACCTCTGTTGTACTGTCTCTCCAGGTGATGAAGTAGCTTAAATGGAGGCAGGTCTGGGCCATTGACTGGATGGGTTTGTAAAGGCAATGCTACAAAAAATGTTTTGCAAATATGAATTTATATATATATTTTTTTTATTGCAAATATTTTCTTTCTTTTTTTTTAACTGCTTGATTTTTATTTGCAGTTCTTTTTGTTTGCAAATTTAATTTTTATTCCTCAAAACTTAATTTTCCCTTTGCAGTTTTATAATTAATATTATAGTTATATATAATATTAATTTTTGCTTTGTGATTTTTAGAGATTTGCATTTTAATTTATTTATTTCTTTGCTCAATTCTTTATTTTTTGTTTGCAAACTTTATTTTATTTTGCAAGTATTTATGGCCCTAAATTGACTCCATAACTATGGTACTTACTTGTTTATTGGTCATATTTAGGCCCACACTGAATCTGTGCAGGGAAATTTGCAGATTTCCGCAAATTTTTAGCCCATCATTGAGTCTATTTATTAATTTAATCATTATTTATTACATATTTTTTTCAGCAATATTATTGACAAATATGAAAATGTTCATCTGATTTATTTACAATACAGATTGTAAAGTAATATTTTCTGTCTTTTGTTATATATATTATATAAGAGACTTACTTTGTTTACCAAATTAGTGGATCAAAATTGGATTTGCATGGTAAAAATTATCTAAAAGTTAAAAATGTACTATTTTTTATTTCATATATGTACGGTTTTAGCTATGATACTCCCAAAGTCATTCCTATAGTCATTTTCAAAATTATGCGAAGAAATACAAAAAATGTCAGCAGATTCTGTCTGGTCCTGTCATATTCCTTTGAAACAGCAGGAATTACAGTATATTTGTGTTTTTTGACATGGCATTGGAAAAGAACTTTGTTTTGATGGTGAAATGCAATAATAAACCCCAAACCATTTCCATTACTGAAATAAGCACTTAAAATAAAAAAGAAACATGAAAATCTACATTTGAAATAAATAGTAATCTCTAAAATAACCATGCTAAATGCCTAGTAATAATACTACAAAATAATAAAATAAATATAAAATAAAAAGCAGAGACCGTTGAAAAAATACTCAACACAAACAACACAGAGCTGTGGAAAAATATTAAGAGACCACTTGAACATTTTAAATTAGGCAATCTTTATTTATGCGATTCAGTGAGCATCATTTTTGCTTTATTATGTGCACTACTGATAAAATTTCACTGTGTACAGGGTTCAACGCTAAGGATTTTTTTTCTACTGGCCTAATCGGGCCAGTGGTTCTGATTTTTACTTGCCCTGCCAAAATTTTCACTGGTCCCACCAAAAAAAAAGTAGTTAATAACTATTTCTTAGCCACATATTTTAAATAATGCGACAAAAGCCAAACATAACTTCAGCATAACTTTTCTTCAAATACAAATGACAATTTAAGAAAATACAACTGTTATGTAAATAAATTGGGTAATATATATATATAGTAGGGTTAAATTATAGAGAGAAATAACAGATTAACTAATATATTGATATTGAATATTCAATATTGATCTTTCTTTCCAGGTGTCAGTGCAGAAATGAACAAAACAATAGGCCTAATGCAAAATATTATAAGATTAAAATATGGAAACATGATCAGATTGCAATTTCTGTCGGTTTTTGTAACAGATAAACAGCTCTCAGTAATATTTCAGCATGCTTTCACTTTCATAAAACGCACATTTGCCGGTAGAAATGACATTAGGCCCTCCTCGTAATTCTCTTTTCATATACCCATGACTATTACACAATTATAATACACATATAGCCTGGTTCGTTAGTTCTTTAGATTATTTTGGCTTCCTCATTACAAACGATCTCGGACTGATTGTTTTGGCGTGAATCTGAGAGTGATTGCGGGATTCACATCCATGCTAGAACCATGCTAACTGAGATAGATAGGTTGCAAAACAAACGTTTAGGTTTGAAAGCACCCTGTTTGCACCCAGTTGACAGTCGCAGCCAAATTAAACTTTAGTGACAAGGCAGCACATGTCCGATCGGGCCACTAACAATCCCATCTACTGTCCCGAGCATCCCGCACGCTGGCCCTGGGCCATCGGGCAGTCCTTATTTTTGAGCCCTGGTGCATGTTTATATGTATATATAGATATTTACTTATTTAAATTTTTGTCTATTATTATGAAATAACCCTTATATATTATTAGTATTATCATTACTATTATCACGATTATTATTCCCGCAATTATTAACTTCTTAACATTCCAAAGACCATTAGTATTGTGGTGTCTAAAAATCTTTATAAACAAATAATAATATATATTACAAAATATAGCCGTCACAGTGGCACAGTGGTTTCTGTGTGGAGTTTGCATGTTCTCCCTGTGGGTTTCCTCCGGGTGCTCTGGTTTCCCCCACAGCCCAAAACACATGCAGTAGAGGTGAATTGGGTAGGCTAAATTGTCCGTAGTGTATGAGTTTGAATGAGTGTGTATGGATGTTTCCCAGTGATCTGTTGCAGCTGGAAGAGCATCCGCTGCGTAAAACATATGCTGGATAAGTTGGCGGTTCATTCCACTGTGGTGACCCCAGATTAATAAAGCGAATAAGCCGAAAAGAAAATGAATGAATGAATTACAAAATATTCATTTAATTATGAAAAATACATAATAATATATTTACCTATTTGCATAAAAGAACAACAAATTAGTTTTCAGACATGTCTTAGAACACCTCAATAGCACTATTTCAACTTTAGATGGTTAAAAAAATCAATATTTGCTGGAATAACCTTAAGCATATATTTGTTCATGAAACATTTTCACCGACAAGTTAGCTAGGCGGATTATTTACCTTATTTAAAGTGACTAGTGCTGACATATGATGCAATATATGCACTTAAAACACCTTAAGATGAATGTCAAAACATTAAAGCACGTATCATCTGCTCCTCAAGAGCTGCAGGATCCTTTAAATGCTGTTAGTGACGACTTCATAGATTGTAGAGATACTTAAATACAAATACACTTACTTGACAATGTATTAAATATTGATACCAGTACACTATACTGTTTGACTCCAGGTTAACCATGTAATTGAGGTAATTAATGTTGGCTGTATATCCACACACTCGTAAATTCTCCTTAATAATATAAATTTCAGAAATGTACTCTTTTCAAATACTATCAAATTAGCAGCCAACGACATTGTTCATAGTCAATTAAATAGTGCTAATGTTATTTTGAAGTCATAATAAATGTGATGTCAGACCAAATATATTCAAAGTACTAATGGGAAACAATATAGAAAGCATGTCACAAGTTGTGAATGAATGAATGTGCGAATATAAAACCTTAGTAACTATGAGTATTGTGTCCACCTTATAACACCAAGAAAGGTCTGTGCACTTTTTGTGAAGCTGCATAAGACATTAATTATTATGAACAGCGCCATACAAACAAACTTAAATAGAATAAAAGCTTACCTCTAATGTTAGTTGGATTAATGCTTCTCTCAGTGGGTCCAAATGAGTAACAATCGCTGTTATAAACAATCTTTCCTGAGTTCGGTGTGTCTCATATCCTGTCCATCAGTTGTTTTTTTTGTAGTCATTTATGGCCAGACCGCTATACTTCCTTATCGGATGTCGACGCTAAAAAGTCATTTGAGCTAACTGTAAACTTTTAATTTGTAAAATGATCAAGCGTGTTCATATTACAAGAGGTGAGCAGCACCAAATACAGCGTTTTTCTCCTTGTTGCTGACACTTGAGTTTGTATCGCGCGGAAACGCAACCTCCATTGTGCAGTATAACATTAAAACAACGTTCGTTTATCTTGATATAACCGCTGCTTTGAAGAAAATGTAAAGTTGTCAAACGTGAGTGCGCCTGGCGCTGACGTCATCACGCAAGACGTGGTTGATTGGAATGCTGGGAGATTGAGTTTCTTACACTGATCTGTATAGACTTGAACCTGGCAATCATATTTCTTGCACATGACCACACAGAACAAGTAGGCCTTTGACTTCTCTCTTATAAAATCACTTGGAGTTTTAATGATAGTTGTATATGCTTGGCCATTATTATATATCCATTCCCTGCAGAAAAATCCAGCTTAAGCCAGCCTAGGCTGGTTGGCTGGTTTTAGTTGGTCGACCAGGCTGGTTTTAAAGCGGTTTTGGCCATTTCCAGGCTGGTTTCCAGCCATTTCCAGCCTGGTCTTAGCTAGTCAGGCTGGAAACTGACCAGCTAAAACCAGCTATGACCAGCCTTGTTTAAGCTGGACATAGCTGGTTTTGGCTGGGCTCCCAGCATGGCTAGGCTAGTCAAGCTGGTTTTAGCTGGTCTTCTCCCAGCCAGACCAGCTAAGACCAGGCTGGAAATGGCTGGAAACCAGCCTGGAAGTGGCCAAAACCCCTCTAAAACCAGCCTGGTCGACCAGCTAAAACCAGCCAACCAGCCTAGGCTGGTTTAAGCTGTTTTTTTTTCAGTAGGGTTGGAGGGTGCTATCGTAAATGGACTTGTCAGACAAACCCCGCTCACTTTAACGTTAATTTTGCTGAATCACTGTGCATATCACTGGATTACAAGCTGTTATAATACGCTGAAAGCATTATGTAAATAAAATATATAGTAGGCTTTGTAATCAATCATCTCTAATGACTACAACAAACTCTGTACCGCATCGGATATCATTCTCTCGCTGTAAATGCTAACGCTCCCGGTTTTTTTCTGCGACCTCGCTGCGCGCGCATCCTGACTGATACAAACCGCTAACTCGCCTATATAGATCAGTGATTTCTTGCTTCTTCTTCCTCTAATGGGCTACAGACTTTTAAACTTCAGCCAGCCAGCCTCAGCGCTTCCTGTGAACCGTCTTTTCAATATAAACTTGCCACGTTTAAGGTCTGATTTCTTTAAAAATCAGTGATCTTCACAGCCTGATTGATATACAACATGAAGTGGGTTTCAGACCAGACAAGAAGCACTGCATTAAATTCCATTTTCCCCTGCTATGTCTTTCAAGCATTAGTTTATTTTACCTCAGTATTTTGAAAGGAGACAGTCTCTCATCTTTTTTTACGCTTCAACAACTAAATGAATGCTTAAGTCTATTTATTCAATTTCTTTTCGGCTTAGTTCCTTTATTAATCCAGGGTTGCCACAGTGGAATGAACCGCCAACTTATCCAGCATATGTTTTACGCAGCAGATGCTCTTCCAGCCGCAACCCATCCCTGGGAAACATCCACACACACTCATTCACATTCATACACTACGGACAATGCAGTCTACTCAATTCCCCTGTACTGCATGTCTTTGGACTGTCGGGGAAACCGGAGCACCCTGAGGAAGCCCACGCGAACGTGGGGAGAACATGCAAACTCCACACAGAAATGCCAACTGACCCAGCCGAGGCTTGAACGAGCAATTCAATTAATTAAATGTGTAAATCACATTAGGCTTTAACCGAAAGCTTATCATCGGCTGAAAAACACTAGCTAGCTAGCATATTATATGGCAGTTTTCGTTCATACTAGTTTCTTAGAAAAGATGTCAGGTTTAGAGATATTTTACGCCCCAGTCGCTGTCTAATTTCAATTAAATAGCTGACAAATAATTAGTTGGATGTTTCCCGTAATTTTTCTCAGTGTATAACAACATGGACCAATCACAGGTGTTGGTGAAAAAACATAAATAATAAATTATAATAATATGAAATAAATAATAATATAATAATATTTATGTTATACAAATTGTCTTTGGAGGACTTGGATTTTGTGTTGAATAGACATAAATAATTGGAATCAATACATTTAGTAAAATAGCTGTAAATAAATCATCTCTGAACACACAACACATCCAACCTTGAGGCAGATGGGCTACAGCAGCAGAAGACACACCGGGTGCCGCTCCTGTCAGCTAACAACAGGAAACTGAGGCTACAATTCACACAGGCTCATCAAAACTGGCGATAGAAGATTGGAGAAACGTTGCCTGGTCTGATGAGTCTCCATTTCTGCTGCGACATTCAGATGGTCGAGTCAGAATTTGGCATCAACATGAAAGCATGATTCCATCCTGCCTTGTATCAGCGGTTCAGGCTGCTGCTGGTGGTGTAATGGTGTGGGGAATATTTCCTTGGCACACTTTGGGCTCATTAGTACCAATTGAGCATCGTGTCAACACCACAGCCTACCTGAGTATTGTTGCTGACCATGTCCATCCCTTTATGACCACAGTGTACTCATCTCCTGATGGCTTCTTCCAGGAGGAAAACACACCATGTCAAAGTGTGAATCATCTCAGACTGGTTTCTTGAACATGACAATGAGTTCACTGTACTCAATTGGCCTCCACAGTCCCCGTAACTCAATCCAATAGAGCAACTTTGGGATGTGGTGGAATGGGAGATTCACATCATGGATGTGCAGCCGACAAATCTGCAACAACTGCGTGATGCTATCATCTCAATATGGAGCAAAATATAAGGAATATTTCCAGTGCCTTGCTAAATCTATGCCACGAAGGATTAACGCAGGTCTGAAGGCAAAAGGGGGTCCAACCCGGTACTAGCAAGGTGTACCTAATAAAGTGGCCGGTGATTGTATATTAAATTGGTGCCATATAGCTAAAGGTTCTTATACTACAAGCCTGTTAAATCTAATGAAAATAATAAGGGACAACGCAGTCGCACAGTAGGTAGTGCTGTCGCCTCACAGCAAGAAGGTCGCTGGTTCGAGTCTCGACTGGGTCAGTTGGCATTTCTGTGTGGAGTTTGCATGTTCTCCCTGTGTTCACGTGTGTTTTCTTGGGGTGCTCCGGTTTCCTCTACAGTCTAAAGACATGCAGTACAGGTGGATTGGGTAGGCTAAATTGTCAGTATTGTATGAATGTGAATGAGTGTGTGTGTGTGTGTGGATGTTTCCCTGAGATGGGTTGCAGCTGGAAGTGCATCCCCAGCGTAAAAACATGCTGGACAAGTTGGCTGTTCATTCCTCTGTGGCGACCCCGGATTAATAAAGGGACTAAGCCGAAAAGAAAATGAATGAATGAAAATAGTGAGGCATGCATTTACTTTAAGATAAATGCACCCTTAAAGTAGTTCCGGCAGGTTTTGAGCATAATACAGCTCCATATTCCTACGCCTATGATTTCAGTTATTTTATAGCTACAACATTCAGAAATTCTATCAAAACACAACAGAAGGCTATAGATGAGATGTGTAAGAAACTTGTCTAACACACAGGAGCAGTTTGAAGACAAAAACCCGACAAATGTCTGAAATACAACATCTGATCAGTGGCTTTAGGTGTGGAAACCATAGTCTAAGCAGAATAACTGATTCAGAAATGTTGAGATATTAGAAGATAATGCACATTTAAGATTAAAGCTGCGCTCACACTAGAGTTTGTGTGTGTAAAATTCTGTTGTACGACGCTGTAAAAAAGGATGGGATTAAACAAGATGATTAGGCATTTAAAAAGCGAGCGATTGCTCCGTAATCTACATTTCTGTACAGAGAGGTCATGTTTTGACCCTCGATTGGTCGTATGCAGTTACATAAAGTGATTTGGCGGGTCAGAGTTCATCAAGCTTAAACTTTGCTCCGCAACGAACGGCGAAACTTGTCGCACGAGCTTGCGTTTCCAGTCTGACGCATTTGCGTGCGTATGAATGGAAGTCTACGGGAGAAAAGTCCAGTGTGACCGCAGCTTTATAAAGCAGAACAAAAACATTCAAGTTGTAAGTGTGTTTTAAGAAATACGGTCCAAGGAGACCCATGCCATTTTATTGGTATTGCTATACATTGTTTTTGAATATATTGTACAAACCCCTAACATTGAAGATATTCGATACATAACTGCAATGCACAACAGGTAACCAAGGCCACGATGAGCTGTTAAAAACAGCAGGAAGCCTTTTGCCAACACCACATTGATTATGGCATTAAAAAAAAAACACACGCACACACACAATTTTCAACGTATGCATACAGCATCAGCTGAAAGTCAAAGAGCAAACATAAAATTAATATTTATAATAACAATAATTATTAAAAAAAAAAGGAAAACAAAATAAAAGCCTGTAAGAAAAAAACAAAATACAATTGAGGAAACTGTCGTCGGTGAAGTTCAAACATTAAGGCTGTACCAATATACATTTTTAAAATGTACCCAAGAATTAGCAGTACCTTCAAAAACTGATCTACACATAAAAATGCTATCTAAAACCATCCAAAGAGCACTTTCCATTCAGGCTGGATTGTTTACCATGTTTAAAGGGACACAAAATGCTACGTGGCTTCATTAAGGAAAGGCTGAAACATCAAACTGCATGAAAAATTCAATTTTTTAAGCCCTTAATGGGGGGAGGATATACAGTTAAAGTCAGAATTATTAGGCCTCTTGAATTGTTAGCCCCCTTGTTTATTTTTTCTTCCAATTTCTGTTCAACGGAGAGATTTTTCTTCAGCACTTTTCTAAACAAAATAGTTTTAATAACTAATTTCTAATAACTGATTTATTTACTTTGCCATGATGACAGTAATTAATATTTGACTAGATATTTTTCAAGACACTTCTATACAGCTTAAAGTGACATTTAAAAGCTTAACTAGGTTAATAAGGTTAACTAGGCAGGTAATTAGGCAAGTTATTGTATAACAATGGTTTGTTCTGTCTATCAAAACAAAATAATAATTGCTTAAAGGGGCTAATAATTTTGTCCTTAAAATGATTGTTAAAAAATTAAAAACTGCTTTTATTCTAGCCGAAATAAAACAAATAAGACTTTCTCCAGAAGAAAAAATATTATCAGACATACTGTGAAAATTTCCTCACTCTGTTAAACATCATTTGGGAAATATTTAAAAAATAAAAATAAATTTAAAGGGGGGCTAATAATTCTGACTCCAACTATAAGTATTTTTTTCAGTAGTAGCAGTGTCAGCACTGTAAATATGGCAGAATTCTGTAAAAAAAAAAAAAATCCTTAAAAAACATAATAAGTCAAACCTCTGGTGCATTCATGTTATCAAAAATTGAAGATGCACAAACCAAACCCACAGGAATTATACAAGTTGTGCTGACAAACACTGATTGTTTTCCCTTTTACACCAGGAATACTACAAAGAAAAGCCTGAAGGATCTGATTTGAAAGAAGAGTGCATTAAAAGTGAATAATTACACAAATAAAATGGAAATGCAAAGATTTAAAGCACCAGAAAGAATGACAGTAATGCAATTAAAAGACAAAGCTCTACTGAGGTATTGTTCCAAGATTAAATGTTAAAAGAAATCTCAATGGGCAACACGTCATGTTTCTGAGACATTCAGCCTGACTGACTCACAATCAAGCGTGAATTTGACCTTTCCTCAGATCAAAAGCTTGGATGAACAGCAGAGTTTTGTCATGTTGTAGCATAAAGAGTTGATCGCTCTGTCTATTCCTACTATTTTACGCCGAGAGGTAGTCGAAAGGCACTTCAGAGTATCAATAGTTTTGTAAAGAAAGGCACTCACATTTGGGTCAAAGCTCAAAGTCCTTTAGTACCTGCTGAACAGTTTCCGACGCCTTTTTCTGTTGTTCGTAAGGCAGGAACGTCAGCAACATCTGCAAAACTGAAATCTAGTGTTTGTCGGGTTAATAAAGCAAGAATAAGCCTTTAATGTAACTGCAGTGTTTTTCAGTAGGTCTGTCCTTTAATAATATAATCCTAAACCCTCCGCTGGCCAGCCTGGTCCTCATTTACAAACCAGATGAATCTCAGAAATATCTGCTGATGACGCACTTCACCCCAAAATTAAAAGAAAATATATTTTATAAGATTTCTTTCTGCAAATAAAAATGTATTAAGACGAAACTGCATAAAGAAAATCTCTCTTTTAAATGAATAATTGTAATATATTAATTATAAATTATTTTCTTATTTTCTTAAATGTTTAGGTCCCACTTTATATTAAGTGGCCTTAACTAATATGTACTTACACAAGAATTATTAGTTTGTTACAATGTACTTAGTGTAAATACATGTACTTACTGTATACTTATAAGCTTAATTAAATACATGTATGCAATTACATCTGTAATTTACTTTTGTAATTACATTTGTAAATACACTGTTGAGCATCCCTTACACCTCAACCCCTCCTTAAACCTACCCATACCACCAAACCTGTCCATAACCCAACCTCTATTCCAACTCAAAACCACCACAAGTGTTCTCAAATACATTATAGACACAGTAAGTACATTGTATTTATTTTTTTGATGCAAGTACATAGTAGTTAAAGACACTTAATATAAAGTGGGACCAATTTTTATTTTTAAAAATTACTTATTTTCATTTGTATATTTTATATTGTTATGTCATCATCACCATTGTTTTTTTTTTTTTTGCTAATTTTAATAAATGAAATGCATTTTATATTTGGTATTACATCAGTTTTCAAATCAAATCAAAATAACAACTGGCTGGCGTTTACCATTATGCATTAAAGTAATCATAGAACAGATTTATCAAATAGCGGTAACACTATAGTAATAACCCCACACTATGAATCATTTAGTAAGCATTAGCAAATAGTGAATTCATCATCTGTTAAGCATTAATTCTACATTAACAGATGTTAGTAAGCAGTTTATAACTGCATTGTATAGTATTGCATTATTTACAAACCAGTTATTTGAGACTAGTTTCTGGTTTTTAAAGATTATTCAGAATGAGTTAGTACATGATTAATAAACTATTTAAATTAACATTTATATATCTTATAATTCAGGAATATATTAATAGTTCGTTTGTTTGTTAATAAATGCTTTATTAACTCAACTTCATGCAGTTTTGTGACCTAATCTAAAGTGAGGACTCTTTATATGCTTTATAAATCTCTTTCAAATGACAATTAAAGCCTCAGTTAAATTCCAAACAGGAAAAAGGAAAATATATAACTTTATTAATTCCTATTAATTTGAAGATACACAAAACTGAATCAAATGAAAAATAAATCTTTGCAATCTTAACTAAAATAAAATCACTGTACAGTTTAAACTTAGTTAAATAACATTGAAGCATCCTGATATATTGTTAAATTATTATAATGTTGTTGTTTTATTCAGTTTTACTTTAACACAGTTACTCAACAATGATTAAACTTTACAGTCATTTTATATTTCAAATCGAATTTCAAAGATTTAATGTTCATTTGAGAATGAGGCTTTAATTGTCAATTATAAGGGATTTATAAAGTATATAAAGAGTCCTCTCTTTAAATTAGATCACATAACGGCATGAAGTTAAGTTAATAAAGCATTTGTTAACATGCATAGTAAGCATTAATATATGCCTGAATAATAATATATATGAACGTTGATTTCAATAGTTTAATAATCATGTACTAACTCTTTCTGAATTATCTTAAAAACCTCCAACTACTCTTAAATAATGCAATACTTAATTAATGAACGATTAATTAGTAACAAAGTATGAAAATACAATCATTAAACATATTATAAATGTGTTTACAAGTCAGCAATAGAGCATTTGTATCTGCAGTTATAAACTGTTTACTAATGTCTATTAATGTAGAATTAATGCTTAAATAAACTCACTATTTGTTAATGCTTAATAGATGATTCATAGTGTGTAATAGTGTTACTACATTTTTTTCTCAATTATTAGTACTGTAAAAATGCATTATGTTAGCATTGCCCTTTATTTGATTTAATTTATTTTTAAAAATGTATATATTATTTTTAATTGGATTTTATATCAGTTTTAAAATAAAAAAAACAACTGCCTGCGTGGCATTTAACATTATGCATTAAAATAAATGTAGAACAGACTTATTGAATAGCTTTTTATTTCTTATTACTGTAAAAATATATCATGATAGCATTTCTTTTTATTTTATTTTTTTTTACAAATTTTAATTTATTACTTGATTCTTGTTACTTGACTCTGATTATTGATTTTTCTAACTATATTGATGACTAATAATCAGGTTTTTTTTCCACAATTCTCATTAACGTAAAAAAAAAGAAAAATAAATCATGTTTGCAGTGCCTTTAATTGTATTTTATGCAAATTTTAATAAAAAAAATGCTTTTTAGATTAAATGTTTTATCTGTTTCAATGTCAAAATAACAACTGACTTGTGCTTAACATCAATCATTAAAAAATTAATGTAGAACAGGCTTATTAACTAGCTTTTAATTTCTTATTTCTGTAAAAATGCATTGTTAGCATTGCCTTTTATAAAACTGTTATTTACTTATCTTATTATACTTATTATATACATTATATTAAATTATGTAAAATCAAATTTTAAGTCAAAATAACAACTGCCTGGTGTTTAAAATTATTCATTAAAATAAATGTTGAACAGATTTTAAAAACAGCTTTTAATGTCTTCATGTAAAACGAGCATACAGTATGATTTTCTTTCATTTTAGAGTAAAATGAGATTTTCCAGAAGTTTAGCCTTATATAACTGTAAAACGCTGTGAGCGCTCTATATAAACAGCACACATTGTCTTTTTTCATGACAGACTTATTGAATAGCTTTTCATTTCTCATTACTGTAAAAAGCATTATGTTAGCGTTGCCTTTTATTTGATTTTTTACAAATATAAATGTTTTAAAAATTATTTTTTATATTTAGTTGTTTTTTTATATTATCAGCTTTAAAATTAAAAAAACACAACTGCCTGGCATTTAACATCATTCATTAAAATAAATGTTTCATTTTCTTTTAATTTCAGGGGTAAAATGAGATTTTTTCGAGATTCACCATTATATAACTGTAAAATGCTGCGTGCGCTGCGTATAAACAGCACACATTGTCTTTTTTATGACGTTCTCTTCCATCAACACCTTCACATTCCCTCTGTGGAGACACAACAAAGCTTAAAAACATCTACCATTTCTGTATATGCAACAAAACCAACATGACCCATTCTGTATTTAAGGCATTTAAAAACAAATACAAAAAAACACGTTCTTTTCTTTTTAAACAGAGTAATACTATATCTTTTTACGTCCTCAAAGACTCAAATTCGGCACCAGGATCAAAACATTTGGTATTTTTTGTAACATTTAGGCGTTTTCCTCCGATGTTTGGACAATTTGGCGTTTTCCTCCAAGCGTGTGCTGGAGCGTCTGTGCAAAGCAACAGGTGTCTGTTGACCGATGCGCTGCTAGTCCTTGATGAGCCTATAGACGTGGTATTGTGCCCCGTGTTCACTCGTCGACACTTCAAATACAAACGCTATACACAGTAGAGTCTCCTGGGTTTCCCTGTTGGTCACCACCTGAAGAGAGGGACAAATATTACTATTTTATTCTTTAAAAACAAAGAAACATGCGTATAAAAATACATATATACTTTTTTCTCAATTAATTGTCAATAAATGAATGATACACCTCTGCTAGGAATCATATCAGTTGTCTTATATACAGGGTGGGCCATTTATATGGATACACCTTTTTAAAAAAGGGAATGGCTGGTGATATTAACGTCCTGTTTGTGGCACATTAGTATATGTAAGGGAGCAAACTTTTCAAGATGGGTGGTGACCATGGTGGCCATTTTGAAGTCGGCCATCTTGGATTCAACTTTTGTCTTTTTCAATAGGAAGAGGGTCATGTGACACATCAAACCTATAAGGAATTTCACATGAAAAACAATGGTGCGCTTGGTTTTAACATAACTTTAATCTTTCATGAGTTATTTACAAGTTTCTGATCACTTATACAACCTGCTCAATGTGCTGCCCATTGTGTTGGATTGTCAATGCAACCCCCTTTTTTCCCACTCTTCACACATTGATGGCAACACCGCAGGAGAAATGCCAGCACAGGCTTCCAGTATCCATAGTTTCAGGTGCTGCACATCTCGTATCTTCACAACATACACAATGGTCTTCAGATGAACCCATAGATAAAAGTCTAAGGGGTTCAGATCGGGAGACCTTGGGGGCCATTCAACTGGCCCACGACGACCAACCAACTTTCAGGAAACTGTTCATCTAGGAACGCTCGCTCCTGACACCCATAATGTGGTGGTGCACCATTCTGCTGGAAAAACTCAGGGATGTGCCAGCTTCAGTGCGTAAAGAGGGAAACACATCATCATGGAGCAATTTCAAATATCCAGTGGCCTCGAGGTTTCCATTGATGAAGAATGGCTCCACTATCTGTTATCTATGGTGTGAAGATACAAGATGTGCAGCACCTGAAACTACTGATACTGGAAGCCTGTGCTGGCATTTCTCCTGCGGTGTTGCTATTAGTGTGTGAAGAGTGGGAGAAGAGGGTTGCACTGACAATCTAACACAATGGGCAGCACATTGAACACATTTTATAAGTGGTCAGAAACTTGTAAATAATTCATGAAAGAATAAAGTTACGTTAAAACCAAGCACACCATTGCTTTTCTTGTTAAATTCCCAATGAGTTTGATGTGTCACATGACCCTCTTCCTATTGAATCGACTTCAAAATGACCACCATGATCACCACCTATCTTGAAAAGTTTGCCCCCGTCACATATACTAATGTTCCGCAAACAGGACGTTAATATCACCAACCATTCTCATTTTATTAATGTGTATCCATATAAATGGGCCACTCTGTCATACTTTTCATTTCTTACTAAATCAAACATCTACAGTGGCTTGCAAGAGTATTCATATACTCTTTCACCACTTCATATACGCAAACCACTTTCACTTATTTTGGAGTTGCCCAGCCATTCAGTCACACTGGAAGGACGTAGTATTTATTTACAAGTATTGTAAATAGTATTTGTAGTATTTACAAGTATTTATTAAAAATACTCCTAGCAACCAGTAAGAAAACTGTGACTCGAAAGTGGCTACAACTGGAACCCCCTACAAAATCTGAATGGTTGAATATCATATCTAATGTTCAGAATATGGAGAGGATGACTTTTTCTTTAAAACTACAAATGGACAAATACCTGCAATATTGGGAGAAATGGATTGTACTTATGCCTTTACAGAGTGTAATCTGATTTATATATGTATTTGTTCATGTGACCTGTAAGGAATTTTGTGCCCTGTCAACCGTTCATTTAAGTTCTGGTGTTTTATTGTATTATTTATTTAATTTAATTTTTTTTAAATCTACTATTTGTATTTTTTCCCCTTGTTTTTTTCCTTAAAAAAAGAGAAATAAATAAAAAGTATATATATATATATATATATATATATATATATATATATATATATATATATATATATATATACACAGGTGGACCCTATTTAGTCATTAGGTTAATATTCGATCAGTCCGTAATCATCTGGCAACCTCTGAAGGCAATTGGATGTACTCAGATAAAAGGGGGATGAATACTTTTGCACACAGTTTTTACTCGTAAAATATCCCTTCTGTATAAAGTATAAACTCCTGTATAATTTTCTTTCTACTTCACAATTGTATGCCACTTTGTTTTGGTCTTTCACAAAACATTCCAATAATATATATGTTTGTGGTCATAATGTGAAAAAATGTGTAAAAATTTTAAGGGGTATGAATACTTTTGCAATCCACTATATACTCCACGACTCACATAAACTACAAAGACAAAAAAATCTGACAACTTTTCAATTCAATTATTCTATTCTAGACCACCAAGTACTTCTCATTTTATGCAGCTACAAATGAGTGCTTTGTAAATGGACTGAAATACTGGTTGGCATCTGACCTGTAAGATGGTGAAGTTTTCTAATACGCTGTTCATCATGTATTTCTCCGGCAGGTGCTTGAGCTTGTGGATGAAGTTGATCATGTATTCGCACATGGGAGAGCGATGGATGCGATACAAACACTTTCCTCCATCAACATGAGCGTACTCCGTCTGGAAGTGCAGAAAACGCAGTCAGATGCAGTTTTACATGGAGAAAAGGGCTGCATAATAAATGAATCGCAAAATCATTGTCATCGCGATAAAAGTATCTGCAATGTACATATCGCAGACACGTTATAAATTACAGTTATTTGACAGATTTGGTTGTATATCTAAATTTGACCAATCAGATGGAGCTGTACGATCTTTATCCCCGCCTCTCCAGCAGTAGCTGTTCTGCTATTGGGTAAAAGATGAACCCAGAGCTAAATGGCAGGAAAATTATTAGTAATGAAAAATGATGTTTACTCACTCATAGTGTTTTAAAGACTAAGGCCCCTTTTACACTAGAGCGTTTTAGTTTTAAAACAGCATTTTAGAATGAAAACGATCCGCGTCCACACTAGCGCTTTACCTAGCATTTCTGAACTGATCTCCATCCACACCACAATGCTGAAAACGCACATCACTTGACCACACACACACACTTTCGGGCAAGCGCTGCAGCATTTCTACCCAGATGAGAGCTGTGCTGGTCGGACTGCTCATCAAGCATCTCCTGCTGGATCTAATCTCACTATATTTGCTAAATGTGATATTTAATTAATCTTGTTGTCTTTATCTAACCACATATTCCCTGACTTTGGTCTTTTGAATCGATTACTTGTGCACAGGTAACGTGTTTTGGCTGAGCGCAAAGATAAGTTAATAATTAATGGAACCACGTACATTCTGTATATTGACTGATCACTTCCCTTTATTTCCTATAATGTATAAACTTATTGTGTGTTATACTTTCATAATGGCTATTATTGTTTATTAAAACTGACATTCAGCAAAGCAGAGGGTATGTTTCGTATTTTCAATGAAAATGAAAGGAGGCAGTGATGTTATATAGGCTCTGTTTTATTATAAATATGCATACAGTGAAGATGCAGCACGACGCCTCAGCATTTCTGCTGTCTGTTTAGTTGTTAATATCAAAATGAAAATAGGCAGTTCCTTAAATCATGTTTTCATTTTATTGTTGAGAAAGTGAAACAACATAGCCAGGATTATGTGAATAAGGTTATACAGTACACTGTTCCCTGAAGATTTACCGGACATGTCCTTGAGGGTCTGTTTTCCATATCAAACTTGCGAAGTCTGAACTTACAGGGAGAGGATGCGAGACTGAAGTGTGTGAGTAGTAGGGGTGTCAAAATTAATTGTTTCTTCTGTGCACCGCGATGCAGACGCGGACAATTTGGTATCGATTCAGTAATAATCATAACCGGTTATTATGTACTGACGTCATTTATCTCCAATGCGCTCTGTCGCGAGGGAGGTAAGCGCCGGTATTTACAACACTCAGCCAACTCAGGGCAGGCCCGTGGCATAGGCACCATAGGCAAATGCTAAGGGCGCTGTATATCCAGTGGGGCGCCAGAAATGAGCGCGGTTCAGTCGGTTTTGTTTTCGATTTTCCTGACACACAGTTATAGACGGCAATAACTCAAAAACCTCTTACCCTAAAAAGATCTAAAGTGTGTTTCCTACAGAAAGACAAAGCTGGTTATGTTTCACAGCTGTCTTTCTTTTTTCTTTTCGCTCGACATTACGAGCACTGCTCCGTTTAAGCCCTCGCAGTCTGCGTTTACTTTAGCCGGCAGAGCTCGCGCTGAGAGGAGCTCTCAGTAAGGGACCGTCGGAAAAGTGCTTATTTTTTGGGTTTTTTTTTTTTGTTTTTCTGCTCCGCTCAGCGCGAGCTCTCCCTGTTGCAAGGGCTTAAGTGTGTGTGTTTGTGTGTGTGTGTGTGTGTGTGTGTGCGCGTGTGTTTGTTTAATGCTGTCTATGTTTGTTAATGTGTTTGAATGAGAGACAGTGTGGTACTGTGTGTCTGTCTGTTTATACAGACAGCATGTTATAGCCTCCCCCCAAAATATAACACTGTATATGGAAAGTATCGTCAATGCACCGTGATGCACCGAGATATCGAATTGAACCGAATCGATGGCATGATAATCGTAACCGAACCGAACCGTGAGACCAGTATAGGTACACACCTCTAGTGTGTAGGCTACTTAATATTGTGGAAAAGCCCCAATCAGACAGGCGAATGTTTTCCGCCTCCGTTTTCCTCCATTCACACTGAGACGGAGCAGCAGCGTTTTAGAATGAAAACGGCCTCTCCAGCGTTTTCGAAATGCTTAGTTTTCGGCGCTCGAAAACTCCGGTGTAGTGTGGACGGATGGCATAACCGTAGCAAAACTTATGCGTTTTAAAACGAAAACGCATTAGTGTAAACGGGGCCTAATACACTATAATAGATGTTTCAATAGACCAGAACAAAGCCGGTCTATTGTCCAGCGCAGAGCCTGTTAGTCCAGCGCATCGCTTACACACTGCTTAATACACACAAGATGTAGAGCAATACGCAAATATCTTTACATATGAAAAAGAATCAAAATATTAAGAATATATATATATATATATATATATATATATATATATATATATATATATATATATATATATATATATAGGATATAATAAGAATATATATAGGATATAAATATAAAGTATTAAAATATTACAAGACATTATTTTCTAGCCTACATAAATATAAAAAACACTTTCTCTGCAGTAAACAAACAGTGCGTCAGCTCATGTGCGATTTCGCGACCGTGAATACATCATTACATGAAGACAGAAATGACATTTTGGGTGAATTATACATTATAAATACAATATGTGACACTTTTAACGCCATTTGAAGGTGTCAATGTTGCTGTGAAGGCTTCTGCGGCCGCCTTTTCTTCTCTCCTGACCTTGAAAATATAATTGGCTGAATTGTAGAAAAAGCTGAATTAGGATCGTGTGTAGGGTCTTGATAACACCTTCGTGGAGTTTTTGTTATTATTTCAGCAAGTAGGATTGTAAAAAAAATTGTTTGTTGTACTCTCCCGTTCACTGCGCTCAAAGTTTACCAACTATGACGACTACTGCTGCTGAGAAACCTGTAAATGTGGAAACGGTCCATGGAGAAGCATTATATGTGAGCCTCACCTCCACTTTCTCCACCACCTGTTTGCCGAAGGAGCAGACTTTGGTGGAGACGGTGATGGTCATGTTCTCAGAGCTGCTGTATTGACTGCTGACGCCATAGAAAGAGCCTGGTCCGTCCTGAACACTGCTGTTATTCAGATCCGCCTGACAGAAAGATGAAGAGATTCAGCACGGAATAGTAAAATACAACATACTGTATAGCAATATAATATAATATAATATAATATAATATAATATAATATAATATAATATAATATAATATAATATAATATAATATAATATAATATAATATAATATAATATAATATAATAATAATAATATAGCATAACATTGTATAATATAATATAACAATTATAATAGAATATAATAAAGCAATTATAATAAAATATAATACAATATAATAATATAGTCTACCAATTATGATATAATATAATAATTATAATATAACAATTATAATATAATATAATATAATATAGTCTACCAATTATAATACAATATAATATAACATAATAATATATTATAATATAGTCAATCAATTATAATATAATATACTATAATACAATTTAATATAATATTATATAACAATTATAATATAATATAATATAAAAAATATAATATAACAATTATAATATAATATAGTCTACCAATTATAATACAATATAATATAACATAATAATATAATATAATATAATATAATATAATATAATATAATATAGTCTATCAATTATAATACAATATAATATAACATAATAATATAATATAATATAGTCAATTAATTATAATATAATATACTATAATACAATTTAATATAATATAATATAACAATTATATTACAATATAATATAAAAAATATAACAATTATAATATAATATAATCTACCAATTATAATACAATATAATATAACATAATAATATAATATAATATAATATAATATAATATAGTCTATCAATTATAATACAATATAATATAACATAATAATATAATATAATATAGTCTATCAATTATAATATAATATACTATAATACAATTTAATATAATACAAAATAACAATTATAATACAATATAATATAAAAATATAATAAAACAATTATAATATAATATAAAATAATATAACAATTAAAATACAATTCAATATAATATAGTTTAACAATTATAATATACTATAATATAATGTAATATAATATAATATAAAAATTATTATACAATATAATATAATAAAATATAATATAACAATTATAATATAAAATAATATAATATAACAATTACAATACAATATAATATAATATAATAATTTACATAATAAAATCGCAGATTGCACTATGCAACAAATACAAAAAGCCACGCCCCTATTAATCAAATGACTTGTTCAGCCCTATATGTAGCAGATATAAAAGCACACCCAGAATTTGACGAGGAAGAAGGCGTTTTGCGGGCCCTTCTCGTACAGCTCCTTTAGTCCGCCTTTTTTCTCAGGGAACTTGTCGTAGATCTGCCGAATGTCCACCGCCTCCAGCAGAGGGTCACTGTACGACGGGTTCGTCTGACCAATGTGGACAAACAGGTGCTTGCTGTACTGTAAAAATAAATGGGAAATATACTGTCAGAAGAGCTAGTGTCATTTAATCCCCATTTCTGTATGCAACTCAAGGTTTGCTGATGTTACTGTTAATGTTTCTGAACTACAGATACAATGTAGTCAGCCTATAGTACTAACGTCTAAATGATCAGTGAAGAATGTAAAATTAAATAAGTTAGAATGTTGATAAAAGTCTTCCAGTAATTAACATAATCTCATCTCATTTTCATCTTATTTTCCGGGGCTGGGTAGCAGGCGCAGCAGTCTTAGGAAAGAACCCCAGACACTTCCTCCAGCTCCTCTAGGGGGATCCCGAGGCGTTCCCAGGCCAGCCGAGGCGCATAGTCCCTCCAGCGTGTCCTGGGTCTTCCCCGAGGCCTCCTCTAGGTGGGACATGCCTGGAACACCTCCCTAGGTAGGCATCTGAAACAGATGCCCGAGCCACCTCAGTTGACTTCTCTTAATGTATAGGAACAGCGGCTCTACTCTGAGCTCCTCCCAGGTAACAGAGCTCCTCACCCTATCTAAAAGGTTGCGCCCTGCCACCCTGTGAAAGAAACTTATTTTGGTGGCTTGTATCTGAGATCTTTTCCTTTCGGTCATAACCCAAAGCTCATGACCATGGGTGAGAGTAGGAACGTAGTTTGACCGGTAAATCGAAAGCTTTACTTTTCGGCTCAGCTCCTTCTTTACCACAACGGACTGGTACACTGACCACATTACTGCTGCACCAATCTGTCTGTCAATCTCACGCTCCAACCTTTTCTCACTCGTGAACAAAACCCCAAGATACCTGAACTCCTCCACTTGGGGTAAGGACTTTCCTCCAACCTGGAGATGGCAAACCACTTTTTTCCAGTGGAGCACCATGGCTTTGGACTTAAAGGTTCTAAATCTAATCCCAGCCGCATCAAACTCGGCAACAAACCGCCCTAGTGCATGCTGAAGGTCCATGTTCGATGAAACCAACAGAACAACATCGACTGTGAATAAGAGATGAGATCCTGTGGTCCCCGAACCAGACACCCTCCAGCCCAAGGCTGTGCTTTAAAATTCTGTCTATAAAATTTGTGACAAAGGGCAGCCCTACTGGAGTCCAACATGCACTGGAAATGAGTCTTATTGCTGGCAATGCGAACCAAACTCCTACTCTGTTCATATAGGGAAGAGACCGCCCTTAACAGAGCACCTCTAACCCCATACTCCAAGAGCGCCCTCCCCAGAATTCCACGAGGGACACGGTCGAATGCCTTCGAAATTTTTTTTTTAAAAAAGAAAAAAAAAAATAATAATAATAATATATATGAAATATTTTTATTTTTAATTTTGCATTTTTAATCAAGAATGTAAAATAAAATGTTAATCAATAATAATAATAATAATAATAATAAATCTATACACACAAAATTTTTTTAAAGGACTATTTTAGCAATGTGACACTACACATACTGAAAATTAATTGCATTCACATTTTAGCATTCAGAGTGGGTAATTTTTATAGCTGAATAAAAATAATGAGATTTACTTATTTTAATTCTAATAAACTAAATATAAAAAAACAAACATATTTAAAAATTACATTTCAATCAAAGCTTGATTAATTATTTAAATTCTGCAAACAATTAACAATATATTTTGACATGAAAGCAAACCAAAATATTATGTATTTATTGAGTTAATTTTAATTAAATTCATTACTCTGATGCTTATGTACATAAAAATAAAATGAAAAACTAAAAACAAAACAAAAAAAATAAAAATACATTAATACATTAATAAAATAAAAATGTAATTGAAAATAAAATCCAATTAAAATTTAAAAAAATAAATTCAATTAATTAATGCAAATTAGAGGCATTTTCTAGTACAGAAGTCTCCAGACTCCAGTCCTGTTCCTGCATTTTTGACTTGTTCCCCTTCTGAAGCAGGTCTGGTGTAGTTTGGACACTGCTGTTCTAGCATAAACACATTTTCATCAGTCGCTTTTTTCCACTCACAGAGTCCTGGTCCTGCGGCAGCTCCATGAAGGCTGAATACTCCAGCATACGCAGCTTGGAGGAGGCGATGGTGCGGTCCTGCCACACGGGCACTGCTGTGGCCACCGGCGGAGGAGGCGGAGCCAGAGATTCATATGCTGAATACACACAAAAGAGGGCGCCGGTCACAATCTCACGCTCATACACGCACGCACACGCATGCACGCATGCACGCACGCACGCACGCACGCACGCACGCACGCACGCACGCACGCACGCACGCACGCACACACACACACACACACGAACGCACGCACGCACAAACAAACACACACACCAACTGACACAAAAACAAAAACACACCGCACGTATGCACACAAGAATGCACACACACATGTACGCAGACAAACACGCACAGCGACAAAACATGCACACAGACCAAATGCACGCGCACACACGCATAGACACACAAAGATGCGCGCACATACACACACACATATACATACATACAAGCAACTACACACAACAAAATGACAAACAGAAACACAAGCAAATCAACATGCACAAAAACAGACACACACACACACACACACACACACAAAGAGACACACAAACAAACATTCACAAACAAACATTCACCCACACAAACAAACAAACACACAAATGCAAACAAATAAACATGCAAAACACACACGCCTGCATGCACATATGGACCAACACACACGCAGAAAGCACACAGACAAATCACAGAAAACTGCACACACGCAATCAAATATTTGCACACACAAACAAACAAAAAAAAAAAAACACACAAATGGACACACACATAGACACAGACAAACACACAGACGCACGCACACACAGAACTGAAGCAGTGGTGTGCTTACCTGATATTGTGGACTGAACGGGTCCTGACAAGTTGGGGTAGGGATTTACGAATGGCTTGATGCTGAAAAGTGTTCAGGATTTGTTAGAATCAGTGCAAATGTGTTGGCTGATTATTTAAAGGTATTTACTGGAGTGAAACTTTCTGCTGTCAGGATTCCCACATTTATCACCAATCATAACTTCTAGATCAGCACTGTTCAAATCACTCAAATTCAACTGAAAAGTGAATCATTCTGATTAATGTGAACAATTCTGAATTCAAAATAACTGAACGATTCACTCACAAATCACTACAGTGTTTAATCTAGGGCAGTATTTATCCTTAAACATGAACATTGACTAAAACTGCTATGACTTCCAAAAAACTATGAAACTGAACAAATAAAATGTTATGAGATAGAAATCTGTATTTTTTTACAGACATTTAGCAATATACATTTAAATCAGTATATCAAATATGAGTTTGGCAAATAGCCATGAAATATTAAATAGTCTGTGTAGCTAAAATCATAAGCTGGTATTTATCGCCAAAAAAAGGTTTATGTGGAGGTTTATGTGGAACAACAAAGCTGGTCTTTATTGCTAAAATAAGGCTTATGTCATGACAAAAATGCTGGTCTTTATAGCATAAAATCAAGGCTTATGTGATGAAAAAAACTGAACTTAGTTTAAAAAATCAGAACTCGTGTTACAACAAAAAAACGGGTTTTAACAGCTTGAAAATCAAGGTGAAAATATGTTTTGTTAAAGCTAAAATAAGACTTGTCATAACAGAAAAGGCTGCTTTTTATAGTTAAAATCAGGACTTGTGTTACGACAAAAAACTTGGTCTTAATAGCTTACGATCAAGGCTTATGCAATGAAAAGTGCCGGTCTTTATAGCTAAAATAAGGCTTATGTCACAACAAAAAGCAGTTTTTAATTGCTAAAATCAGGACTTGTGTTACAACAAAAATCTGGTCTTTATAGCTTAAAATCAAGGCTCATGTGATGAAAAAAGCTGGTGTTTATAGCTAAAATCAGGACTTGTGTTACAACAAAAACTTTATGTCTTTATAGATTTAAATCAAGGCCTGTGTGATGTAAAAAACTCTTTATAGTTAAAACATAGACCTCATAAAACACAGACTCCCTGATATTCCCCTGATATTCTGATATTGATTGTGGGAACCCTTCTGCTTTGGTTTAAAGGTGGTGTATTTCACACTTTGACACTTCACTTTCTCCACAACAGTTTGTTTTCGGCCGTATCAGCTAAGCGTAAGTTCACCTACTTCAGCGTGAAAGTGCTGAATGACAGAAGTAGTGTGTGATAACACACAAGTTCAAGACACTGGTCTCAGGACCACAGAGCCCATGATGCGGTTTAATATGGTCCCAAAAGTTGGACACTGGAATTGGTTAAACAGCATACAAAAATTTATATTGCAAAATTAAGGACTAATTATGTTTAGAATTTGATTCAGTTCTAGAAGGAGGTTTGTGGTAATGACGTGAATAAATTCACTTTGTAATGTGTTCAATTCATCAAAAATTGCTTTTATGAGACAATTATTTTTACTAAAGTTTTTTTTTATTAAAGTAAATTTACTAAGTGTGTACTAACTTTACTATAAATCCAAATAGAGAATAATAAATGCAATCAAAGTGTCTGCTTTAATGTTTCAAATATTTTTTGAGAAAATAAAATGTCAAAATCATGGGTGAAATAATGCATCTTTATTCAACATAACATTATATATCGAAAAATAAAATAACATACTTATTCTGACTGGGTGTTTAATATGTATATTAGGGATGTGACGACTATAGATTTTGGTTGTACGATTATAGTCTGAGGAATAATCACGGTTTCATGGTTATTACAACTATTATGCATTCGTAATTTTAAAACACTACTAATTTAGTAATTCTCATAAAAACTCCTTATATTTTAAAGTGTTATTTATTGCTGCTCAGTAAGCAAATACAGCATAAAATAATCATAAAGAATGATTATAAGAATAAAAAAATTAGGTATTTCCATTTTAAAGAGAACAAATCTAGTCAAAGGCTGCTAAACCTCTGTCTGAAAGGCACTTTTGATCATCATTGAGTATTTTTCTTTTGTATATATATATATATATATATATATATATATATATATATATATATATATATATATATATATATTTTTTTTTTTTTTTTTTTTTGGACCAGAGTACAAATGTGTATATTAGATACAAGTATGAAGTTGAAGCTCAGTTCACATCACGTGACTTGCGGTGTGCTCTGGGCATTCTGAAAAGTGGAGATGTTTTCAACTAGGTCCGCATGGAAATCGTGAACGCGTCGCTACCAATATGTGCGTGTAAGCCATGCGCCTTCCTTGAAAAATAAGAAACTTGAGAGTGCAAAAGACGCGATATGTGAACGACCCTTAAGGCTCATTTCCACTGAGGGGTACACTACGGGTCAGTACGGGTCACTTTTATCAGGCTTGCATTTCCACTGCCAAAAGGGAACCAATGGTACAGTAATAGTTAAACATGACCTTCGTTTTTTCTGACTTCTCCTTTGCTTTTTCACGCTTTACTCTCGCGTTTGTCCTTTCTGAAAGGATCGGATGTCAGAAGCACGTCAATAATTACACGCATGTCAAAAATCAAGAAGTTCATTATTTGTAAATAGATGCGCAGCGAGAAATGTGAAATCGCTCGCGCTTTAGACGGTCTTATAAACAACTAGTAGAGTGCACAGGGTAGATTCTTCTCTTCTTCTTGGCTTGGTGGCTGTTCATCAAGATGACGACAAGGTTTGTTTGAGCTCAGATCGACCATGGCTCATTATTATATGTATATATTATTACAGTGTAATGTCTCAGCTGTGCATTTAAAATATGGCGGTTCCTTTGTTTTCCTTCTCCTGCTTGTCCGCAAGCTAGTGACGTATCTCTGTAAACCAATAGCATTCAGCTGCGTGTCTAGTTCCGCCTTTTGGTACCTTTTTGTTGTGCTAGGTACCCTTCCGAAAGCATGCCCAAAAAGTAGTATGGTACGGTTAACTTTTAGATACCTTTTGACAGTGGAAATGGCCATAAAAACGTACCGAACCGTACCATGCCATTAGTTAATAGCCTCAGCCATTTTTTATCCAGAGTGTGTGAGCCTCGATGTACAAGCTCGGTGTGCAAGCACAGTTGGCATAACTTTGTTTAGTTGCAGAAGTTTTGTTCCACAAAGAAGCGCGGTGTTGAGAAGCCTTTACAATTAATTAATTGTGACGAATTAAATTTATGGTGAAATCGCTAAATCGTTGCATCCCTAATATATATGTGTGTATATTGTATATATATATATATATATATATATATATATATATATATATATATATATATATATATATATATATATATATAATGCCTAATTTATGTACTATTAATATTATTATTTGATTATGAATGACAAACTCATTAAATTATTTAATAATATATAATTATAATATAATTATATACAATGATTATACTACTTATACATTTTTAATAAATCCCTAATATTATAGAATTATGCCTCACTAATTACAATCGGTAGTCTACATCAGTCAATTGACTTCTACTACTACTGTTAACATACTTATTAACTATAACTGGAAAACTGATTCCCATTCCAGCTAAATGCTAATGCTAGCTAAATATCATTTCAAGCTCTGCGGAGCGAACTTACGCGTAGCTGGTGCGGCCTAGCCCAGGACTTCTTCCTGGGTTGTGCTTAAGAACCAGCCTGATGCATAAAAACATGATCCATTAAACGTGTCAGACATTGAAACACACATTAAAGCATGACATGTAGATGCATGAGTTACTCACTCCTGAGAGGGTCCAGGTTGACCTGGGATGGGGGTCGGCCAGAACTGGGGAAAAAAAAAAACACAAAACAATCAATCAGTTTGCTTCATAACTTTAGTAAATCAGGGCTTTAATGTAGGGCTGGAATATATCTGACATTGCAATATGATTTTTTTCTGCAATATGAATACAAATTTCACCAAATGACTTAAAGGGCTCCTATTTCACCCATTTTACAAGACGAAAGATGAGTCTTTTGCGTCTCCAGAATGTGTCTGTAAAGTTTCAGCTTAAAATGCCCATCAGATTATTTAATATACATTGCAGAATATGCCCATTTATGGAATCTGAGGACAGCTGTTTTTGTAGCCTGTGCCTTTAAATGCAAATAATAATAATAATAATAATAATAATAATAATTAATAATAATTCCTTACATTTATACAGCGCTTTTCTGGGCACTCAAAGCGCTTTACACAGTGGGGGGAATCTCCTCATCCACCACCATTGTGCAGCATCCACCTGGATGACGCGACGGCAGCCATTTTGCGCCAGTCCGCAAACCACACTCCAGCTGATTGGTGAAGAGGAGACAGTGATGCAGCCAATTGAATATGGGGATGGTTAGGAGGCCATGATGGACAAAGGCCAGTGGGCAGATTTGGCCAGGATGCCGGGGTTAAATCCCTACTCTTTTCGAAGGACATCCTGGGATTTTTAACAACCACAGAGAGTCGGGACCTCGGTTTAACGTCTCATCCGAAAGACGCGCTCACTGAGCAGTATAGCGTCCCCGTCACTATACTGGGGCATTAGGACCCACACAGACCGCAGGTTGGGCGCCCCCTGCTGGCCTCACTAACACCACTTCCGGCAACCTAGCTTTCCCATGTGGTCTCCCATCCAGGTACTGACCGGGCACAGCCCTGCTTAGCTTCAGTGGGCGACCATGTGAGAGTTGCAGAGAGCTAGCTGCCGGCCAATGAGCTGGTACTCCCCGCCCACCGTTCCCATGCGAGTGTCTGTTAGTAGGGGTGTCAAAATTAATAGTTTTTTCGGTGCACTGCGATGCAGACGCGGACAATTCGGTATCTGTTCAGTAATAATCATAACCGGTTATTATAGACTGACGTCATTTATCTCCTATGCGCTCTGTTGTGAGGGAGGTGAGCGCCGGTATTCACAATACTCAGGAGCCAACTCAGAAACAGCCCGTGGCATAGGCAGTGTAGGCAAACACTGTACATCCAGGGGGGCGCCAGAAATGAGCGCGGTTAATTAAAATTAAAGTTAGGTTGGATTTGTTTTCGATATTCCTGACACATTTAGTTATAGCGGCAATAACTCAAAAACCTCTTACCCTAAAAAGATCTGAAAGTGTGTTTCCTACAAAAAGACAAAGCTGGTTATGTTTCACAGCTGTCTTTTTCTTTTTTTTTTTGCTCGACATTACGACCACTGCTCCCTTAAGCCCTTGCAATATCATCAGTTTAGCCAAGAGAGCTCGAGCGGAGAGGAGCTCTCAGTAAGGGACCGTCAGAAAAGTGCTTCTTTTTTCGTTTTTTTTTTTTTTTGCTCCGCTTATCGCGAGCTCTCCCAGGTTAAACGAATATTGCAAGGGCTTAAGTGTGTTTGTGTGTGTGTTTGTTGCTGTCTATGTTTGTGTATGTGTGTGTTTAAATGAAAGACAGAGTGGTGCTGTGTGTCTGTGTGTTTAAACAGACAGCTTGTTATAGCCTCCCCCCAAAATATAACAGTGTGTATGGAAAGTATCGTCATTGCACCGTGATGCACCAAGATATCGAATTGAACCGAATTGATGGCATGATAATCGTAACCGAACCGAACCATGGGACCAGTATAGGTTCACACCTCTATCTGTTTGGGCTGCACGATATTGGAAAAATTAAACGTCGCAATATATATTTTTTTCTGATACATAACACAATTTAACAAGAGGAGTTTAATAACCATTTGGAAAGAATTTATTATTTTAGATGGATTGGGGTGATTCTCTAGGGGAGCACATATGCACAAAATATGAGAAACAAATCTACCAGCATAGATAAATACAATAAAGATAAAGACACAAACTAAATAAACAGCATATGATTCTTTTCAGAGGAGCTGAACCGTGTTCAGGTATACAGTAATTAAATAATCAAATGTAAAATACTGCGTATTCTCCCTTTAAGAAACATTTTATAAACGGTACAACTTCTTAGGCCTGAATGCTTTTACAACCCTGCATCAGGGGTCACCAATCTCTGTCCTGGAGTGCCAGTGTCCCTGCAGGGTTTAGCTCCAACTTGCCTCAACACACCTGCCTGGGTGTTTCAAGTATACCTAGTAAGACCTTGATTAGCTAATTCAGGTGTGTTCGATTAGGATTAGAGGTAAAATCTGCAGGACACCGGCCCTCCAGGAAAGTTTGGTGACCCCTGCCCTACATAACAAACCCTATTACATAGTCACCGGCTACAAAAACATTTTAATTATTTTATTATATAATCATAATCCAGACATAATGCAGACTCCAGAATATTGCGTATCCTCGCGATGTGACTATTGCGAATGATCACATTGCGATATCGATGCTGAAATGACATCTTGTGCAGTCCTAGTGTCTGTTTGTCCTGTGTTATGTCAGATAAACAGCAGTCAGTGACAGAAACAGAAAGATCCAGTTTATTACTAAAAAAAAAAAAACAGAGTGAGATTATTTAATTTATATGTGTTGGAGTTTATTCAAGCCTTACTAAAATGATGAGCCACACACAAATGCTGTTACAAAGTTTTCAGTACACAAACGCTGACACTATGCGGCTGTGGTACTTCCAGTGGTTATGAATTATATTTTACTGTCTTCATTACAAACATGTTCTAATGTTTTTAAAATGTTTAAACTTGTAAAACTCATTCTTGAGGTGCAGCTAATCACAGAGAGTTGAACAGAGTTGAATCTTTTAATCCCAGTTTCTTTGCAAATCCTGTTCTGTCGACATGTTTATATGAGTTACTACAGAAACATGTTAATATGCGTCTATTAGGGTTGAGCAGAAAGACAATGCCATTGTCCATCGCAGATGGCCGACAAACTTCACGATGCTGAGCCGGCATCGCGATCCATCGCCCTGCCTACATTTATATTGATATATAACTTATTATTTGCATGTCATCCTAATAGCAATAACGGTCTTTTCATTAACTATTTTAAATGTTATATATAGCTTGCAAGGCTGACAGCATCATGAAGATTAAATGAAGGATTATGCAGCACCTCTCGTGCATAAAATGTGTAGATTCAGTGGGAAACGCTGTTACCTGCAAACCCCATCACACAGACTTCACAGTGAATGGCTTTAGTCATATTTATAGCGGACATGAAGCCACTGGAAGTCTTTTATCCACTCTTGGAAAAGTGTAAATGGTGCATTAACATTCAGCACATGATCACATGATGTGCCATTATTAGTAACTGTAGGTAAATCAGCCAGTGTTATTTTCATTCTCTCATCTTCAGCGCTTCACATTTTCGCAGTTGTAGCTCCTGAAGGCAAAAGGGATTGACTGAGTGATTGACAGCTGATATTAACCAATCATTCGCATTCAGTTGTAGAGCAGTCGGCCAATTAGAAGAGCAGAAAGGTGGGGCAAGCATTGCAGGCTTTTTTAACTTCAGCAAGTTCACATAACAACTGTTTTAATCTGTTCCTGAGTGCTGCGTTTGGGGATTTTAGGTGCAAAGATGCATAAATGTCTGCTAAATCCGCTCGCGCTATACCCGCACACAGTTCATTCAGATGAACTGGGATGATATTGTAGGGGAGTGAATCATGCATATATATTAGACTGAAACTATCATAGGCTATTTAGAAAGAATAATACACGCCTGGAGGGTAAGAACAAACCCAATGCAAACTCTTTGAAGAATACATCACTTCAGCGCTGCCTTGCAAATACCACATCATTTAGCCAAACAGTTTTTTCTGTAAATGTTTATATAATGAATTGTACCCGTGCGGCTGGAGGGTAAGGGGACTGTGGAAGAGGTGGAAGGGAGGTCTTGATGAGACTCGGAGACACAATCTGAGCAGAGGAAAGAGCCGCCATGTTCTGGAGAGCCTTGTCTTTAGACGCTTGATCCTGAGGAGAGGGAGGAGAAACAGGTGAGCACAATAATCCAGTGGGAAATACAGACAAACTAAAGCATGTTGTTAATTGTAGTTAATGCAAAGCAGCCTGCTGAATTACGACAAAGCAAGATAAAGCATCAGAAGAAGGGAAATGACAGGGGGTCTTTATTTCCAGCATTTGCAAGACAGCAAAAGAAAAGTGTTAAAGTTTCAGTTTAGCTGATGTTTAAGGCTTCACGGTAGAGATATGCTATATTTAATATGTACAGTTGAAGTAAGAGTTATTAGCCCTTCTGAATTATTAGCCCCCCAATTTTTTTTTAATGGACAGAAGATTTTTTTCAGCACATTTCTAAACATAATAGTTTTAATAACTCATTTTTAATAACTGATTTACTTTAAGGGGCGACACGGTGGCTCAGTGATCAGCACTGTCGCCTCACAGCAAGAGGGTCGCTGGTTCGAGCCTCGGCTGGGTCAGCTGGCATTTCTGTGTGGAGTTTATTTGTTCTCCCCGTGTTGACGTGGGTTCCCTCCGGGTGCTCTGGTTTCCCCCACAGTCCAAACACATGTGCTATAGGTGAACTGAAGAAACTAAATTGGCCGTGGTGTATGTGTGTAAATGAGTGTGTATGGATGTTTCCCAGTACTGGGTTGCAGCTGGAAGGGCATCCGCTGTGTAAAACTTTTGCTGGATAAGTTAGCAGTTCATTCCGCTGTGGTGACCCCAGATTAATAAAGAGATTAAGCTGAAGAAAATAGAATGAATGAGTGATTTATTTTATCTTTGCCATGACGACAGCAAATAATATTTTACTAGTATGCAGCTTAAAGTGCAGTTTAAAGGCTTAACTAGGTTGATTAGATCAACTAGGCAGGTTTGGGTTATTAGGCAAGTGATTGTATATTGATGGTTTGTTGTGTAGTCTATCGGAAAAACTATTGCTTAAGAGGGATGATAATATTGACCTTAAAATTATTTTAAATTGTTTTTTAAATGGCTTTTATTTTAGCCAAAATAGAGCAAATAAGACTTTCTTAAGAAGAAAAAAAAATATTTAAAATAAAAATAAAAATAAATAAATAAAATAAAAATCCTGTGCTTTGTTAAACATCATTTGGGAAATATTTAGAAAACATAAATAAATAAAAATCACAAGGCTAATAACTTTGATTTCAACTGTACATATAAACACACCCATGCATATATTTGAGAAAATGTGAATTTATATATAGATAAAAAGGTCTAAATTTATACATTTATATTTATATTAGCCCCCCTGAATTATTAGCCTACCTGTTTATTTATTTCCCCAATTTCTGTTTAACAGGGAGAAGATTTTTTACATTTCTAAGCATAATAGTTTTAATAACTCATCTCTAATATCTGATCTATTTTATCTTTGCCATAATAAAAGAATATAATATTTTACTAGATATTGTTTAAGACACTTCTATACAGCTTAAAGTGACATTTAAAGGCTTAACTAGGCTAATTAGATTAACTAAGCAGATTAGGGTAATTAGGCAAGTTATTGTATATAACAAAAATAATATATATATATATATAGCTTAAAAATATATATAGCTTAAAAGGGCTAATGCTTTTGAACTTAAAATGGCATTAAAAAAAATAATAAAAACTGCTTTTATTCTAGCCGAAATAAAACAAATAAGACTTTTTTCCCAGAAGAAAAAATATTATCAGACATACTATGAAAATGTCCTTGCTCTGTTTGACATCATTTGAGAAATATTTAAAAAAGAAAAATCAAAGGGGGGCGAATAATTGACTTCAACTGTATGTATAGGATACAAACTATATTGAAATGTAAATATCTATGAAAATTTTTTTAATTGCATGGTTTTGTTTTTATGTATGTGTGTACATATAGATGAAATATATAGTCATACCAGTAATAATTCATAACCTTGGCAAATCCTGCCTCCACCTTTTGTTTAAAGATAAATAAAAGCTGGGAAATATATTTTTCCACAATAACGCCTCGTGTACATCATCTTATTATCTTTTAGGAGAAGCCTATGTCATTCTGGTCAAAAAATAAATAAATTAAAATAACTTAAGTCAGAAAATGCCAGGGTTATGAATAATTCAGACTAGACTGTATATTGTATAATACTCAAATCTAATGTCAAAATAAACTTGTATTTTGGATGTCATTAATCTTTGCCCAGAACTAATGATATCATAACTGTTGTTTTAACAAATTGCGAGATGACATTAGATTGACACTCAATACAATAATTAATTTGTAAGATAAGCAGTAGTTCAGTAATATCACAAAAGCATGAGTGTTGTTTTCCAGAGTAGCAGAAAATGTAGTCTTTTTTTCTGTTTCCATAAAGAAAAAAGTTCCAAACAAAGCTAAAGAGCATTTCCTGTTTCCTAAATGATCTGCTTCAAATGAATAAACGATCAGCCGATAAGATTGTTTAAAAAAATCCCTCATTAAAACTTGCTACCAACTACCGTCAAATTTATTCATCCATTTATTCAGACTACACACCATCACAAAACACACTCAGCTAAATAGTAATAACTTTTTTTTTTATATTACCACATACGCTTTCTTCACATATCCACATTGCTTATACCTAGCTTTCAGATGTTTTAATCCAGATCACAAGTAGATGAGAGAGAGATGTTCCTGACACCTATAATGCCTGCTTTCAACAAGATGTAAAATAAGTCTCTGATGTCCTTGAGCAGTGTTGGGGGTAACGCATAAGTAACTCGAGTTACGTAATAATATTACTTTTATAAGTAACAAATAAAGTAATGCATTGCTTAAAAAAATAAGTAATAATATTTGAGTCTAAATAATATTGAGTTTAACAATGTAACCCGAGTTACATAAAATAATTCATTCACTAAAAAAAAAAAAAAAAAAAAAAAAAAGTATTTGCTGAATTAAAATGTGTAATCACGTTGACTAGCGCTGTTTACACCAGATGCAGAATGTGCGGATAAATCGCGTTATTCGCGCATAAATAGCTGCGTGAACATTTGAGTTTACTCTTTATTTGCGCGTCAAACCCCAGCTTCATTTGTGCGTCAAATCCACTTCAGAACAGACGCGGATTCGCGAGATCGGAAGGGCTCTTGTCTGCCCGGTGACTCTAGCTTTGTTGCTAAATGGCTAACATGGATCTTAATAAGAAAATAAGTGTTTATGTGCTTTATGAAGGCTGAAAAACAGCGTAGATATGTTTAGGGCCTTGTCTGAGTCCACTAGATCCTTTCAGAGGTGCATCCAGCTCTGTGAGCTCATAAACTCCTCCAGAAACTGAACCTGGATGATGGAGGCATTCAGCGGTGCTTCTGACTGAGCCGAGCCCAGTTTGATGAACTGTTGTCGGTGTCGGCTGGAGGATTTCCCCCGGGACACCAACAACAGGCTGTACGTCACAATCACCCCCCACAAGAGCAAGCTCCTGATTGGTTAACGTGGCGTGAATGTCCGATTAAGTTCAGATTTTTGAACTCGAGCGATTCACGTGAAACGTGCAAAATGTTACATTCGAGCCATGCCATTCGCACGTATCATGCCACAGGATGTCTATTCGCGTGTTCTTCCGGGTCTGGTGTGACTTTAATTTATCAGTATATACTGCATGTATAGGGTCATGAAGTTCTCAGAAGGTAACATTTTTAGTTAGTTTTTTTTTTTTTTTTTTAAAGTAAATAAAGGTGTAGGTGAACTGTCAGTGAACTGATGACCTTTACGGCCAATCACAGTCATTTCTGCTGAGCACAACGTGAGAACATGCTCAACAGTGCTCAAATGTTAGCGGGAAATGGACGTTTTTTAAATTTTAGGACCGACTGATATCGAATTCCAGTATCGTGACAACACTAGTACAACATGGAGACAGGTGTCAGGAAAAAACAATCACAAGTCAGTATGCAAATAACATGATGATGTCATGGCTGTTGGTGAGATTTTAGAATGCTGCTGCATAATCTAATAAATGTCAGGCAATGAGAGAATTTCTAAATACATATCGAACTCGTTACCAAGTAAGTCGATGAAAATAAAATATTACATCACAGTCCATACCCAAGACTAAAACAAACTTAGGTTTAAGTTTAGTGGTTTAAAACAAGCCGCATGCAAAATCTTTGAAGACTACATCAATTCACTGCTGCCTTGCAAAGACTATATTGTAAAAAATCCATGTTGTTATTTTGCCAATCAGTTATTTCAGGGGAATCCTGAGCAAACGGTTTGTCTCTAAGCATCTCAAAGTCATTTTTTAGAAGGGTCTGAGGTTTCGAATAACAAAGAGTAGAGGGGAAAAAGCCAAAATAAAGACAGATATCTAATAATGGGCAACATCAACATATTGACTCAGAGTATATAAAATAAAGCCAAAGGCTTTTGAACTCCTTTCTAGCTTTCTCTTTAAGTGCAGTCTTTCACCAAACACATCCATGTTTAAGGGATATTAAATTATGCCGCATTAAAAACATGTGCCCACAAAGGAAAGCAGAACTGAACAATCCGCCCGGCTTGAAATTCCAGTTCTCCAGAGGCTGAGCGTGTAGCACGTCACTTTGCATCACAATAAATCAAAGTGGATGATAAAAAGGCTTGCGGCCCACTCGGAAGCACCACCACAATAAGTGGTGGATCACAATTAAGTTTCTTGAATTTACAAAAGCCTCTACGATCTCTGCGGTACATCACGAAGCAGACGGACGGACATGGAAACTGCAGAAAGCGAAACGGCCAGGCACATTATTGACACAAGAATTATGAGCAATCTATGCAGACCGCAGGGCCAGAGAACAGGACTTCATAATGGCAGCGCTGGATGTAAGCTGAACCTGCGCAGGACAGCCAAGCAAAGCCAAGCAAAAATAAAAAGTCAACAATAATTCGCACAATTCAAATCCACACTTACCAAGTTCATGGCCTGAATCAAAAGAAAGAGAGACCATTAGTACAATATTTAGAGAGCAATTTCGCTAAAACTATTGTCTCTGACAGCAATTTTTGGGATAAACGGCAACTTCAATTCTATTCTAGATAGTTTCAAATGTACAATGAAACGTTTTGGAAAGTATGTGCCTTGGCAAGCAGAAATTGTAATACTTTGCTCAAAAACGATGTACCACATACTGTATATTAATAACATACCAGAAAAAAACATATATATTTATATTCTAAATAAAAAAAATATATATATATATAAATATATATATATATAAATGTTTGAAGTATGCAAGTACGTTGAGTACCGATTTTACAATGTGTGGATGTGCAATAGTCACAATACAGGATTTGATTATTTATTGAAGATTGACACAATACTAAAGACATTATTCAACTATTTTTAAAGATATTTTATTTAATAAAATTTTTTTTTAATTATATATATATTTTTAATTATTTATAAAATGATGACCATGTCATTTTTTTGTTTGATTGTTCAATTTCTGCACTTGAATACTGGTATACTCCCCACAAAACCATAAAGCACTGCTTGTTTATTTATTTTTGTTTGTAGTTGATTATAATTTATGCAGATGCAATGCAAAGAAAAAGACGTGATCATTCCAGTCAATCTAAATTAATTACATTTTTTTTTCAAATAGAGCTATTCAAATCAAATAATCTGGTGAAATATATATTCATATCACAATATATATTGCAGCAAAACAAAATATCGCAATGTCAGATTTTTCCAATATCACGCAGCCTTAATATGCATGTATGTGTGGGTCTATTTATCCATCTATAATAGATTTTTTTTCTCTAAATGCATTAATATACATACACACACCCACACACACACATATATATATATATATATATACACAAGTCAGAATTATTAGCCCCCCTAAATAATTAGCCCCCTCTTTATTTTTCCCCAATTTCTGTTTAACGGAGAGCAGATTTTTCAAAACATTTCTAAACATAATAGTTTTAATAACTCATTTCTAATAACTGATTTATTTTATCTTTGTCATGATGACAGTAAATAATATTTGACTTCATATTTTAAAGACACTTCTATACAGCTTAAAATGACATCTAAAAGCTTAACTAGGTTAATTAGGTTAACTAGGCAGGTTAGGGTAATTAGGCAAGTTATTTTATAACGATGGTTTGTTGTGTGTAGATAATTAAAAAAAATATATATAGCTTAAAAGGGCTAATAATTTTGACCTTAAAATAGTGTTTAAAAAAATTTAAAACTGCTTTTATTCTAGCCAAAATATAAAAAATAAGACTTTCTCCAATAGAAAAAATATTATCAGACATACTGTGAAAACTTCCCTGCTCTGTTAAACATAATTTGGGAAAAAAAAGAAATAAAAAATTCAAAGGGGTGCTAATAATTCTGACTTCAACTGTATGTATGCATGTATGCATGTTAGATATGTATTTGAGTAAAATACTAATATTTCCTTTATTCTACAATGCTCTAATAACAATTAGGCAAATTTGTTGTGAAAATCAGGTTTAATGACGCTTGATATTGATTTTTTCTGAAGCTAAAACATTGCTAATGTATCATTTAAAAATGTATAAATGTTTTTTGTTTTCAAAAGGTACTCCTAATGACAAAATTTTCATTTTTATGATCAAATTTGCAATGTCATCAGTAATTTAGAAAATAAAAATATAATTCTTTGTGCATTTCCAGTATTAATTAATTATATTTGTAAATCATTAATCCAGATAAACAGAGCATTTTTAAGTCATCTCTGAATTTCCCTATATGGCTGTTAAATATGTGTGCATTAATGAACACTATCTACTTCTGTACTGTAGTTTATATATAGGATGGCAGGGGGCGCTGAACATCTACCATCTAACATGCAACAAAACTGCATGCTATTAATGCAAACGCTACATTATGTGCAATATTTTATGCCAATCTGTTTATGTAATTTTGCCACCTCATCAATCAAAGCTAAACACTAAAAGAAGAAAATAATAAAAAAAAAAGGTCCAGTATTTTATGCAGTCCTGTATATATAAATCAATTGTGTACAAACAATTCATAAATAGCACATTCACATTTTTGACCCGCCCAAAATATATACTTGTCAGGAAAATGTATATTAATAAGAACTGGGTTGATATTTACATCACAGCCTGCATAAAAACAACACATAATTCGACAGCCGATTCTAATGCAGTATACTGTATCATCCAGCAGTGTCTCAGACAGACTGTACAAGAGAAAAACGCAGTATTGACAGACACATGGAGTCTGGATGCAAAGAAAGAAAGGCTGAAGAAACGAGTGAGCCTCAGGAAAGCCATCAGGCAAAGATCTCAGCCAATCATGCACCTTCAGCCTCTACCACATTCAGGAGCGCAAACGCAAAGCACTACGCTACTGTACGCCTCCTTTCCGTCATTAGTTTACGAATGCAAGCGCTCATTCATCAGGATTTGATTCAGCCAATAGATAACTGGAACTTATCGTGATCTCTCACTGGTTTGTGGAAAGGCAAAATGCCGTCAAGCCCCGTCCCACCCGCAGGAAAGCGCATACCTTCAGCTTTGACTGAATCTCACGAGATTTTCTCCGGGCAAGAACCTGCAAGTGGCTAGAAACCTGCAGAACAGAAAAGCCAAAAGAGGAGGAAAAGAAAGAGGAGGAAGAAGAGGAGGAAAAAAGAGAGAGAGAAGCTGTAACCAAAGAGGGAAAAGATGCTGCGTTTGCGACCTACCTTTATACTTGCTTGATACTCTCGGACTTTCTTCCGTGCTAACACCTGTATGTGACTAGATACCTGAAGAATGTCGAGACAGCTTAACAAAAACACACATGCACACATCACAACACACTTAAAGGGCCTCTATTGTGCTCTTTAAACATTTTCATTTAGAGGTCTCCTACAATAGTAATGCATACAATGTCCAGTATATATACAATGTTGTATAATAGACGTGTAAAAATCACCTCATTCCTCAAGGAGTCTGACATTTTTCACCTGATTCATTTGAAAATTTGTTCTGTAACTAAATTGTGCCCCCTATACCCTTAAATAATCCACTCTTTAAGGGAGGAGGCATTTATAGTGGTGTCTGAAACCATACAATGCAAACTGCTTTTCTTACTTTGAGCTTTAGTCTTGTTTCTAGTCCAGAGATTTTAAAAAATTAAATAAATAAATGAATAAAATCAAGAAGAATGTTCTAGACAATATATTTTAATCATACATAATTATAATCATGGCGACGCGGTGGCGCAGTAGGTAGTGCTGTCAACGCACAGCAAGAAGGTCGCTGGTTCGAGCCTCGGCTGGGTTAGTTGGTGTTTCTGTGTGGAGTTTGCATGTTCTTCCCGCATTCGCATAAGTTTCCTCTGGGTTTCCTCCACAGTCCAAAGACATGCGGTATGGGTGAATTAGGTGGGCTAAATTGTCTGTAGAGTATGAGTATAAATTAGTGTGTCCTTACAGGAAATTTTTTTTAAAATTTATTTTACAATTATTGATTTTGTTTTATTTTACATTTAAAAATGTACTTATAACATAAAGTGTTGTTAATTTTGTTCAATTTGTTGTTGTTTTTTTTCATAAAAACCACTACAAAAAAGTACTGATAAGAGAACTGAACCGATAAGCATTTATCGATAAAAGTAGTAATACCGATAAAAACTTATCGTACCCATCCATAGTTGTGGGATTACTTTACAGGAGTTATTATTATTGATTAGGGATGTAACGGTATTGTAAATACCGTCATACCGCAATATAAATTTTTTTCGATATTACCGAAGTCGCATGACTCGGTAAAACTATAGGTCTTCTGAGAAAATTTGCTCAGGCGAATGAAGCGAACGGGAGGTAGCGAAAACTACAATTCCCATCAGCCCATGCTTGACCATCATCCCTTGCGGTCTGTTGTCGCTACAGATCCAGTAATGCGGAATTGGAGTGCTGCTAGAAGCGGGGATGAAAAAGAGCTGAAAAACTCTAAAGCGGGTGTTGTCGCCGCGCACGTACTGAATAGCGGTGTTGTCGCGCGAGTTCTTATCAGCTGTGTTGTCGCGCGAGTTCTTATCAGCTGTGTTGTCGCGCGCGTTCTTATCAGCTGTGTTGTCGCGCGCGTTCTTATCAGCTGTGTTGTCGCGCGCGTTCTTATCAGCTGTGTTGTCGCGCGCGTTCTTATCAGCTGTGTTGTCGCGCGCGTTCTTATCAGCTGTGTTGTCGCGCGCGTTCTTATCAGCTGTGTTGTCGCGCGCGTTCTTATCAGCTGTGTTGTCGCGCGCGTTCTTATCAGCTGTGTTGTCGCGCGCGTTCTTATCAGCTGTGTTGTCGCGCGCGTTCTTATCAGCTGTGTTGTCGCGCGCGTTCTTATCAGCTGTGTTGTCGCGCGCGTTCTTATCAGCTGTGTTGTCGCGCGCGTTCTTATCAGCTGTGTTGTCGCGCGCGTTCTTATCAGCTGTGTTGTCGCGCGCGTTCTTATCAGCTGTGTTGTCGCGCGCGTTCTTATCAGCTGTGTTGTCGCGCGCGTTCTTATCAGCTGTGTTGTCGCGCGCGTTCTTATCAGCTGTGTTGTCGCGCGCGTTCTTATCAGCTGTGTTGTCGCGCGCGTTCTTATCAGCTGTGTTGTCGCGCGCGTTCTTATCAGCTGTGTTGTCGCGCGCGTTCTTATCAGCTGTGTTGTCGCGCGCGTTCTTATCAGCTGTGTTGTCGCGCGCGTTCTTATCAGCGGTGTTGTCGCGCGCGTTCTTATCAGCGGTGTTGTCGCGCGCGTTCTTATCAGCGGTGTTGTCGCGCGCGTTCTTATCAGCGGTGTTGTCGCGCGCGTTCTTATCAGCGGTGTTGTCGCGCGCGTTCTTATCAGCGGTGTTGTCGCGCGCGTTCTTATCAGCGGTGTTGTCGCGCGCGTACTGAGTAGCGGTGTTGTCGCGCGCGTACTGAGTAGCGGTGTTGTCGCGCGCGTACTGAGTAGCGGTGTTGTCGCGCGCGTACTGAGTAGCGGTGTTGTCGCGCGCGTACTGAGTAGCGGTGTTGTCGCGCGCGTACTGAGTAGCGGTGTTGTCGCGCGCGTACTGAGTAGCGGTGTTGTCGCGCGCGTACTGAGTAGCGGTGTTGTCGCGCGCGTACTGAGTAGCGGTGTTGTCGCGCGCGTACTGAGTAGCGGTGTTGTCGCGCGCGTACTGAGTAGCGGTGTTGTCGCGCGCGTACTGAGTAGCGGTGTTGTCGCGCGCGTACTGAGTAGCGGTGTTGTCGCGCGCGTACTGAGTAGCGGTGTTGTCGCGCGCGTACTGAGTAGCGGTGTTGTCGCGCGAGTACTGAGTAGCGGTGTTGTCGCGCGCGTACTGAGTAGCGGTGTTGTCGCGCGCGTACTGAGTAGCGGTGTTGTCGCGCGCGTACTGAGTAGCGGTGTTGTCGCGCGCGTACTGAGTAGCGGTGTTGTCGCGCGCGTACTGAGTAGCGGTGTTGTCGCGCGCGTACTGAGTAGCGGTGTTGTCGCGCGCGTACTGAGTAGCGGTGTTGTCGCGCGTGTACTGAGTAGCGGTGTTGTCGTGCGCGTACTGAATAGCCGGGTTTTCGCGCGCGTACTGAATAGTGGTGTTGTCACGCGCGTACTGAATAGCGGTGTTGTCGCACGCGTACTGAATAGCGGTGTTGTCGCGCGAGTTCTTATCAGCTGTGTTGTCGCGCGAGTTCTTATCAGCTGTGTTGTCGCGCGAGTTCTTATCAGCTGTGTTGTCGCGCGAGTTCTTATCAGCTGTGTTGTCGCGCGAGTTCTTATCAGCTGTGTTGTCGCGCGAGTTCTTATCAGCTGTGTTGTCGCGCGAGTTCTTATAAGCTGTGTTGTCGCGCGAGTTCTTATCAGCTGTGTTGTCGCGCGAGTTCTTATCAGCTGTGTTGTCGCGCGAGTTCTTATCAGCTGTGTTGTCGCACGAGTTCTTATCAGCTGTGTTGTCGCGCACGTACTGAATAGCGGTGTTGTCAGCACACTGTTCAGATTGATGCAGACATGAGACCTCTATCTTACTCATGGTTTGTCCTCTCAAGTGGGGGAAAGACAATGCACAACGTTACCCACTGCTGTCAACCTGGGCCAAGTCATATCTCTCTTGTCCCAGAAACCTCAGTCCCAAATGAGAGGGTTTTTTTTCTGTTGCAGGGGACATTGTAAATGCCCAGAGATACCAGCTTTTACCAGATTATATTTATATGATAATTTTCCTTTAAACCCATCTCTATCTAAGTGAGTGAGTGATTAAATGTTGAATGTGATGAGTTTTCAACAATACTAAATTGAAACTTTATTTTTTTTACATGGTTTAATAATTTTTTGTTATTAAAATTGAAGTTCCTGTTTCAAAGCTTAAAGATAGATGGCTAATTTGTATGTCATTGACACTTCTGGCACTTTTTTGGAGTATTTTCATAAGTTTTGTTTTTTCCTGTAAATGATTCAATAAATACCGTACCGTGACATTCATACCGAGGTATTACCGTACCGTGAAATTCTGATACCGTTACATCCCTATTATTGATTATAGACAGTGAAAATTAGTTTTTAATTTTTTATTCCTAAAAATCAGGATCATAAAAAATGAATGCTGTGGATGTTTTCCAGAGATGGGTTGCAGCTGGAAGGGCATCCGCTTCATAAAACATAAGCCAAATAAATTGGTGATTCATTCCACTGTGGCGACCCACATTAGCCTGTAATCGCAGGCATTTGTCAGCGATTTCTTAAAACCTGTCGGCGAGTCAAATTCATGCAGTCTGAACTCGACATTAGTTATGACTATGTTCACACTATGTACAGTTGCCTTGAACCGGGCCAAAGCATGCATGTCCCCCTCCCGTCTCCCCCGACAGCCCGCACTCACATTACATTCGGGCCTGGGCACAATTACGTCAACGATGCACTGTTCAGTAAGCGCTCTCGCTCAGCATATTGGAGATTTCTTCAGTTATATCGTTTAAGTCGTTTGATATGCGGTGAAACGCCCAAGTGAACCGAGCACACCTCTTCCAACTGGGAAGAGTGAGCCAAGTGAGCCCGATTCAGCGCGCACAAACTTCCCAAACGATGCGGGAAACGGTTCGGATAGCATAGTGTGAGCAGGCCCTAATTGTATGAAAACATGATTTTATTTGCTTTAAGATTTTTTATTTTAGTGCCCGATTTAAGAATATTTCCATATCTGGACTAGAAATGACAAAAAAACACAGTGAGAAAAGCATTTATTTGCAGTGTAGTAGATGTTCTGAAGTGTACTTAATCAATTAATGAGCTCAAGCAACAGTAAGAAAATACCCACAATGCACTTTGAGAATATGCGTACTGAATAAATTGAGTTGCTGGAAGTTTCTAAATAAATTATTACATTAACATTTGTACATGTGACAAAGATCGATGTCTATGTAATGCGGATTTATCAATCAGCATACAAAACAGCATTCCTTCAGTGCACTCAGTGCTCCAATTCACTCACTCACTTTTATTCACTCACTTAAGTGAACTACATTGGTGGGCTATTGTAGGGAATAGTGAATGAGGGTATGTCATTTAGAAAGAGCTAAATAATGTACCACTGAGGCAAACAAATAATCTAAAAATGTTTGCTTACCTGACTTGCCTCACCTCAAATTATTTAGACTGTTTTAAGAAAAAAAAAACTTGCTTCATTTTTAAACACATTTTTAATTGCCTAGAAAATGATTCTTTTATTAAGAATTGTGACTTATTTGGACTAGAAATAAGACGAAACCTATTTCCTATAAGATTTTTTAGCAGTGTGCATGTAAATCTGAATAAAGCAGACCCCTATACATTCACAAACAATATTCAAAAAAGCACAATAGGGGCACTTTAAAGAAACAAATTCACCTACAACTAATTACACTCCTTAAACTGTTATGCAAACTAAAATGTAACACAATTGATAGTATATGAAGTGCATGGACATGAAATACCTGTTTTCTTGTGCGGGTTTTGCCTGTCCTCAGCTTGATATATCTGGCAATAAGCTCATTGCGACCTGGAAAGAAGACATTTTCTGTAAGTTTCAAAGTGACCAAAAGGTGGCGACAAAAGCAATGAAAGAGCAGCAAACATCTGTCAACGATACTTTCAAAACACTGAAACCACAAACAGAAAATTAATGAAGTAAAGCTTCTAGCTTTATATTACATTTGCCTTCAAATTGTGGAAAAAATTATAGGCCTCAAAGAGTACCACATTTAAACTCTAAAATCAGTCATCAGGGAATAAAAGCATTGCCAGTGAATTTGAAAAAATTGACAACACATTACTTAATGCACCACTAAACATATATTAAATAAATATGAAATACGAGACATTTAATAATACAAAATTACAGCATTATTAAAAGGTGTTTAATAATGTGTGTCTTAAAGAATGATATTATACTGTCATTTTGTGCTAAGTTTATATTTTGTTTAGGTTGATTTTTTTTAAAAAGATAAATACAAATCAATAAAATCAAAAATCAATAAGCAAAGTGAATCTATATGCTTGACGTCAACTATAGACATGTATATGGAAAATGTGTGATTTCTTTCACAGGCTGTAACACAGTGTAAAAATCTTGATGGTTCTGTGGGTCTTGTCTATGAAATCTGAGCTTTATTTTGCATACTCTCTAGGATTCGAGTTGGTGATTGGCTAGGCCATTCTACAGCTTGATTTTCTTTCTCTGAAAGCATTTGAGACTTTCCTTGGCTGTGTTTTGGATCATTGTCCTGCTGAAATGTCCACTCTGGTCTCCTCTTCAACCTCCTGCTAATGTGGATGCTCCAATGTGGGTGTTGGCCCCAAGCATTTCCGGCCATAGGGCCCAAGTCCTGAAATGCACCCTTTCTATTTTTATTTAATATTTATTTATATTGTTTTTTTTTTTTCAACATTTTATCTGAATGTAATCTCTACATTTTAAATGATTAGTTTTCTTTAAATGTTTTTATATTGAATTTATATATTTATATTATTTTAGATTTTTATTTTATATATTTGACTGCTGGACTGCTCCATGATGGATATTTTATTTTGTATTATTATTATTACATAACATTACATTATTATAATATTATTATATTTGATTGTATATTAAATAATATTTATTTACATTAAAATGTTATTTGTTTAACTCTCACCATACAAAATATGATAGAAAACAATGTTATATAGTTTATATGTATAATTATTACTTCTAGTTTTTTTATATTTATTGGGGGCCCCAGATTTTCTGGTGCTCTAAGCGGCCGCTTACCTCGTTTATTGGTTAAATCCGTCCCTGGTTGGACTGAAGCAGCTAATATTTATTCAGCTAATAGGATGGGCAGAGGCTTGCTGAAAAATGACAGATTTCAGCAGCTGTCTAGGCTTTCACTGCCGAACTACACCTCCCTATCTTCATGTATTTAATATTTTTCCATGCGCCATTTTAATTTATTACACAGAACCTCATTTGTAAACTAATTAGTTTTGTTTACTATGCATATTTGGACACATCCTGTGAAAATGTCAAGTCAACAGCACTTACATTAATTGGAGTGTATATATATATATATATATATATATATATATATATATATATATATATATATATATATATATATATATATATATATATATATATATATAAAATAGCGTAAAAATGTTTCCCCAACAGAGACCACTGCACTGATTTGAGTTGAGTCTGCACTCCCTTCACCAGACACACCCTCTCTCTCCCGTTCTCACATACATACACACACACTCTCTCTCTCTCTTCCTCTCTCTCTCTCTGAGCCTCCGCATTCCGCACATTCCTCTGCGCCTGTGACATCTGCCCCACACAACTTGATTTGATGAGGGCAACAGCCTGGAGCATGCGTCCACAGAGTCGGTGAATGGCCGGAAAAAGAGAGGCAGGGACAGAGAAACAAAGAGCTTTGCTGTTTCTGCCAACAACCGGCAGCTGAAGATCATCCCATCCTACCAAACAGACACTCACACCTGCCACCAACAGTCCCTGCAGGAGGCGAAGAATAACACGTGTCCCATATTCTGACCTCCCAGCTCCAATTCCTTCCCAGACTCTACTCTTAGCTGCCATTTCCACCAATGCATTTTAGTCACACTTGAGGTCTATTTTTAATCATTTTTATTTGTTGTATTTGAACTCAAAGAAAAACTGATTGTTTGCAGAAGTGGTGTGATTAAGCCTTGTGTATTGTTCAAATTGACTACCCTTTTGTTATGTTGGGGCTGTATTTGACCCATTGACTTCCATTGTATTCACATTTTTTGATTGCAAAGTCTTGACACCATATAATCATGCACTCTTAATTGTTGGTGGTTTTTTCTGTTAGGAAGAGGTAAAATGTGTCATTTTTACTGTTGATCATAATTTGGCAGCATTAACCCTTTAGACAGGCCTATGCAAAAAGGTTTCTGGCTTTTATATGAAGTTCTATGGAGCAGATTATCGTGTGCGATAAATCTGTATTTACACGGAAGAATCACATCCCTTATGCAGTTTTTGCTGTTAAGATAATTCCTAAAGCTTTCTTTATACGGTATTATCAGAAAACTGACTAAGCTGTAATAACAACAGGTTTTTGTGTGTGATGAATATTTAGATTGATATGTATGAAAAAAAAGCATACTAAATATTTCAGGCTTTTTCTCTTTCTGAATTCCATAGAATTCGAAGTCACGTGTTAAAGCACATTCAAACTGAACTTCAACCAAAGCCAAGATGACATTATATTTGTTTGCATGCTGCCAGGTGAACTTGTGGATCCGTCAAATATAAGTCAGCCATAACTTGTGCATGCATAAGAGTCTAATTAAGTATACTCTATGAATTTGACTGCATGTCTACACTGGAGTATGCCTCAAAAAATTATACTTGTACAAAAAGTAGTATACTACGGGCTTTGAACAGGAATAACATGTTGTTGAGCAGAGAAAAAGGTGGGTCGGGTAAGTGTATGACACTTGGACTCATCCTCGGGGCACAGGGGATTTTTGCAAGACTCTGTTCCTGTTGAAGCACAGGTGGAAATTTATTTCACAGGTGGAAAATATCTTGAAGCTGTAACAACTATGAAACCAGCCAGGCGGCATTTCTGCCATTCAAATGGGTCATAAATCAACCAACCGAAGCCAAGAAGCTGAGAAGTGGAGATGAGAAAAGGCCTGGTGGCATCAGAAATAGTTTAAAATCAGTTCAATTTTCATTTTAACCATGACATTAGGTACAGATTAGGGTTGCGTGATACTGGAATACGGTTTTAATCAATACTGAAATTTTAAAAACGTCCATTTCCCGCTAACATTTGAGCAACGTGACTTTGAAACACTCCAGTGTTCCTGTACCTGTGGTTACACTCAGTAAACAGCGGTGAGTTCAGTGAACTGATGAGCTTCACGGCCAATCACAGTCATTTCTGTTGAGCGTTCAAATGTTAGCGGGAAATGGACATTTTTAAAAACTTCAGTATTGATTGGTACCGAATTCCAGTATCCAGTAATTCCAGTAACCCTAGTACAGATGTCTTGTGTGTGAGCTTGTTTATGTGGGTTATGAGGACACAAACTTCTTTAATGGCATTGGTATGGCCTAGGTATTACAATGTTGAGGTGGTTTATGAGGACATGCCTTGTGTCCTCATAATTTAAAACTGTTAAAATGAATTTACATTTATTCATTTAGCAGATGCTTTTGTACAAAGCGACAAAACTGAGGAGGCATTCAGCAATTCGACAAGCAGAGGCAATACACATAAGTGCTAGTTTTACAAAGTAGCTTGTTTCTGCTAAGAGGATTTAGTGCTGGAGTAAGAGTGCAAGACTTTTTTAGTGAGAGGGAGAGAGCGAGAAAGGGTTTCTACAGGGTGTTTGTAAAGGCCACTCACCTGTGTGAGGCACACTAACTAGGGATTCACAGATACCACTTTTTTCCAAACCGATACGAGTTTGAGTATCGATGTGCTCCAACATTAGGCACATTCAAATCAAGACTGAAAACACATCTGTTTAGCTGTGCCTTTACTGAATGAGCACTGTGCTGCGTCCGACAGATTGCACTATCATGTTTTTCTCTTCTTCTTCATTCTTTTATATCACATTTTACCTGTTTTTATGTTTTGTTTTGTTTTTACGCATTTTAATTATGTTTTTATTTTTATTTTACTTGTTTCTTTTATTCTTGTTTATGTAAAGCACTTTGAATTTCCACTGTGTATGAAATGTGCTATATAAATAAACTTGCCTTGCCTTGAGTATATTAATTTGTGTACTTGCTGATACCGAGTACCAATACTTCATAGATTTGGTTTCGATTAAGTTTATTTGATGATTTTTTTTTGCCTGTAGCAAGGATGAACACAAAAATCTTTAACAGAGGGCTGTTCCAAGTCAAAAATATACACACATTGTTGATAACCCTGCAAATCCATAGACCTTATCCGTTAACGATTAAGCATGGACACTTAATGATGAGTTATTCTTGCGCTGACATGCATCCATGACTGATACGAGTACTTTAACCAAGTATCGACCCAATACTGGGATCGGTGCATCCCTAACCCTTACACTATATAGTATTTTGGGTTGGTGTGTAGTGAGGTGGGTGGGGGATCTTGGTTTTTTGCACTGGGTTTCCAGTGCCGGAGATCAATGCTAAGGATTTTTTCTACTGGCCTGATCGGGCCAGTGGTTCAGGTTTTTACTTTCCCTGCCAACATTTTTACTGGAGGAGTATTTTTTTTGCCAAAGGAAAGGGTTGGGTGTAGGGGTAAGGAAAGCGTTTTTTACAGTATAAAATACATTATACCTATAGAGAGTACACTCGGGCCATTTTTACACTAATAGGTCTTAGTATTTAAATGGCATTTTAAAACAAAAGCATTTCCTAGCATTTCTAACCTTCCACACTACCGCTGAAAATGCACATCACGTGACCACATACAAACAGGCACATACACAAACTCGAAACAGCGGGTGCATGCAGTCAGCGGGTCAGTAGAC